TTTACCATCGAAAGCAGCGCCAGAAGTTCTGGCTCTGCAAGTACTGCCACATACACAGAATACCTAGCGGCGAGTTCAACGTTGAGAAGGCTACTTTGTCAGCTATGGCTCACCTAGGGCGGCAACAGCGTGGCCACAGGGTTGATAAAGATGGCCAGATCAACTTCTCTACTCCAAACCAGACGTCAGTGTTGGCGACAATGCAGTTCCAGGGCATTAATGTTCCACAGGACGTGGCCAACAAGCTGGCGGACAGCTTCAATCGGGCGAAGTTTCTACGCGCTGTTTAACACTGGGTTGCTGATGATAATCAGGCTTTACGCGTTATTGAGAAGCCTGCCTTCCGCAGCATAATTGCTGCTGCTAGACCTATTGCTAAATTAAGCCTATGGAAGACCTATTATACACTCCGAGAATCTATTATAGCTAAGTATAATTCCTATATACCCGCTGTAATTAAACACCTCCAGCAGGCAACTAGCCTTATCTATATATTATTTAATAATTAGACTTTAGTTAGCAATAAGTATGCGCTTACTAGAATATATATATATTATCTAAATAAGAATAGCCGGCTAGAGGACTACTTATTAGGCCTGCCTGTTCTTCTAGGCCAGCACTTAGGCAAGAATATTACAGAGATAGTTAGCTTAATATTATAATTATTTAAAATTAATACTAAGCGCCTTAGCTACTTTATACTTAATAATACTATAAACAATAATACTGCTTTAATAGCAATAGCTAATAAGTTTAAGTTTAGCATCTCCTAGTATTAGTTATACTGTACCTGCTATATTCTTAACTTAGCTGCCTAAGCAATTATATAGGGTAAAAATAAAAAGGTATTTAAAAGTATAGATATAAATATATAGGTAAAATTACATCTCTAATTTTATTACTATTCTATATTACGCTAACAGTAATATAGAAAAAAGAACTGCTAATAGTAGAGTAGAGGAAAGCCGGGCCTATTAGGGTGCTATTTAATATTATATTATCTATTAGCGCCTCTTTATAAGCCCGAGAGCTATTTATTAAGCTGCAGGCAGAAAACTTAAAGCACTATAATAAATTTTATAAACTAAAGAAGCTTATTAAGCCTATTAGAACTTAGTAAAACTTTTACTATAATTGCTTTAAGCGCGCCTATAAGCTCTAAGGCCCTTTTAACGCGTATATATATATAAAGCTTAAGGAATATAATATTAAAGTAGTATTTTAGTATAAGGATATAAAAAAGGAGAAACCGCGGTGCTTTATTAAGGAGTAAGGGCTAAATACAGGTAATTAGGTAATAATTATAGAGTATAAGCAGCTGCTTAAGCTATTTAAAAATACAATAATATAGCTATAGGGCAGAGGTTTAGCTAGTAGCTATAGAGCTATTTAGGAAGTTCTTATTATATTTAAATAGCTACTTTTAGCTTTTAAAAAGCAGAAGAAGAGGCTTAAGGCTATTAACTATAAGAATTTAAATACACCTAAAAATTACTTAGTTATTAATATTAACGCTGCCTATAAAAAGCTTGCGGATTACTATAGGAAAATAGAAGACACCTTTATCTATTTTACAGCTATAATACTTTATCTAGCATATAAACATGCGCTTAAGGGGCTATAGAAGGTGCTAAAGGATTATAATATAAAGCGCGATGGGCTATATCTATATAAGAACTGGCTTTTAAATAGCTATAGCTCCTTCCGGCTGCTGTGGCAGGCATATAAGGATAAGGTGGCTGCAAAGGCTGCTGGCGCAGTATCTCCTACCTTGTCTCCTAATATAAGGCCTGCAAAACGCCGTTGAACAAGCCCTATAAACGACCGAGCAGACTTCCTTAGGAACTCTATAGAGGAGGGCAAGCAGGAGATGGAGGAAACTGTTAACGACGAGTACAAGAGGTGGAAGCGCGAGCTAACTCTGAAACAGGACAACCCACTAGCGAAGGACCCTATTTAGTACTAGGTTATCACAAGAGATCGCTATTCTATTCTAGGCCAGCTAGCCCTTGATATCTACTCCATCCCAGCCTCCTCAGCTAATTGTGAGAGAATTTTCAGCGAACTTGGCGATCTCCTGGGCGTACGACGCCTTAATATAAAGCCTGAGTTACTTAGTGCTCTGCAATCTATACGCTCCTGGCGTCGAATTGGCATCAAACCTCCTAAGTAGTAATCAACTTATCAATCAATCTATCAATCAAACCAATCAATTCAACTTGGGGGTCAAAAAGTATCAATCTCATCAACTCAACTTGAGCATCTCAGAAATTAATCAAATCAAATCAAATCAATCACAGCCTGTTCAACGAAGCAATCAATCAACTTGGAGACGTCAAAGTTGATTGATTGATTGATCCCCACTCTGCTTCCTCGGTGTGGAGTGCCAAAGAAGAAGACTCCTGTAGTTGACATAAAAATCTTCTGAATTTTTGCATCCGGATCAGTTTGAGAGCGCCGCAACACCTCTTTTACTAAGATCCCGCCGAGCGAATGGGCCATAAAGACTAGCTCCCGGTCTGCTACCTTCCTTCTCTTTTCCTCCAATTCATATAAGAGATTTCTCGCGTGGGAGAAGATGTTGCCTTGGTGTGCCGCCTGATAGCCTTGGGTAATCTTTGTATTGTAGCCAAATGTCATGATCCTTGCCTTAGGGACGTCGTCCTTGAGCAGGTCTCTTGGCCAGAAGACATCTATTCCTTGGCCCCCTCTATCTCTTGCATCATTTTCCTGGTCAACACCCACTCCTAATGTTCCTGGCTCTAGATTTTTGCGTTTCGGGAATTTGGAAAAGATGCTGAAGGTTCGCAACTTTGTGCTTTTAGCAGCTTTTGAGGGAGATAGACCCCGACTCTGCGGACTTTGAGCTGGCTTTGACTTATACGTCCAAGTGTCTTGTGGGTGTCCTTGGAGGCCGTGGACAAAGATGATGCTAGCTTAAGTCAGTTCAAACTATCACTGTTAAGTGAGGGTACTTAGTGAAATGTACTCAAGTACCGCGTCCTGAGGGTTACTTAGGATAGTGAGCCCGACGTCCGCCACGGGAGTTAGAGCTTCCACGGCAGTCGCCATTGAGCACAAGCGGCATGTGCCTTGATGCAGAAGCTGATAGCTTTAGACAAAACGGCGTTGCTGCTGAATGCCTTCCGAAATACGTCAGCCTAGTCGTTTCATCCTGCCTTGCTGCATGTGGAATTCCACGAGAGTGGTAGGTGCTTACGTAGGAGTCGCTTTCACCTGTTTTCTGCCTCTTTTGTTAACGTAGGAGGTCTCCTTAAGATTGCGGAGTAAGTAGGAAGTATGGAGGCTAGTCCGTGTTGCCAGCGACTTCAGCTGGAGGACGCTTTGCTTGGCGCGCCTGCATTGCTGTGCCACTTTGGCCGACGAATTAGAGTCGACCATAAGCCGCCGCCTATCCCTCTACAATGATTGGAGGATCTTATAATGGCATTGAGGCTCGATGCACCAGTGTATCTGCTCATCTACGGCACGTTCCTGCAAGTGCAATAACCCAGCACGTTGGCTTGGAGATGGGTGAGCACGAGGGAAGCGGGCTCGCCAAGACCAGCCACGCCTCTTGGGGGTGGATAACTGGTGATCGTCCGGTGGCGGTGCAATTTCCGGTACTACATGTGGCAAGGTTTCGAGATTCGCAATGCTCCTGTAACGTTAGGTCTCCTTATAGGCAGGTGAACACATTGATCATGCTAGCAGGGAGGACGGCCGACCCACACTGACTCTGACCTTGTCAGCTCAAGCTGTGGTAGAGAAGTACCTTCTTGTACCATGGCAAATCAAGTGCTTGGGCTAATGATGCCTGACATAAGGTGGGTACCAAGGCCCCGATCAGCCACACTCAGCCACAAGCTTGGCTTACTGGATGACATAGGTAAATTACATTGAAATGATTATATAAGACGGGCGGAGTCATTTTGTACTAGCCAGAACCGGTAAGTGCTTCGATTAGAAGTACCGACCAGGGTGGCGACCTTGCATGAATTTGCGTGCGACAGCAGCTATAAGGCTAATGCTGATTTCTTAATATGGTAGTGAGGTTCTAAAGTTCGAATAAGGCCCTTTTATGAGCATCAGGAGTGATGGGAGCTTGATAGTGGTGCTGTGGCGACGGAACTTGGTTATGCCATGAAAGAAGGCTATCCGCAAATCAGGCACAAAGGCGACAATGTGAACGTAATTTTTCCGTGGGAGAGGTTCCAAGGGCTATAGGATGGCTACAGCACACAACTTATGTAGAATTATGGGATATATCGATGTGTGCAAAAGAGCTTAAGTTGTTTGAAGTCAATGTACCCCTCATATGTTGCGGCACGGTGGGTGTTGCGCCACCCAGGGACGGACGTTACTACTTTCATCTTCGTTTTTCAGATAGCCTTCCAAATCAAAGCCGACACACGATGTAAGATTACTACATGCAAGATCTAGGCTGATTGTTCGAGATGCTCATAAATACGCCTGAATGCCCAAACTGAACTGGGGCCACCCTTAAGGAGGTTCTAACGTCTTTCAAGACAAGACTCCGTTTTTGCAAATGCTCGCAAAAGAAAAGAAATTTGAAATCTACGCAATCTCGTACTTGCGCCTGAACATGCCATCGACGTCAGTGAGGTAGTATGTACCAGGGAACAGGGTATCAGTGGCGCCCTTTGGCTTGTAGTCTTTCTGAAGGTGGGCCTTCGCGCGGAGGTTGCACATCTGTAGATGTTAGTTAGTCACGTGAGTTTTGGGAACAATAGTAAGAATTTCAAAGGAAAGGAGAGCTTACCTCATCGTACACTTCAGGAGCGACGACACGTCGTGAGTCCAGGCGGTTCTGGATGTCAAGCGCCTTTGAGATTTCCTCTGTAGATCCATTGACCTTGAATGAAAACAATGAGCTGGCAAGACCGCTGCCGTAGCTGAACATGCCAATGCGCTTGCCCTGGATGGCCTCGCTGCTAATATTGGCGATCAAGCTGCACAAGCTGCCGTAGACGCTACCACAGTACATGTTGCCGCACTGGGTGGGGACTTGGATGCCGGGCTGGACGCGGGCGGCGAACTTCTTCTTTGCGAGACCCATGAAGACCTTCTCCACGGCCTTGTCAGTCACCGAGGCAGCGTAATCGAGAGCAGAAATCTCCTTGGGAACCTCGGCGAAGATGGGGTCGGAGGGGTTGGCGAGGTAGTCGTTGTACAATAGACGAGCGTACGACTTGGTCACGAGCTTGCAGTTTGGCGCATGGAAGCACATGTAGTCGAAACGATCCAGAGGAGTACCGTCTGCTGTGTTACCATTCGCATGGCCGCTGGCCTGGCCCTTGACAACTGCTTCACGGGCATTGTACGCCTTGTAGCAAGCGTCAACCGCCTCGGTGTAACAGCGGATGGAGAATTGACCATCGACGATGGGGTACTCGCTGGTAAAATCGGGCTTGTAGAAGTCGTAGGCGTGCGTGATGTAGCTGCCACGGATGCCTGCATCCATCACAATGGGGGCGTCTGGGCCAACGAGCATGGCCACACAGCCAGCACCGCCAGTCGGGCGGGCATTGCCCTTCTTGTACAGAGCAATGTCGCCAGTAATGACAATTGCGTTCCGGCCGTCCCAAGCAGACGACTCAAGCCAGTTCACAGTGTTGAAGAGCGCGTTGGTGCCGCCGTAGCAGGCATTCACGGTATCAACACCCTCGACGTTGAAGTTTCCAGACTCCTCGAAAAGCTGCATCAACACCGACTTGACGGATTTCGACTTGTCAAGCAGCGTCTCGGTGCCGACCTCGAGGCGGCCAATGGTCTTCAGGTCGATGTTGTACTTCTTTATGAGGGAGGACAGGGCAGTGAGGGCTAGAGAGTAGATGTCTATGCGGAAGAGGCCCGTTAGCACGCATTCACCCCACTGCGGCCCTGACTCGCAGCGAACACTGGGTAGGAGCTCTCACCTTCCCGGTCGTCGCAGAAGCTCATCTTAGTCTGCCCCAGGCCAATGGTGTACTTGCCGGTGCTAACGCCATCGAACTTCTCGAGCTCGGCTTGGTCGACGCACTGCAAATAGGGTTAGAGTCGTCGTCGCCAGAGGGGCGCAGCGCTCGTACTCGCGCGCATGGGGAGCGGCAGGGGACGGCACACGTACCTGGCTGGGGAAGTAGAGCTCGAGGGCCTTGATGCCGATGTTGGAGGGTCGCGCGGCCATGATTGAAGCGTGTGGAGGCAGAAATTGGGTGCGAGGCGGGTGTGGAGGAGGAGAGGCGCTGCTTCACCGCTGGTTTTGTAGGGAGAACAATAGCGTGATGGACAATGGGGTAAGTTGGGTCTGGGCGGCGGCGATCAGACAGAAATTTGGCGAGACGGGACAATAGATTGGGAGAGGACTGGGAGAGAATTGGGGGCTGGAAGGGAGGTCGCTGGGTGTGTGTGAGGCTTTCGCGGAGGCCGCAGGCTGCTCTTATAGTGTGCGAGTCGGTGGTGGGCAGCTATCTCGTGCAGACCTCAACAAATCGACACGCCGTGGTGGGATTGACGCTCGAGCCGTACGCTCGAGCCGTGCGCTATCGTCGAAAACCCAACGCCTGCAGGGCCCCTTCAAGCCCCGTTCCCCGCAACGGGCAAGCGCCAGGAACGATTGGTGAATGCAACCGACATCGCCCACGGCACTGCCCTGCATCATGCGCAATGGATGCGACTTGCACTGCATGTCACACTCGGTGGAGTCGCACTCGTGGCCTTTTCTCACAGGGACTCCTTCGGGAATGAGCCAAGGCTGCTGGCCGCAAGAGAAACACCAGCAACCTATCTTCTCGAGCCATGTCGTCATGCTGCACACCAATCAGGAGCTGACGGACCTGCAGTCTGCTCCATGCAGGCGGGAAGGGATCAGACGCCAGGACGTCCCGCTGGCCGTTCTCGCACCCACTCACCCCGCTTATTAAGACGCCTAGAGCCCGGCGGACTTTTGAGGCACTAGTTTGCTTCACGGCTGGTGGTATCTCTGCACTTTTCTGGTGTGAAAAGAAGCAGTCACGTTTAGTCTGTCTCTTGAGCGGGATATTCGGTGGCGGATGTAAGCCTATTCCTTGGAGTTTGATCAAGCTGAAACAGATTCTCCGCCTGCCCAAAGCTGAGGTTCTGCTTATGACATTTTTGTTGACTGTCGTCTGATATCAGGACTGCTCATTATAAGATCTCGGGCCCTCGTAGTTTCAGAACTATTCAATCAATCCTTCATCATGCACATCATCACACAATCACTGCCAGTCCTTCAATGCAGAACATTAGTGCACGTACATTTATTCACCACTACAACAACGTTTCAGAGTATTCCCAGAGAGAGATCAGTTCATATGACGCTGTCCTTTCTGACAAACGTCTAGCTAGCACAAAACCTCGAACAATGATATGGAAAATGATTTGGAAGCTAACTTGATATCGCCTGCAGAAGTCTACGTATTTTCTGGAACTCTAAGATTATACGAAACATGCAATACGCCTGGGGAAAGGTAGGTATGTCTTTCGACGCATGCCACTTCCAACCAGCACAGTACTAGGACATAAGTTTGCGCACTCGCTTTCGCCACAAGCTTTAATCCCCTTTCTGAGTTCAGAAAAAAATGCTAAATCGCTCCCAACAACGGTGTTTGCGCTATCTAAACTTTTACATCCTATCTTAGTTCCGACAATGCGCCGAATCACCTCAGACAGTGACGAGCAAGTGTGCACGGGATCCTGTCCAGGCCCTATACACTGAAGACCACAAGTCGTTCGTTTGAATGAGTGTAGTTGTTCTGATTGCGACTATAAGTTCGTCCTACACCAAAAACCTCGCTCAAGAGAATGTAGCAAGTTCACCACTTGGCATCCACCTTGTGTTTGAGACGATCATTCCAGGAACTCGTTTCTGGCGTAGAAAACTTGTACCTGACCAATAATACTACATCTGCCGAGTTCATCAGGACGACTAATCTGGCATGCGGACTGCCAACCGGTCCAGTGTTGTTGAAGGACCGGCAACATATCTTGCAGTGTTCAGGGACATCCTCTATCGTCCTCGAGAAGGAAGTCGACATATGGGGATGCTGGAGACTCCAGACGATCATACTCAACGGACGCGGCAAGTTGACGAATTCAAACCATGGAAGACACGCCTCTACTCTATTCTCTGCCGGCCCGCTTGACTCTGATGTTGTTGAATAGGGCGACAATGAAGGACTGTCCTACCTACGTCGTGGTTGGTGGAATCTCGATTCGCGAGCAGACGGCATGAACGTTCTTGTGCCGCCATACGCAAACAACATAGGACGGAAGGCTGAAGACGCATAAGAGAACCGATATACGGTATATCTGGCTATATGTGTCCATGATGAAACGGGCTTGATCAGTCCTCCATCAAAAGCATCTGGCCGAAAGAGGAGTCGGAGCAGACGAGGGAAGGCTTGTAGTGTTCCGTGGCTAAAGCCTGGCTGGGACGCAGATCTGTCAAACATTAATCATTCTCCAGAATGCTTCCGTCTGTCAGACTCGTGGACAGGGAAGGCCACCCGCAGCGGGAAGGTCAGACCCGCAATGAGTAGTGAAGGGTAGAGTGCGAGGCCTACGAAGGTCGGTGGCTGGGACTGGATGGCTGAACCCGCACAGTGTTTCATGGCGTTTCAGCGTGCCAACCACCCACCTGCGTCCCGCCAAATAGTGGCAGGCGAGGCGAGGCAGCAACCAGTCTTGCATCAAGGTTTTTTGTGGCAAGTCGGCCTGCATAATCTCAATGGCCCGCTTTGCGAACGGCGCCCTGCACTGGGCTTAGTTGTATTGGAGTCCCTGCGCAATCACCAGGGCCAAATCAAGGTTATCCGCACCTAGGCACCGGCAAATGGAACCGAGTCAGGGCGGAGAGCAGGAGAGGGCGTGGAGACGAGAGGCCGGGAGACGGGCGAGGGTGGCATTTGACAGTTCGGGGCGACATGTGCACCGGCGCAGGACTTGCAGCAAGCAGAGGCATGAGAGAGCACTGGCTGCGAGTGCCTGATGGTGAGCACGGGCAGGTTGTGGATGAAGTGAAACGGAGCTTGCCGTATCGTTTGGAGAGCGCCAAGGCCAGCCCTCCCTCCCACGCCAATGTGTGAAGCGCCGCCCATAGCACCACGACAAGAACTCCCTCACCACCACCCTCGCTGACCCTCGCACCATAACGAACACCTCAATCGCTTCCGCTCGCTGAACACTTCGATCGCTTCCTTCGCTCCCCCGCCCTCGCGACCCAGCGCCCGCATTGCGCCGATTTGCCTCTAAGGGGGGAACGAGCCCGCTGAGGGCTGCCAGACGCTGCGATGGCCGGCCGCGATCGAGACCAGGACGCAACGCCTCGCCAATCCATCAATCCAAACGTCTTCGACGACGAGTATGCCATCGATGCAGACGACCTCGACTTCGGGATGGGTGTCGCCGATGGCTTCAGACCGGGACACCCGTCTGGTGCGACACGAGACGACCAGGGACTGCAGAGAGCGCCGTCACGTCAATCCAACGCAGACACAACAGAATCTGGCGTGCGCAGGATGCCATCGCGAAACAGCACCGCCAAACCACCTGCAGCTCGAGACTCCTCCGCCATCGCCAATGATGGCGCCACCCCTGCTGTCCCAGCCCGGAACGCCAACATCCACGGTCGAGCAGGCAGTTCACGCGCCAACGCCCTGATGCACCGCTCGTCTGTCAGTTCCGATTCCTCCTTCGCGACAATGGCTCGATCCGAGAGTCCCTATGGCGTAGGCCCGAGCCATCCCTATGCCATGTATCCCCAGAATACCACCGTCGCCCGCTCCTCAAGCGTGACGACATCCTCCACCATACGCCAACCGCACCGTTCCTTCTCGGCCCACCGTCCAACACATCCGTACGGCATGTACACCCAGAACGTAGCAGAAGACCAGGACGAGGAACACATCACGCCAGCGCCAATAATACCGGTCGGGTTTCCAGGGCTAGATACAGGCTACCATAGGCAAATAGGTCCGGACGGTGAAGAGCAGGACATCATCGGTCCGGATGGACATACAGAGCAGCTTCCGCCATACACGAGATATCCAGAGGAAGGCCCCACGAAGCACTCGCTTGCCGCGGAGCCATCCCCGAGTCCAGTAGCGAATGTCCCGCCTCGCTCAGGAACATCCCAGGACGCTCTAGTGTCCCCAATCACTCCGGCAGAGCGGCAACACCGGGCAGAACCTTACGTTCTCCCCTTGTCAGAGTCGCCTGGCTCGTCCCAGAATGCTGAACCCGGGATCACAGAGAAGTCGTGGAAAGGCAGAACTTGGAAGGAAATCAGGAGGAGAAGAGTCCTGTGGGGCAAGATTCCGTTATGGGTACTATTACTTTTCCTGGGTCTTGTTTTAATATTTGCCGTCATTCTTGGTGCTGCAATTGGGTCTTTCCTAGCCCGAGAAAAGATGCAAGCACACCAGCCTGATCCGTAAGTCTCCTTTCGCCCTATTTCAAACCTTACTAACGTCAGCCCAGTGAAAGCGTCGTGACTGTTATCACCACCGCATCCATGTTTGATGCGTCACTCATTCCCACGCCCTCCAATCTTTCGCCTCTTCCCATGGGTACATTTTCTCTACCTATAAGCGTTCCCCAAGAGGCGAGCGGAAACTGCCTCACGGAAGCCAACCAAATCAGTGCCTGGTCATGCATCTTGTCCGGACCCGCTCTACAACTCAGTGTGGCTCCAATTCCTGGCGAGGGCCTGCCTTACGCCGCATTACAAGCCATGGATGACGATGACGACAACATCCAATATGGTGTCCAGCCACCGTCTCTCCAAATGCAGACTCTCAGCCTCGTCACTGATCAAGACTTCCCTAAATTTGGTCCGGCTTTCCATTTCCAGGGGTTGTACAACAAGGTCGTCATCTTGAAGGATGATCAGTTTAGTGCAGAAGCAGCGTTGCGAGCGCGAGATGACGACAAACTTGACTTTCACGATCGTTTCCAGGTCCAGCCAGGAGACCGGCCGTGGGTCTGTTACTTTAATCAAACCTTCATCGAAGGGTATCTCTACGTTACGGACAATTCTACGGCCGCGAGTTTGACACAGTCACTGTCGTCTTCGGCCCGCACTACGACGCCCTCCGCACACACATCATTACCATCCACAGATGCAGAGTCAGTCACTTCAGCCTCAGTCCATCCATCTCCCACAACCACCCCCACATCCTCATGGTCAGAGCCCTGGCCAAGCCAATTCATATCTTATGCGACGTCGATACCCATCCGGCATCGAGATGCCGAGCCCCATCTAGTCCCCTATCCTCGAGTTGTCAAGATAGAGGAGCGCCGCATTCCAGGCTCGCCTCAGCCAGTGTGCCAGAAGATGCAGCTTCTTGACAACAGGTCTCTGGTTCCAGCTGTCAACAGCTCTGGACAATGGATACTTATCCCTCTTCAAGAAACGGACCCGACGATGCAACAATTCAGCCAAGCTGGCGCGAGTGCACCGGGCGCGAGTAGCTCGCCGTCGTCCGGCGTAAAAAAGAGGGATGACCCGTCCGGCGCGTGTCACTGCCAATGGATGTTCCAATGATTAACAAGCCTAGAGCTTTCTGATCCTAGATTCTATCTGTGGATGTTGGTACGTATTACTGCGACAAGGGAACATTATTGGGCTAGCGGTTATCAGCGAATCATTATGGCGGCGTTCAATAAAGGCAAAGGCGTCTGGTGACTATCATTCATACCGAATGCTGCTGTTCTTTCCTTTCTTATGAAATCTATTGAGCATTTTGGTTGCGGATGCGGGAGCAAACGATACGGAAATCGCGGCGTTTGTGATTCTTTTTTTTGTCATTGAAGACCGTCTCCATCGGGGGAGAGATACTGGTCTCGCTGTCACTGCGACTCTTTCCATGTTTTTACTGGAACGCTTGCTGTTGGTCGTCTTGTGTATAATGCTAGCAGCAAGGTGTCTCATTCTTCGCTTTGCTTCTGTGTATTTGTTCTGCGGCGCAAACTACGAAGCGGTCTGGTACAGCGCTGTGGGTCTCGGTTTGCTATAAGTACCTCAGGTCTTTTTCTTCGGATGCGCGGATGGATGGATGGATGGATGGATTGGGGTGGAAATGGAATCCTGGCTGCTAGCTGGATAGGAATGATATCCACTGTATGGGTAATCGCAATCAATAGACGATATTTCTAAACACTTGATGTCCGTGACGCCTTATTGCGAGCGTATGCCGTGGGCTTTGTAGTGCTGCAAGGCCCTCGTTCACCACCCAATGATTGGCTGGAGCATCCGGGCCCAACTGTTCCGGAAGCCTTATCGTACTACAGTATATCAGAACAGCTCATGTACACTTACATACCTAATCAGGATTTACTACATGCAAACAGCCTCTGCATAGGGTCGATAAGAGGATTTAGCACTCCACTACTACGCCATGTTGGTAAATGTTACCGATAAATACCGTTCCCGGCTCGGTTGCGGAGGCCTGCCGACCACAGCACTCGGACGGTCTCTCTCCCTCGGACTATCTGCCTCCCCGCATCTGCGATTGGTAATAGATGCATGTAGATGGCGTTATAGAGGATATAAATGTCTTTGGGGCTGTCGATTGTTGTGTCAGAGCTAATATCAACCCAACAATTTTTTTTTGGTAGAGTAGATTCGTGTAACTGACACCCGTCCTAACCATCCAACTCACTTTCAACTTCTCAACTGTATCTGTCATTCCGTCGAACTCTACCTCATATCCCTCACCCCGTCTCGACTGAACAATATGGCCCCCAAGACCGCCCTCATCCTCGGCGCCGGCAAGAACATCGGCGCAGCCGTCGCAAAGACGCTCAAAGGCGAGGGCTACAGCGTCGCGCTCGTGAGCCGGAAGCCAGACCCCAAGGCCGCAGAGGCAGCGGGGTATACCGCGTTTTCGGCGGATGTGGCGAAGGCGGACAGCGTGAAGGCCGTGTTCAAGGAGGTTGGGGAGAAGCTGGGGACGCCGAGTGTGGTTGTTTTCAATGGTAATTACCGAACCTTCACTTGCTTTCTCGGCTGTTTTAGGAAGAGGATATCAAGGGAGACATGATGGCTATGAGAGGAGGAGATTGGTGTGGTCATGGACGTGAGCTGATGTACTGTATAGCCGCCGCTTTCACCTTCCCAACCGACCCCACAGACCCCTTCAGCGCAGGCGCGGAGGCTTTCGCGGCTGATGTGGCCGTCAATTCGGTTGGTGGCTTCATCGCTCTCCAGGAGGCTGTAGCGGCATTCAAGACGCTGGACGACTCCACGCCCAAGGTGTTCATTGCGACGGGGAATGTGCTACCGTTCAAGCCGAACGTATTCGCCGGCACGCTGGGTGCAGCAAAGGCAGTCCTAGCGCATTTAGTGGAAGTTTCGGTTGAGGCATTTGGGGCGAAGGGGTATAGGTGAATCTTATGTTTTCTTTTTGCTGGGAGTTGGTGTCGCAATCAGCTGCTGACAATGTGGGGAACAGGTTCTACTTCGCTTCGCAGGTTAGTAAGGATGGAAACACGGTTAATTATCCGGAGTTGAGTGGGGAGGCGCATGCGAAGGTCTACGCGGAGTTATTGGCTGAGAAGGAGCAGGGGCCGTGGGAGGTGAGGTTCACGGGGGATACGTTGAGGTGGAAGGAAGATGAGGCTAAAGCTGCTTTGAAGAACTTTTGAAGGGTGAGAGGCTGAAGGAATATCCTTAGAGGAGAGTATCATATGAAAAGGGTAAAGGGGCTATAAGAAACCTCTGAAAAGGGGAACAGAAGTGAGATAATCAACACTGCGAGGCTGAAATGTATAACGAGAAACGAAAATGATGCAACTCTAGCGCGTTTACGCCCTCTGGGCTTTACATCCGGCTCATATTATTGTGTTTTGCTGAAGCACCCCTGTTTGTGCTAAATAAGAAAATCCGAGCACTCTTGACCGTCTTTTGAGAGCCATTAATGACTGATATCATCCTAAATAGATAACCATATAAGATATGATATTTCTTGGCGCCTCTGTCCTTCGGGACCCTTGGACATTGCACCCGGGCGTAGTGGCGGACGCAATCCCGTCCTTATCAGGGTAAAAAAATCCTTCCTCGTAAGAAGGGTTTTTTAGTAGGACTCCGGTCCGAGCTTTTTGACGGTTCGAGGTTCGATCCGCGCGCGAACTAATGAACGGAGATTTTTTTGGTGTGCATAATGATTACTTGGAAACGATATAAGAAATGAAGATAAGAGAGAACACTCTATCTACCCGCCTTTGTTTCACCTTCTCCTCGTGTCTTGAGTATAGGAGTGCGATTCACGAAAGGGCGAGCCTGGTATTATTGCCGAGATATAGCCCTTCGATGTGTGCCCGATTTGGTAAAAGCGCTCTGCAATACGACAAGTAATCATCGAATTCAAGGCGCAGAAACTTTGTAGGAAGGTGCCTAGAGTTTTTAATCCTCGGGGTATTTAGTTTTATTATATCAATACTGCCCTCGTGGAGCTCTTTTCAAGATACATCTCATAATCCTGATCGACACAGAGTCGGTGTTTACATCATCCATTCTTATTACAGGTAGTACGATATCCCAATGTACACCCAAGCAATTTCCTTTCCCGTTCAGGGGACTGAGCTGCTCATGCTCCAGCCTGAGCTGTGGCTGTGCTGGGTGAGCGCATCCTGAGCCGAGACTAAGCAGCTCGTTAGAACCCAGTTTAGGCCCTGTATTTAACAGGGAGTGTTGAGACGGGGGTCGCCCTGCCTTAGAAGCCCCTGTGGTTGTGTGAAATGATGTTACGTGACGTATGTGTGTGTGGATAGGCTCTGGATGGGCTCGTCAGTTAATTATTGTTGTGGAGGGAGATGGGATGAGCAGAATGTAAACGTACCAGTTACTTCGGGGTGAAGCTGTTCTTTTCCGGATGATGAAAGGAGAGTTTTGGGGGAGGAATCAATGCAGTATTTCTATCCCTGGAGCTTCGAAGTTGATCCTGCCGCCTACCATTTTAAGGACAGGACTTCCTATCCAATGAATCTGAGCAAGCGCCTATGCAAGTGGAGTGCAACAGAACTTTGTTAGCCACAAAACAGTAATATATAGTATATGCGGGTTGTTGCATGAATCTGCTAACCGCTCGAGCGTGATAGCGGCGAGGTTCACAGGTATAGAAGACAAAGAAGGCCAATGAGACAAGGAGCGCCCCCATCAAGTCACACATGCTTACTGCTAGAGCATGATTGCGGCGACGTTCACAGATTAGAAGAGAAAAAAGCCAATAAGAGACACAAGCACCAATATAGAGCGGGGCAAATGGCGAGGATTCCCCTATGCTTGGGCCGATTTTGCTGTGCCACTTTTGCCTCCAGCCCCATTTATAGCGTCCTTCAATCCCGCTCCATCTTGGGAAATAGGATGGAGAAGGACCCCGCTTCTACATTTCGCAGTTGCAAGGAGACTAAGGAGTAGATGCAATGTTCTTCGAAGAAGTTACCTTCATGCACTCGCCCTGCCTTGGATGGATGTTCAGGCTAAAGCTTTGTTTACTACCGCGATTTGCGCCCATGATAAGATGATGCAGGTGGTGGTGGGAAGCAGTACGCCGGCGCGCTTCGAAAGCGTTAAGAGTGTTGTAACTAACTGCGCTAATGTCTCGATACTCTCTTATCAGCTAGGAATGGCAGCGGTAAACTGCAATGCCCTGCCCGGTGATTAGGAGACTGAGCTGCCATCTCAAGCATACGTAATGAGAGTGGCACCCTAGGAATTAGAGAACTAATCCTAGACACATGATCTCTGAGAAGTAACATTTAGAACTCTGGGTAACATGTTAACCAATCGACAAATAGCATTAATATAAGGCTTGAAGAAGCACCTACAAACTATAAGTATCCTAATAACCTGAAACTCCTTTAAGTGGGCATCTATCCTTCGACGTCGCTAAATTGCTTTAATGATAAGTTCACATCCTATAATTAGGTTAGCGGAAGCATGTTAAAACTTTGTCTCATTAACTGACCGTTCGACGGGTTTGAGTCCTAGGAGACGCATTCCGCTCTTGATCACAGACCTCGTCGCGTCGTATAAAGCAAGGCGAGCCTTCATAAGCTCTGGTTCACTTCCGATTACCTTCAGCACATCGTAACTGCTATTCAAAGCGTGTGTCATGCGGAATAGATAGGTTAGCACCGTGGTAGGCTCATGCGTCTTCAGTGTGTTTTGAATGGTATCTGGGAACCGAGCAAGAAGTCGAACGAGGTTGATTGCGTGAGGTTCAGTCAAAAGACTGAGATCTGCCGCTTCAATGTCGGCAGTTGAAACACCCGCCTTGGAGAATATTGAGCAAAGCCGAGCATGGGAGTATTGAAGGTATGGACCAGTATCTCCTTCGAAGGAGGTCATGGTGTCCATATTGAAGTGGTAATTGTTGATGCTAGATCGTGTTAGTCGTGAGAAGTATGTAGAAAGATTTGCCTGACAGGAGCAGAGCGTACCGTTTTCCACTCATGTCCTGAACCATTACACTGCTAATACCAAGAATATCGGCGATCTTGTCAGGATCAGTGACTTGTGCGTACTTTGCTTCGTTCTTCTTCATTACTTCGTGCATCTTGTCGCCGACATCCCGAAGTACGTCATCTAAGAACACGACAGTTCCCCTTCGTGTACTCATACCCAGCACCAGGCCAAAGTTTACGTGCTCGACTCGAGATCGAAGATCGTTATCACCGATCAACTCCACAATCTTGAAAAGCTGCTTGAGATGAAGCTCCTGGTCAGTAGCTACTACGTATATCATTTTATCGAATTCGTAGAGCTTATTTCGCTCGAACATTGCGCCGACATCACGGGCTAGATAGAGACTCGTCCCATCCTTCTTCCGCACCAAGGCTTTGCCAAGCGCCTTTCCAACTTTGCCCGGGACGTACTTGGAGAAATCCACGATAGTTGCGCCTTGAGATAGCTCAGTGATCCCGGTGTCGGCCATCTTCTTTTCTGCTGTCTTCATGCTCTCTTACTCAGGTTGCCACTACTAGCGTGTCAGTGGCGTTACATCCTTCCATATCCGTAACAAGGGGGAACAGGGGAGTACCCCCCCCCCCCCCCCTTTCATAGGCTATATATACGGGCCTTATGCCTCTTCAAATCAACACAGAACTGCTTCTTCACAACCTGAGACTCTTCCTTCACCAAGCTTTCCCCTGCATAGGTGTCAAAATGGATGTTGAGCCTCGCGTAGGACTTCTTGTATCGCTCGATACTCAGTTCACGAAATCTTTTCCACAACTCGATGACCTCGGGGTCATTGTCGCACATAGCCTTGAAGTATTGGCGAGCCTGTTCGTCTAATCCACCGTCTGTGACTTTGGAGGTGTCCTCTCCGGCTGCTTCCAAGCGCTCGATTTCTTTGCGTTCCTTGGAAACCAATTGATTGATTTTGACGTAGATCTGGTATAGATGCTGGATTGGATCCTCTTCTAAAGCTTTCTCGTCGCCGAATTTCTTGAACCCCAATGCTAGCAGTCCGTATTGTTTACCCCAGTCTCCGAGATAGTTGAGCCGAACAACATCATAGCCAGCCCCCTCATATAAATTGCTCAAAAACCCTCCAATGATTGTGCTCCGGAGATGGCCTTGATGGAAAGGCTTCGCGATGTTTGGAGAGGAGAATTCAATGACAATGCGTTTGCGTCCGGATTGTGCGTCTCCAGGAATTTTATATCCTAGTAGTGGATTGGTTCCCCATGTTGTCCGATTTTGCAAGATGGAGGGTATCACTTCTTGCAGGAGTGGCGCTGGTTTGAAGAAGAACCGGAGGAATGCTGCGTCGACGACAGGCTTGTTGACAAGTGGGGAGTCCGGAAACTAGGCAAAAGCAAACGCTTAGCGCAAGTGTACAACGAACGACCAAGCTACTATGCAGCAACACAGAGACATACCTGTTCAGCCCAACGGGCTGCGAGGTCGTTGGGTTTCTCGCCCTTGACCTTGAGGGCGGGCACTGGTAACAGCAGATCGCCATGCTCCAAGGTCTGGGTACGTTGCAGCAAAGGGTAAATTGTCTTTGCGTCCAGGCCTGTCACGTCGGAAAGGGTTTTGGCTACGTGGACACGAAACAGGTCAACTGGATTTAACTGAGGATAGCATGCTGGGAACTCTGTCTGGCTGACACGCAGCTGTTCTAGCTGCTCTGCCAGTGTTTGGTCGGCCGCCATGAATCGAGCTGTGTTTGACGCTAACAATCGTGCAGTGCGGTGGGTTGCGAGGCAAAGTGTGGTCGCAAATATTCTAGATCTGAGAAGAGAAGCTGGGAAAATGCGCAGGAGAAAATGACCCATATACAACAATACAACATCTACCACTGTGCCACATACCTACGATGAGTCTTTGCACGTTCCGCCTCACGTTTACGCTAACCCTGAGTGATTAGCCTCGCATAAAGAGTAGCCAATCACAGGCTCTACCGAGAGATTTCGGTGCTAAACAAGGGTTAATGCGCTAGGCAAGGGTACAGAAGCGCGTGTTCCTTGTAGATCTATATAAATGACAGTCTGCCTTCCCTGGGGCATACTGAGATGGTACCGTATGAGCTGAGTGTGAGAATCCCATCAAACCAGCTCAACCCAATCACTTCAGAGCTCTCTATAAACAGACTCGCAATGGCGCCCAAATCTTTCCGCAAACACCTCGGCATCCCCCCTTCCACTGCCTCCCCCAGCGACTCCGCGCTCATCATTATCGACGCCCAAAACGAGTATGCCAAGGGCCTGTTCAAGTTCACCAATGCCGCCGCCAGTGGCGCCATCATCGCATCGCTACTAAAAAAGTACCGTGACGCCAACAGCAAGATCGTGTTCACGCCAGGGACGGAGCTGGCGGAGGCGTTTGAGGAGGTGAAGGCGAAGGACGGGAAAGAAGTCATCTGGAAGGATTTACTAGGGTAGTTTGCGGAGACGAAGTTGGGGGCGACGCTGGAGGGGTGGGGGGTGAAAAAGTGATACTGGTGGGGTATATGGTGGCAGCTTGCGTAGGAAGGGGCAAAGGATTAGTGAAGGAAGCATGATGTGTATTGAGGTGCTAACGAGAGACTATATAGTGAAGAGAAGGAGGGAGGCAAAAGTAGCTACAAGGAACATCCTAGTAGTGAAGCAGAGCAGGAATCTAGCTCAGCTGAGCGGTGTACTTTGAAGAGTTGAGGAGTGAACCTTGACGAGCTGAGGAGCGAAGGTAGATGTGTGTAGGAGAATATAACTGGCTGCCAATATTCTTATTCCATTCCCCCAAAACACCAGAGCTCCTGAATTGAACAACGGGGGTCGGAGGGTATGCACTTTCCTTTCTCGTTCAGGAAACTGAGCTGCTCTTTGACCTCAATTTGCATCTCAACTAAACCCACTCTCACTTCCAATATCCCCGTACTTCTTTCGCAAGCGTGAGCAGCGACATAGAGTCACGTGAACAGCGTACACTTTGGGTGGTATAACTATGTGTTATACCACCCCACTCCACACGCTGCCAGACCCTTCTGCTCACGTGACCCTGCGCCACCATGACTCGGCTTGGCTCAGGCCCGGCTCAGCCTCGGCTCAGGTGTGCTCACCCTCGCTCACCCGACGCGGCGCAGTCCCTGACATACTCACCAGAGATCGTCACCTTTTGGCGAAGGGGTCCAAAATCCGTCCTCAGGACCACGAAATGGGGCACCCTACAGCTTCACAACCTCGGGGGCTCAAGCTCCCGTCTCTAGGGAGGATGGTCGTCTGCCTTGTCCTCGTCGTTGGCGTGGAGTGCGCCATTCTACAAGAATAGGCGACCTCCCCCCCGGCCTTTCCATCTCTTCTCTTATCTCTGATTTATACCGCCTTTTCTCTTTTCCACTGCCACGTCCACTTCGGCACAGTCGCCACTTTACACACTATAAGCACCCAATCTGAAAAAAAGGGGTCGGAGGAAACGGGACCCAGACGGTCAGATCGAGGCGGCCATATAGGGCGGGCTCTCTAAGAATAAATTTAGAATTAACAGCAAACTAATCTACAAAGAGCTTACTAAGAATAGTAAGCTATAGTATAATATAATAATAGAAATATAGAACATAGCGCAGCCGTGAGAGGTTGGGAAGTGACATAACACTCTCTGAAGTAGCTCGACGGGAAGCTGCTCTATAAGACTCCGTGGAGTTGAATTGCACTCTGCTATCATTGGCTATATTGTTGAGGGAGTCGTGGTCGGGTTTGAAATGGTGATGAAAGAAGCGGTCTTGGCCAGGGTAAGTACCCTACCTCGCCAAAAGCAACCTTGGGATTTGCATTCCCCGGTTTCTTAGGATGAGTCAACAGACAGTATGGTTGTGCTCAACAACAGTCACACCAGGTTAATGTACATACATAACTCAGTGTTTGCAACGTTGGATCACGTAAGGGGATGTCCACGTGTGTACATATATATCCATCAACTTCTCTAGGCACGTGACCTACTCATGAAAGTAGTCACAGTGCTGAATTAATCGGTAGACGTAAGATTTATTCGGCATAAATGGGTAGAGCGATGTTCAAGAGCACTAGTAGGTTGTCAGCCTGTGTGTCATCAACCGAATACTGTATTTATGCTTATCACAAGTGTTGCAAAGTCGTGAACGGTGCGCGAGAACTCCACATGTCCATCATTCGAGATCGCTGGATCCCAGAGATATGCCATCGTAACGGAGATACTAGAAGGTATTCAAAGAACGACATTGAAGTTCAAGAACTGAGAGTTGACACGCTACTTTGAGAGATGCTACATTCTTAACACAACACCAGCCCAATACAATTTGTCGACATACAAAAATCCATGGGTATAAAACATATTAGGCCAAACGGCAAGGTTTCGTTGTCGTTGCCGCAGGTACCAGTGCAACGCTTGTGAGATAACGGGGCAGTGAAAAGAGATGCTTCAAATGAATCGTGATATGCACCATAAGACCTAATTTTGCCTTCCTCCGCGTCTCCCTAACTTGTATAATTTACGTGGCTTTCGATATTCTATGATGTGGTGGATAAACGTATTTTCGTGGATGAACGCTAGATGGTTGTGTGTCGCGACGGTTCGGTCGAGTGGAGTGGGTTCGGGTGTGCCAACCACTTATTTCGGTGGGATTGTCCTTCTCGACCATTTCATCGCGTATCTCCTCACATTTGAGAGCACGAATATTCCTTCTCCATCTGCAAAGTGTATTGGGTGTAAGTACGTTGATCCGTTAAGAGTAATTCGCATGGAAGACTCACTGTTCCATCCCTTTTTCCGCTCGGCATTGACTTTGCCTGCCACTTGTGGGTCTAGCTTCTTCGGCGGTGGTTTAGCCATGGCTAATCGATTCTCGGAAGGGCTTTTGACGACAACCATTGTTGATTTTCGATGAGATGCTTGGAGTAAAGTCGTGTGAAGATGAAGATGATGAAGATGATATAGAGGATGGTGTCGGAGTGAGGGAGTTTCGGTGGCCAGAGGCTTACTTGTACTCACGCCACTTGGCACCCTACAACTTCGCCTGCTCGACTAACTGATCGCTGCAATGTGGGCCGACTGAGGAAGCTGCGGACAACGCGATGCGAGAGTCTAGATACTTGTATTCCACACCAGAGAGTCCACGATGCCTTGCACGTTTTGATACACTGCCTCATGCGCAATTAAGAGGCGTGACGGTAGGCGACCGCCTACTCAAGGCTGAAATTACGAAGGCAACGGCGAGAGGGTGCTTGGAGCTGTACCGGCTACCTGGAGCGCTTAGCAAGGAACTGCGCCCTGCTTCTGGAACTGCCCATGACGCTTGCATTACAGAACTCGGCGACCTCCTTCAAAGCAATACAGTTATGTTGCAGATCCGTTTAGACATGCCCGCGATCTACCCGTGTCTCCTCGAGTACGGTTTATATTTTCAAGGATCATTCCACTCAAGGAATCCATCAAGCGAGTCGTGGGAATCAGCAGACATGGATGATCAGGCTGAACCTCAGCCTAACGGATATCTCTCAGCCAATTTGCAGCCTCAGGCACCCGACGTCCAATACGACCGAGGAGTCGCACACCAAATATCTTCTGGCACCATCCACGTGGTCTACGAAGATTGGCTGCCCAGCTGTTTTTCTGGTGAGAAGCGCCTTCATATTAACCTTTGTTTTGTTGGCGGATGCAGGAAAACGAAAACATTCAATTCGGCACACATTCTCAGCCCTCAGGCACGCGACGTCCAATACAATTGAGGAGTCGCACACCACATATCATCTGGTATCATCCACCCAGCTGTCTTTCTGGTGAGACGGCATACGGACTTCATGCTGAGAAGCGCCTTCATATTGACCGACCAATCATCGGTTTGTTGGCGGATGCAGGCAAACGAAAACATTCAATTCGGCACACATTCTCAGCCGCAAATCGCTTCACCTTAGCAACTTCGGGAACTCATACGTGAGCTCAGCCCATAGAAATACCACTCTCCAATGTACGTATTGTAGGTTCAATCCGACCAAGACAACGATGGAAAGTCCGCATCGACCTTCAAGCGCGGAAAGCGTCAGTGCAAAAGAAGAGAAAGAAAAACCATGGAAATATATTGGTTACAAAGTCTTTTCAAGATGGGTGGCATCAGACCCAGCGTTGTTTGTCGTACGCCGATTCGCGACTTTGAATGCGCGCGTAGCCTTATCACTCCAAGACGAAATCGTACAGCTGGAGGAGAAATTGGATTATATGGACAAGACGTACAGTGACAGAAACACACTAGATGCTCATAACGGGACGTTTCGAGATGATCCCTTCTGTGGCGACGATGATAGACAAACCTTGATCAAGGATGTGCTCCCTGAAAAGCTCGCGAAATACAGTATGTATATATTTACCTTCTGGAGAGATTGCGGAAACTTTCTTACGTCGTTGTAGACTCGTTCATGAATGGCTACTCGCAACTCGTCTCTGGTGGATCCTGTAAGCCCGATGATATCGCGAGGGTGCGTCGTTGGCTTAGGATCATTCGACCGACAGCGATTGATGAACGAGAGTCCGAATATATCGACCACGACGATGACCTGATTTCCGTTCATCCAATGTCCCGATCTCCCGGCCGTAATTTTCTGGAGAAAGTGGCCTTTGGTGGTTTCCGATGGTCTCCGTGGGGAGTACCCTTCCTGAAAAATTGGTTCTCTAGAGAAGCTCCAAAAAACATCGTGTCACTGAAGAACGAGGACACTGTGTGGCCGAATAATCAGAGAATGGAGAGAGTCTCTTCGGTAATGATCTCTATCGTTGGACTGGCTATGTTAATTGGACCTATCTGGGCGTTGGCCTACATAAGGCCGATGGAGTATAGGTTAGCAGTCATATCGGGTTTCATAGTAGTCTTCTTCGTGGTACTTGCTATCACAAGATCCCGAGTATACGAGGCTTTAGCAGCCACGGCGGCATACTCAGCCGTACTGGTAGTCTTCTTGCAAGCAGGAGTGGGAACGTCGATGTGAACATTACGTATGCTTACTTAGATAGTCCTAAGCAAAAGTCTTGTCTCCCGTAAAGACTCTATAAAAACATTGTAGGAGTAAATGCCGATGCGAGGTTGCCGGATATGAAAAGGCTGGGGGCCAGACTCATGATTCGGATTAGATGTTCATCTTGCACTCTAATGCCGGAGCAAATCTTTGGACCAAGTCAGTCGCCAGTGATTTTGTTCAAAATATCGTGCAATTATAATCACGGCTTTGGTTGAACATCAAATTGCTCAACGCGCTGCCTTTCAGCAGCCTAACTCCAGGCGAACGGATATAAATTCCCAAGAAGACATTCCAGGGATTTACCGAAGCGCGAGGGTGTCCTGGGACAGCCGCCACCTGCAGGTTGAGCGGCACATCACTTCACGTGACCCAGCCTACTGTGCAATATAACTAGAGCGCGATGGACTCCGTGCGAGCTCAGCTGAGCCTGCTGAGCACCCTTGATACCGCTTGTTTGATAGCACCGGGGCGTAATTGTCAATTTCGCATACCTGCTCGGACGATCGACTGGAAACCTTGTACACTCCCAACAATGGATCTTCAGACTGCTACATCCCGCGGAGATAAGAAGGCTGTGAAGAGAATGCTGACCGCTGATACGAACGTCAAGAACTGGTCTATCACCCGGCGACCATTATTTCTCGCTGCAGGCAATGGACACCACAAGGTCGTGAAAGTATTGCTTGAAGAAGGGAGACAAGACCCGGACATGACTGATGAACATGATCGAACACCGCTTTCTTGGGCAGCCGGTCGAGGACATACGGGAGTAGTGAAGCTCCTGCTTGCCAGAAAAGATGTCAATCCTGACTCTAAGGATGACAAGAACTGGACGCCACTGTCATGGGCAGCAGGAAATGGCCACACCAAAGTGGTAAAGCTACTGCTTGCGAATGGTTGGGAAGGCAGAGCCCCGGCCTTTGTGAATTTATTTTGGCCGTACCAGTTCTTCGGCCTTGCAAAGGGTGGAATGGTTGATGCCAACTTCAAAGATAAAGGAGGCCAGACACCTTTATCATGGGCTGCCGCGAATGGCCACAAAAATGTCGTCGAAGTACTGCTCTCTCTGAACGATATCGACGTTAACGCGGTGGATAAAAGTCTTCAAACTCCATTCTTACGGGCGTCAGCCAAAGGGCAGAAGAAACATAGAGCGATCATGGAGATGATCCTTGGAAAAGACAAGAATAAGACCTCCTTGGATTCTCCAGATGTGATCAGACGGACCCCACTGTCATGGGCCGCAGGCAACGGACGAAGGCACACCGTGAAAATGCTGCTGAATAAAAGCGCTGATATCCGATCGAAGGATATCAGGGATCGTACGCCGCTCTCGTGGGCAGCACAAGGTGGAAATATAAAGGTGGTGGGCCTGTTGTTGGAAAGAGAAAAAGAACTGCGAAAAGCGCAACCAGGGGGACCCAACGCATGCCCGAACCCACAACCACTTGGGGACGCCCAGGACCTTAAGAACCAGACTCCGGTCTTATTCGCCGCGCGATACGGTCATTACAAGGTGCTGAAACTGCTTCTCGCCGACAGCAAAGCTTCAGTGAATCTCCCTGATACCGAGGGCCGAACACCGTTGTCGTGGGCCGCAGCAGGTGGTCACAGTGCCGTGACAGAGATTCTGCTCTCAGATGGGCAGGCGAATGCGGACTTGGCAGATAACAAAGGCCACACGCCGTTATTGTGGGCGGCACGGGAAGGGCATAGGGCAGTTGCATGGACTCTAATCAAGATGACTAAAACGGCACCGCCCTACCCAAAAAGTGGTGACAACCGAACGCCACTGTCATTGGCTTCGGGGAAGGGTTCTCAACCGGTAGTAAAGCTGTTGCTGTCGCTGTCGAGCCCGCAACTGGAAATTGACGTGGCGGACAGCAATGGGGTAACACCTCTGATGTGGGCTTCGGGTGGTGGCCACGCAAGAGTTGTGAATCTTCTCCTGGAAAACGGTGCAAATAAAAATGCAGCAGACAAGAAAGGGTTGACACCGCTGATATGGGCCTCGGTCGCAGGCCATAAGGAAGTGGTGAAGCTCCTCCTGGAACTTGGCGCAGAGAAGAAGGCAGTGGACAAAGAAGGGAGAACGTCATTGATATGGGCTTCCGACGGTGGTCATGAAGAGGTACTGAAGCATCTTCTGGAATGTGGTGCGGATAAAGAGGCATCAGATATGGAAGGGACGACGTCACTGATACGAGCTTCAGCTGTGGGCCATGAGAAGCTGGTCAAGATACTACTGGAAAACGGTGCATACATAGATAGAGCCGATAAAGAAGGAGCAACACCATTGATACGGGCTTCTGCTGGGGGTCATGAGAAGGTTGTGGAGACTCTTCTAGAACACGGTGCAAAGACGGACGCGGCAGATAAGGAGGGGTCTTCACCGCTAATGTGGGCTTTAGGTAGTGGCCAGGCAGGGGCGGTGAACCTTCTTCTGAATAGCAGACCTCTGGCTCAACAAAGCGCAGTGGATTCGAAAGGGAGGACATTCTTGATATGGGCAGCAAGAGGCGGGAACGAGACTATAGTCAGATTGTTCCTTGACGACGGGGGAGGCATCAACACAACAAATGATGACGGATGGACACCACTCATGTACGCTGCGAGAGGCGGATACTACGCAGTAGTACAACTCCTGTTGGAAAAGGGCGCAGCGAAAGCCGTCTCAGATAAAAAGGAGTTCACTGCGTTAATGGCAGCCGCAAGAGGTGGGAACGAAGATCTTGTGAAATTGTTTCTAGATGGTGGGGCAGAAGTAGATGCGAAGGACAACATGAAGCGGACAGCACTTATATGGGCTGCAAATGACGGACACGACAAGGTAGTGAAGTTGTTGATCGATCGTGGTGCGGACATCGAAGCCAATGACTTCATTGGTTTCACAGCTTTCAAGTACGCCGGAATCAACCGCCATGAGTCAACCCAAGGCCTACTGAGAGCTGCATCCGCAGCAAAAAGCAAGTTAGCCGCGAATCCAGCAACACTGGTTCCAGGACCTCAGGTTCCAGCAGCACCGAATCCAGCACCTCAGACTTCGGTATCACAGAATCCATCACCTCAAATTCCAACAGTACAAGCTTCAGCAACACAGAACCCAAGGCCTCAAGCACCAACATCTCAGGCTCAGGTTCCGGCTGCACAGAACGCACAGGCTCAGAATGCACAGGTTCGGAATGCACAAGCTCAAACAGCAGCTCAAAATGCAGCTCAAAATGCAGCAGTCCAACCTCCGGGGGTATCTCAAAGCCTAGTAGTATAGAATGCAGCAATGCAAAATCCAGGGCTTGAGAACCCGAATCCAGTGGGCCAAAGTTCAGCAGCTTCAAAGGGAGCAGTGCAAAGTCCAGTAGCTCAGAATTCATATGCGCAGAAACCACTTCGACGACTCCTTAGTTCCTTCTCCATTACCAAATAGTTTTCATGACTTGATTAATTCATACCACGTGCCTGTTGCACTGCTCTGTACTTAGGTAGCATTCAAGACGAACTAGCATGACAACAGTTCATCTCCGATTCAATACGTGTATATATTTCAAAGCAACCCCTACTGCTAAAAATCTCACATACATACCTATATACGTAGCCACTATCGAGCTGGCACCCAGATCTCTTCCGGTGGACACCGCCCGCATAGTATTCTTGGACTCAGGACTCAGTTCCCAATTCTGCTACCCTGAAAGCTCATCTACGAAGATCCGGAAGAGAAAGAGAAGGAATATGTAGTCAAGTTGCTGTGGAAAGAATCAAGTCGCTAAGGAGGAGCAAGTGGAAAGTTTAGAAAGGAGCGTAAAGTCCATAGAACAGTTACCCGATGCGCCAATGACAAACAAAAAGTGACTACCCAGATATACCAACAATAAAAGCATTCAGAGCCGCTAAAAATGCAACCCAGCTACAACTCCTTCCACGAGAGAACATACCAGTGGCAACTTTAACAGTGGCCAGCGGCCTGCTCCTGGTCATTAAATTCCATGACGCTTTCGGCAAAACCTGGAGATACTCCCTGTATCGTCTTTCCAGCGAACTTGAGGAGCTGGTCGTGGGGTAGACTCTCGCCTTTGTTGGCGTACTCTTCCATCTGATTCAACGTAATCGCCGTGTGGTCATTGTACTCCACCAACTTTTGTAGAAAGGCGACAGCTCTGTCTATGACCTCAGTCCGCACTAATACATCTTGTGCAGCATCTATTATCATCTCTTCCGTCGTATGGACCAGCTAAACGCCGTATTCCATGTTATAAGCCCTAATTCCATCCCGTTCGCGGAGTTGGAGGTTTCTGGGGCTTTAATAAGTTTCGTCCGAGGGATCTGTAATGCGTTAACGTTAAGAAATTCTCATAAAAAGAGGTTCCCTACGCACTCGCCGTGTTCTGTCTCGGTCTCAGAGTTAGAGCAAGCCCAAGGTTGTCCTGTCGTACGATTAGGACCCATCCACGTCGGCGAGCTGGATAAGGCCAGTTTCGGTAGTCGTACGTCAGGTGGCTTTCGTATCCAGTTTCTCTTGACGGACTACCCTAGATAGATGATCGCATCGCCCAAGCGGAGGCAGTAGGTGATGTGGTTGTGATGCGGCTATCCACCACTATCCACCAGAGAGACTTCTTTGATGAATATTTCCAGCTACGGTGACTAGGACGCGTGCAGTAGGACTTAGGGCACCTTGTACTACGTGTCCGCGAGGAGCTTGGCAGGGCGCGTCGTTGCGAGACGCTAAGCGCGCAGTTGCGTCACGGGGGTGAGGAGGTAGCTCGCTGGCTTACGATTCGTTTTTTCTCGCACGAGTTCTGCAAATAAGGCTGAAGCTGGTGTAGGTGGGTGAGGACTCCAAATCAGTGCCCTGTACGACTCCCGAATCGGCCTAGTCAATCCTCCCAGCACTTATTTAACGGCTTCGGTTGCACTTTTCCTTCATCGATACCACTTACTGAGCCCAAGATGAATGCCCGATCACCTATCAGTCGCCTCCCCTTGGAACTTCTTCTTACAATCCTCGGGCTCGGCGGGTTCTCTCACCAACAGTATATGATGCTATGCTACTCCAGCGTCTTCTACGAGTCTGCCGTGAGACTCCTATATCGAGAATTTACGGGCGGAGCGACAATCTACAAGCCTTCCTTACTACTATACTTCAAAGACCAGAACTTGCTTCCTACGTCCAACACGTCAACTTTCAATTGCAAAGTCTATATATGTCCATATAGGCCAAAAACGAACGGTTGAATCACTTTATCAGCCGGGTGGAACGTCTGAATCTACCGCAAGATGTCCAGCAGTCTTGGATAAAAGATCTTCGCAATAACCTTCGCGAGGCTTTCGCGGTCCTTTTCCTGGCGTATCTACCAAACCTACGTCGAATCAATATCCTTCCGGATGAACACAGGAGACTCCATCCCCATGGCTTTGAAATCTCTGAAGCTTATTTCCGATCGATAGTGCCTTGCGAAATTTTAAAGTATCCGATATGCCACATTCTCCGTGTGGGTACCTCCCTATTCGAACATCTACAAGAGATCAATATTGCTTCTAAACCAGCCTCAGTATACGACATCGCAGCAATATTTGTACTACCTTCTCTCAGGACACTTCACGTAAAGTCTGTAATTGGGGAATTTGGGGCCCCGAATAAATTTCGCAAGAATTTCAGTAATATTACAAGTTTAGCCTTTATGGAAGCCAGCTTATCGCCTGAATGCTTAATTGAAGTCCTTCTGTTCTGCAAGTCGTTAAAAGAATTCAAGTTCAACGATCTTATCGATGCTCGAGTACCACGGGAATATCCCCGGATTTTTAAGGTGCTAGCTGGTTTCAAGGATGCTTTGGAAACACTGTACCTGAGAAATCCGCACCCAAACCTAATTTCGCCAATTGCCTCCCTGTCTGAATTCGAAGGCCTCCGAAATTTCGTTAGCGACGCTTCAGTCATCTACCATCACGATACACCATTCAGGTCGTTGTCAGCAATTTTTCCACGAGGGATTCAGAAGGTCAAACTTTACAAAGTCCAGTCGCGACTCCTCAGCGAAACCTTTTCCCCTCCGGCCTTACAATCATCGCATGAACCTAGCAGTAAAACGTTTGCGTAGGATGGCAACCCCTATCGATCTTCTGTCGGCGGAAATTGCTCTCCTGAGCCTTGTAAACGATTTACCTAAGCAGCCAAGCATCAACGTATCCAGCCAGTATATCAAGGAGCAAGGATCGCAGCCCAGCAGGACTCTATCATTTAAGCATGAAATCTCCATAACACCAAATTTGGCATTCATATGTGCCTACTCTGACGATCCCCTTCATGTCCTAGCGGCCTGCATCGAGGAAGCAATTCTGAGAGACTGTCTCATCATTCGTTTCGCCGCGAATACTGGCAAGCACGGAGTCCTTGTCGATGGATTGAAGGCGATTCCACGGATCCTGCAGAACGAGGAGCGATATAGACGGTCTTCTACGTTCGAAAAGCGTCTTCAGGGTCTGGTCAAGGGTATTCACTCCATTTTTTGACAGTACGAGAAAGATCTTAAACTTGTCTCTATACCCCTGGTATTTGGAGTGGAAGCGCAACAAGGTCTTTAATAGAGCGACTAAGAAAAATAAGTCAGTATATCAAAGCCTGCGATGAACTTCTTAGAGCTGCTCGCAGGTACAGAATATTTTCGAACATTGCCGTTGAGTTCGTTGATCTTCAGCAACGTGGAAGGTGACTTTCTGTGGATGCAGCATCCAACACCAATGAGATTATCGAAGCTAGCTGCACAAGGGAGACGTTATCAAGAGTCTCAAGTTGGCGCCGCAAATCTGTTTCGGCTAGGCGAGACTTCAAGGTTACTTGCCGAAGCCAGTGGGCATGCGACTGGGCAAGAATAACCGACTTCGAGGAGCCCGAAACAGGCCCCGCCCAAGCGTTTATGCTACTCAGGCCCGTGCTCGGGCTGCTCAGCCTCAACTCGGGATCTGCTCACCCAACTCAGCCACAGCTCAGGCTGGAGTAGGAGCAGCTCGGTTCCATAAACGGGAAAGGAAATTGCTTGGGTGCACATTGGGGTGTTGTACTAGCTGTATACAAATCCCTATAACTACAGACAGTAGTCCAGTTTCTACTGATCATTTCAACGCATTGATATAGTACAAATGAACACATCAAAAGTTCTTCGACTCAAGATATTTGACGATCTGGTCCTTATACCAGCCCTAAAAGCAAGAACGTTAGCAATTTGCGTCTCCCAGCGTGTATTTGACACTCACCTTCACAACAACGTGCCCTGTCACCGGGTTTATGAAAGCATGCCCCTTCGGTAGAGCCAACAGTTCACTGAGCTCATCTTTCAGCTGCGTCGCATCACCACTAATCTTCCTCACTGTCGTCAAATGCTTGTTTCCACCGGCTTTTGCGTCCTTGTACACTGGGAGGAAGTTCGATGGCGTCCGGGCGACATGGAATCTGAGCTCTTTCTGTGTTTGGGATGCTGGACTGGGGAATCTTTTCGAAGGTAGCGCCTTTGAAGAAGGTATTGGGGATGTGGGATTGTCCGCGTCTGTTGCTGCTTCTGCTGCTGCTATGTCGGCGTCGCGAGATTGTGTAGGTGAGGGAGTTGAGGAGATTGAAGCCGCGGTGGCCGGAGTCGAAAGAGGTGATGTAGATGCTAAAAGAGTCAGAATCTATGCGCAAGGTCTGAAGCAATTAATGAATACCTTCAAGTCTTGAACGCGAGGCGGTGGAAAAGCGGAGGAGATGTCGGAAGGAAGACGGATTAGGGGGTCCCAAAGGTCTCAGGAACGATAGAACAGGCTGGGAAAGCGCCATGGTTGAATATATAGCGTATTGCATGCTCTCCTGGATCAATTGAAGATGCGCCGGGCTGGTTGCGCGCGTTGGTGAGGGCGAGGCGTGAAGGGAGGTCTATAGTGAGGTTGCCGTCACTCCGTCGCCCAAATTTTAGCGAGGCCGTTCCCGCACTTCATTGTTTCCGCGTCCCCTCCGCCAACAAGTCGCCCGCATCTCTCGACCGCCGCTTGAGCCTGTAATCGTCGAGACCGAGTCGCCAGAGCACGCCTAGCATGGCAGACACCACCACCGACAGCAGCGAAGACATCGCTACCCAGTACGACCTCCTGCCGAAGCTGATCCAGAACCTGGACCGACACCTGATCTTCCCGCTTTTCAACTTCACCTATGGCGCTGACGACGAGGGCGAGCAGTCAAGGGAGAGCAAGGAGATCCTCTTACAACTGTTGAAGCCGACCAACATGATAGACTATGTGGGCCAGCTGGAACAGGACGTGAAGGGCCTTGACGAAGTGCCTGCGGAGTACAGCATAAAGAGGGAGAGCACGCTGAAGACGCGGGACCGGTTGGAGCAAGAGACGGCCAAGATAAGAGACCTGTTGACCGACGAGACGGTCATCAACGCGCTCAGGAGTGACAAGGTGGCCAACATGAACTACCTGAAGGAGAATTTCAAAGTCACAGACGAGATGGTCAATCAGCTCTATGAGTATGGGAACTTCCAGTACAGCTGCGGCATGTACGGCGAAGCCGCTGAGCTACTATACAGATTCAGAGTCTTGGTATATTGACCGAATTTCAATGAATTCACAGCTCAAGCTAATTAAGAGGACAGTCCACCGACAATGACAAGGTCGCCGAAGCCACCTGGGGCAAGCTCGCCAGCGAAATCCTTAGTGGGAACTGGGAGGCCGCCATGGAGGAGATCACAAAGGTGAAAGAGTCCATCGACACACGGCTCTTCAACAACCCCCTCGCTCAGCTCCACCACCGCACCTGGTTGATCCACTGGTCTCTGTTCCCCTTCTTCAACTACGACTCTGCAAAGGACACCCTTACCGAGATGTTCTTCTCGCCCGCCTACATCAACACTATCCAGACAAACTGCCCCTGGGTCCTCCGCTACCTCGCAGTCGCCGTCATCACGAACCGTAACCGCAACCGCAACTCGAACCAATACCAGAAGCAGCTGAAGGACCTAGTGAGAATCGTGCGACAAGAAGGCTACGAATACCGCGACCCTGCCACGGACTTCATCAAGGCGCTCTACATTGACTTTGACTTCGAGGAGGCACAGAAGAAACTCTCAGAGACCGAGATCCTCCTCAGCAACGACTTTTTCCTAGCCAACTCTGCCGCTCCTTTTGTGGATGCCGCACGCCATCTCATCTCCGAGACATACTGCAAGATTCACCAGAGGATAGACATCAAGTAAGACAAAATTCTAGCTCTGATCTTCATTTCGCATGACTAATACTTTTTAGGGACCTCTCCACCCGCCTCGGCCTCACCCAAGACGAAGGCGAGAAATGGATCGTCAACCTCATCCGCGACACGCGCGTCGATGCCAAGATCGACTACCAAGCCGGCACCGTCGTCATGAACCACCCGCCCCAGTCCGTCTACCAGCAAGTGATCGAGCGCACAAAGGGCGGCTTCTTCAGGACGCAAGTCCTCAGCGCTGCTGTTGCGAAATGAAAAAATTCTCTCGCCTTACTTTCACTGTTGGTTTCGCGGGCATGTTTTCTCGGCTTTTTGGGACGGCTTGCTGTGCTGTGACGCTAACTTGCAGAGCGGAGCGGAGTAACGGTCTTTCACGCTTTGCTTGGGTTGGGGCTGGGTCTGCATGCATCGTGCGGGTGGATAGAACAGTATGCGTGTGTGCTCTGGAGCTGGGCTGGCGAGGGAAAAGCGGGCGACATGCTCACGTAGAGGGCATGAATTACACGACGAATGGCGGGACGAATGGCTGATGAATATGACTGACAAGGGTCAAGTATCAAAAGATGTGAAGCCAATAGGGGACCACCTCGACAGGTCATGGGCTCGGCCGCTGGCGAAAGGCCTTCGTATTCTAGATTAGCAAATGAGGAAAGTAAATCTCGCACTCCCATGCCCGTTCTCGTCTGTGATTCAGCCGCGAACCGTGATCCGCCTTGACAGGTGGGTGGGCCGGCAACTGGGGAGCTGGGGAGCTGAACGCGCCACCCCGGGCTACCCGTTCTCGTGCCAGCCGTTGTCGTGTCCTACAGCTGGGATCAAAGGGTGTGCGCTCCGATGGCACGCTGAGGTTGCCCAGCTTCCCTGTCACTCCGTAGTGGCAACAACACGAGCCCCTGTGGGCCCCGTCCCGTCCCGTCCCGTCTGCAGGGCCACCCGGGTGCGAACGCCAGGCGATCAGATTGGCGATAGCGAAAGGCGGGATCAACTGGAAACCGCGGGGAGCGAGCCCAGCTCCCGAGGGCCGCGGGTCTTGGGTATGCAGGGTTGGGAGATCGCAAACAGTGGTTAGGCAGTCGGCACTGGCGCAGAGGATGTGATAAACGGCTAGGCCTAGGCGGGTCTGTATGGGAGCGGGGTGGCGGAGGGGGATTGGAGCATGCGCGTGGGGAACTAGGGTTCGCCGCGGCGGGAATGGCGGGTGTAGCGTTGGGGATGTAGGGAGCTGTGACCTGAGACATGGGAGGGATGGTTGATGGGGTTTGGTTGTTTTTGGCAGAGGGTGAGGGAGTTTGGTTTAGGGGGAAGAGCTCAAGAGGGAATGAATATGATCACAGGGTGCGGATTTGGAGGGTGGAAGCGTAGCTCATTCGGTTGGGGTTTGAGATGAGGTTGAGATGACTGCATACCTTGACGTGGGCTTGCTCAGTAGCCAAGAAACGAAGTTCGATCCGCAAAGTGCGGGGTTTTTGGATGGAGCAACGCCCAGGTTACACGGTGGTGCAAGCAAATCGCAGGAAGACCAGGTGTTTGCGTGATAGATCTTGGTCGATCACTGCACGCCTACCGCGCCTCACTCTCAACGCTATGCACAGCCCTGCTACAACATGCGGACCCTTCCGATTTCTGGAGCACAGATTAGCCCCAAAAATTGTCGCAGAGCGTGGGTGAAAGCTCGGCTTTGAGATTTCACATGTGCGTTGCGCCTGTTGCGGAGTCTCTGCTGCGGTGACGGATACGCATGCCACTTTGAAGCCGGCATTCACGACAGCGCCGGGCTATGGTCACGACACCTGAGCGGTCAGAGGTGTTTTGCTTTGTGGTGAATACGTGGCCTGGTGCTGCCGGGTGGTTCGCGCCTGGCTGCGAGTAGCCGCGAGGACTGGGACGAAGGTACGAGGATGTGCGACGACATGGCTGCCGGGATTCCGAGTTGATAGGTAACGGAGGCCCAGGATGGTGAGTGGAGCATAACTTAACAATGCGATGGCTTAGAAGTGGTCCTTACGCTCACGCATATTGCAATAGTGCTTTGTATGAGCAACCCACATTTCTTGCGGGCATGGTTGAACAATGTTTGGAAGGAGTGTTATTAGGAAAACGATAACAGGCCGGAAAGAGATCCTTAAAGACATAAATGGTATATACTGCACGCGTAAAGCTGCAGCATTGAGAATTGTACTGGAAGAAAGATGAGGCATACAAAACCGGAAACTCTCATTGATACCAACAAGTACCGTTGTAAAGGCCAGGTAAGGCATTCAGCAACTGTTCCCGCGATCAAACGCTTAGTTGAATCAGGACCCGACGCCCGCAAGTGACTGAGCCGGAAACGTGAGGACATGCTCGCAGGCGGGCTTTGCTGGTATTCGAGAGCCAGCCAAGAAACACAAGAGAAGGAGAGCTCCATGGCATACTCCGGGCGGATCTCCTACCTGACCGCATAGCGCGATAGGCGGATAGATGTTAGCTTGCATCTAGAGACCCGCGGGTAGCGGCATTAGGAGTGAAGCTAACAGCAAATGGCACGAAGCGGAGCCCTCGCCAGACGTAATTTGCAGGGAGAATTGTTCGGATTTACCTCCGTCGCGCGATAGGCCGGCAGCCGGCGATCCTCGGCCTCTAAAGCATCCTATGCAGCCTACCGGACTGGACTGCCTTGCTGAAGTTAACGCGGTTCGAATCTAATATGGAATAGTCGAGAGCTTTGCGCGCAACCGTCTGGATGACGAAAACCCCACGTACTTTGAAACAAGATTGGAACAACGTCACATGACATGAAGAAACCTGACTGCCCTACTGTGCAGGCCTCTACTCCAGAAAACACCCATTGTCAGCAATCCGTTGGCACATGTTGGGCGCGTAGCTGCGCGGAGAAGAGGCGATCTGTGGTTCCCTTTGACAGCTAGACAGCGCAAGTCGGAATGCTGCGTGTATGTGACACGATTTCACGGTGCATCTGCACAGGGAGGTCGAAGGGCCAATCCAGGGCGGAGGAAGCCGCCTCGCGACAAGCCGTGACAGGGTGCGTCGTGTGAAGCACGTCGGGAGAAAGAGTGGAGAGATCGGGGATCAGCGATAAGCTTCTCTCGCTTATCGACTCTGCGTCGGTGCACGGGCCACACAGGCGCCGATGGTGAATGGTGGGTTTCTCGGGGCTTAAGGAGGGCCTTTTCTAGAAGATGCGCACATTACGAAGGACTTCGTTTTTTTATCAATCAGCCGAGGCTCGGCCCCGCACCTGAGCCCCTGAAAACCAATGTTTACATTCACCAAAACAATACACCACAACCATAATTTTATCACAATCAAATTACAAACTTGGGGCCTTAAATCGAGTGAATGTACTTTTGTGGTGCTGTAAGGTGGGTGTATAGGCTAAATTTGGGTGGGGGCGGCATGCCTCGCCATTTCGGCTTGCTGATTGATCAAAAAAAACGAAGTCCTTCGTACCATCACGGCCTGGCCTGCTGCGATTTCAAATAGCTTCGAGAGCGCCTCGAATTCGGACTGCTTGGAGGTTTATGATGCCCGCGAACAGGGCTTCTGACCTCACATCTGCGTCACCTTCAGCAGTGCCACCTGTTGCGACTCTTTGACTGCAGCTCGCGCCCGGCAAGGCGTCCTTATTACCAAGCAGTGCAGTCCCTGCCGCTCGACGCTTGAACAGCCGACGAAGCTCGAAATGCGAATGCGAAGTGTGGCGATGCCAGGATCGGCAGCCGTGGACTGCAAAGCTTCGAAGCTGTGTGTCTGCTGCCAGCTGTTGGCGAGGGGTTACATGTGCAGGTTCCAAGACTTTCACGATGGACACGACAACTGCAGTGCGCTCCCTCGTTCCGGCGCGGGCCAGTGGCTCTTCGTGGCCGTGAACACGGCTGCGAGGGGTGAAGCATGAACGCTGGCAATCCCCCACCGACACTGCTGTCACACCTGGCAGCTTCCTGCGTCTCAGCGGACAAAGCGGCGCCTGAGGGCATCCCGAGAGCACCGGCCGCCTCGTTAATCGGCGGGCGGGTGCCACAGAGATTCTAGCGGGGCGTCCCTGGGCGTGCGAGCCAACGAGGCTCCAGCTGTGCCCCGAATTGTCTCTGCCCGGCCCAGGATGCCGGAGCGGCCAAGCAGCACGCTCACAACCACGGCCACGGTCTGTGCACACGCTGCCCCACGAACGGTGCCGAGCCATGAAGACGGCGGCGCTGCTAGGGTGCCGTGGCCCCTCTAGGGCCGCGACGATGCCCGCGCGAGCCCATAGGACGCCTGGGACGCTGCCGCGCCAGGTCGTCGAGAAGCCGTCCTTATCTAATATTTGCCTCTGTCCGTCGCTGTTTGTTCCGCCTTCGTCCCGGCAGTCCCTCGCTCTCCAGCGTCTCCGCCTCCCAGCCCGTGGAATACCAGCACCACTAGGGCAGCGCCCGCAACAAAGCAGCCCGTCATATCGACGTCGGCTTCACGCTAGGTGCTCCAGGCGCTCTCGCAGACGGTGCGCGGGGTCGTTGTTCCTGTTGTTCGCTTTCCACAGCCGCTTCCCAACGCCATCGATCCCAGCACCCTTGCACGCATCGCATTCGACTCGCCCAGGGCCTCGCCATCGACTTCTCACTTTCCCACCAGCGTCACCCCTGGCTGGCCGCGGCTGGCATCGATTGCCGTCCCCGCTAAACCTTAGCTGCCTGTACCTCTGCTGCTCTGCTTCCCAGCCGTTGCTTCATCCATCCTCTTCCTTCATCACATTCCTACCAATCCATCATCTGCCTTCAACGAGTCGTTATCAATTCCAGTACGATATTCGTTGCTGCCCACCTGCAGCAGCAACCACACCCTTCCAATATGCCGCCCGTACGCACCAGCTCCATTCCTGCCACCATCAAGCCGGTGAAGACAGAACGGACGCACGAGGAGAACCAGGAGAGGCACGTCACTGTCTGAATCTATTAGCTTTCTGCACTCAGACTGACATTGCTTGGCAGAGCTTACATCGCGGCCTCAAGGCGCAGTGACCGGAGCCTTGAAGCGCGTGTCGAATCTGCCCGGAGAGCATCCGACATCCACAAGAAAAGAACCGGACGCGGTCTTCGTGTTACCGAGAAAGATGTGATGAACGAGGAAATGTACGAAGAGGAGGACGATAACCTCCCGGCACAGTACCGTCGCCTGACTGCTCATCTTCAAACCCACTCCCTCGACTTCAACAGAAGGCTACAGGCCTATATCCAGTCCCATGCCGGCACGAGGAACGCAATGGCTGCTCACAATGGAGCATCCTTCGCAAATGCCTTTCCTATGCAGTTTCCAAACGCCGCTCAGATCAATTACCAGATGATGCAGCCCATCGCCCCGCCTCAAGTCCTACCGCCACAAATGTATCAACAACAGCAACAGCAGCAACCACAGAACTATCGGCACGCCCCGTATCCCATGCCACCATCGAACACATCATTCCGCCCGAGTCCCCACCATCGGTCAGCGTCTATTGCAACTACACAGGAAGCCAGCTATCAATCTCATTACCAGCCCACAGGTGGCCCTGAGACTCCCCGGCCAGATGAGCTTCGTCGCAATTCCATGCCTCCCAAAGTCTTTTCCCCTGGCACAGAGACGGATGATCCAACACGACCAAACGCCTCGCGAACTTCGACGAACATCCACAACCTGAAACTCTCTTCCACACCTGCCTTTAATCCTACTCAGGATGTCTCAACTCCGTCGTACGCCAACCTTCAGCATGAAGCACATATGTCAGGCTCGCAGCAGATGCCCTACATGGGTGGAATGCCTCCAGGATTCAACCCTGCATCGCAGCACATCAATATGAACCCTTTTGAGCCTCTCTCAATGGCTCTTCCCACAGAGTCCCAACAATTTCTCGGCAATGGCTTCGGCATGGACCCATACAGTGCAATGCTCATGAATGGAAGCCAGCACCTGAGTCAGCCGTTCTACAGCTACAACCCGAATCCATCATCCAAGTCATCGCCCTCCGCTGCAGCCAACGCCGGCATCAACCAGACCTTGGCGCCATCTTACAATGACTCGTCACAAACTTCAGCTGTGAACGATCCTTATTCATCCACCGTCGTCAAGAATGAGGCAGTTGATACACCATTCGATGCCAACTACGGATTTGGCCTCGACGGCAACTTCAGTGAGAATCAATCCACAAACATGACCCGTGTCAACAGTGCTCAGGGTAGCGCGGGCGCAGTAACACCTGGCGAATGGAACAGCTTCATCGAGCAGAGTGCCTGGGAGACACCTTCGCAGTAGTACCACTCTAGTCTTGTCAGAAGCACTTGTCATTTTTATGCCATCTTCCCACTTGAACAAACGATATCGGCTGTCAAGCCAAATACAGTACTACGATATTAGTCTGTTGGCACCTGAATGTTACTTTTTGTAGTCCGTCGATGTCTGCTTAGAGGCCTGCATGAGATGTGAGATCGTCTCGCTGGCGCACCCGAAGCAGCGTCAGACAAGATTCAATAGGTCAGCGTCCTGCACTGTATTGCTATGGGCCACCGATGCCCTTGTAGTCGGGTTTCGTACGCCTTGTTTTCGTTGAGTTATGGTTATATATATCATCTGCTGCCGGATTTAAGATACATTATGGACGGGTTTGGATACCGGGTTCTTTTTGGTGATACCCTCTGGTCACGAAAGCAATGATGGAGTTTTGGGGGTCGCTATTAGGCGTTGGGCAAAAAAACCACTGGACGAAAGGGCTTCATTCGGTTCCATCTCATTCGTCAATTTTCTTTTGAACACGAGTTTCGTATGTTCGAAGGCAACGGGATTCCTAGAATCTTCACTCTTAGCGAGCGGTGTGATCGTCCTCTGGGAGAACACCTATTGTATAATGGAAAACTCAAAGTAAAGATGTACTTCTGGTCCTCTCAACGTGACGCCCCCTGATATGATGTAAGGGATTCGTAGGCCCCACCCTTATGTACTCAACGTCGTCTATGTGCTAGAGCTCGGGTCACATGTGACAAGCGTGCCTTAACACCAAGAGCTTTGGATCACTTGAACACTGGAGCTAGTCCTGATTGCAGTGCGCCTAATCATGCTTCAGTAATTACTCTTGAAGAATTAGGAGTTTGTTCATAGCGTGAACTACCCAACGGCTTTCTCGTACAACGACAAAGCTCTCAAATAACAACATTGTGCTCACAATAGGTGCTTCGCACTGGCTGGTACGGGCTTGAGAGCATGCAGCTAGTCTAAGCTCGACGAAAGGGCGCCCTCCCTCATAGTCCACCTCGTGGAGGCTATCTCACGCCTTATCTCCGTGATAAGTCGTTGAGGTCGCTCGGCTACCTCATGTTTCATCAATCTTCACAGAACCAGCAACTCCACATCACCAGAAACACCATCGAAGGCACCAGGGTCTTGGGGCAGCATCCACTCCCGTGTTCTCACAACATCTTCCTTACTGAGTCGACCCCGCAAGCAACATGTCTGCCCGCCTGTGCGCTCGTCACGGGCATCACGAATTCACGGCTCAACTGTTACTCTACGCCTAACGACAGTTACATCCCGTCGGCTGATGGCGGGAAGCCCGAGGCATGTCCTGTGCTTCTTTCAAACATCGTCTGGTGAATTTGAGCAGAATGCAGGGACTTTGGCGAGCGCTACCACTGGCACTTTGCCCTCGAAGCCTCGCGACGGAACATGGCCTCATCTCAGGAGCTCTCTGTACCTGCATATTTGGGCATTCTATGCATATGCCTCTCTCGATCTGATAGTTTCTGGGCAGGGTCTGTGCTACATCGAAAGCTTGCATGACGACACGGCAGCTATCCTCGAACAAACAACGATTTGCGGTTGCACTTAGGGAACTCGCAGGACTCGACATCGGTCGGCTGCCTGCAGGAGCAATGTGATGCTAACAGTCACTGTAAGTTCGAACAAACGCACGAATCCTCGACAGAAGAGTCGATCCCGTCCGCGTTGCAATCACATTGGAATTAAGAGTCGGACGGTTAGTACGCCACCCGGTCCCGGAACGAGTCGGGCGCCATTGTTACGCCAACATCACTATTTTCGTCCATGGCTGAACCTAATACTAGAGGCCTTTCCACGTGCAGCCAGCAGCTGCATGCGGCGTGGCAGCCCCTCAAATCTGCTTCCGAGCCTGCAATCACGCATGTCGGCGTCGGTCAAAGACGTCAGCGCAAGCAGCTTTTCCGTTGTGCTTCTGCAGTCTTGTCACACTGCGGCTTCGGTACCTGACCAGGATAGCCGTGGTAATTGCACCTCCTTGCCAACCTCCGCAAATCTTGGTCAACGTGGTATTGCCTGTGACAGTAACGCGATCTTGCCTCAGTGGTCGTAGCATCGTGCCTTGAAGTGTTCAGATGGACATACTTCGTATCTCTGTCTCTATAGCGATATTCTCCGACCCTTAACGCTGCTTTCGACCAGCTGGGCTCATTAGCTAGAGATTTCAGGCTCACGATTGGCGCATGTCGTGCTACTTCGGCAACGGACGCCCACCTCGTCGCGCTATTGGCACCTAAACTTCAATTTTCGAGGTTCACCATGTTACACTAATAGTATTTCAGCTTGCGTGGCTTGCTCCTCCTTCGCCCTTCCATTTTTTGGCATGCTTCGTCTCAAATCCTGCGTCAACTTTCCGTAAGAAGTAATCATACTTGAATGCATACAAAAATCCTCACCAAGTTCCCTAGGAGCGTTACCCACTCAACGTCCTCCATTTGATATGGCACCTAGATGCGGCCGCCGGGATGACAAGGACCAGGTAAGTACGGCATGATGCCGCCTTACAGAGGCACAGGCTCCACCTTCACTGCGGGTTCTATGCATCGGGACACGGATATGCAGCGGAAGAACGGACGGCTGGGGGCGAATATTGTGTGATCAGGTCAGTCGTGAGCTCCCCTATATAACGCGGTCCTCACAGGTGAGCTGAACTGGTCTCTATCTCTGCCGCTCTGCTGGCAAATACTGTCGTTTTTACCATCTTTGACCCTTGTTTTCTTTTGCCGTTTTATCTAGAAAGCTCCTTTTCTTGTCTTCGCGATGAAGACTTTTACTTTGCTCTCTGCAGCAACTGTGCTGTCACTCTGCTCTGCTAATATTGTGCCCGGTAAGTCGGTCTACAGGCAATTGAAGTGGACTCGAAGACAACATCTTTCATGTCTTGTTACTGCTTCTCGTGATATATTGATAAACCCATATTCCATGCGCTAATTCCACAACCCTACTCTTCTCTACCACAATCTGATACAATTTCCCGTTGTCCACACAGCTAACACCTGCCTTGAATAGTGCATCACCCACGCTTTATTCCCGAGAGATGTGCCAATGAAACTCACCCACCATATCCAACATATGGACACTCGGAGGCGTCGAGTACTCAAGGACCCACGGGCATCTCCACTTCAAATCTTTCCGGCTATCCCCTCCCGTCTTCTTCCTTTGGAACTGGCAACAGTACCTATCATACCTCCAGTGGGATTGCCTCATTCTCGACATTTGGTCCAACTGCTATCTCCTCATCCAAGGGGACTGCCCACCCATCTTACATTGTGCCTACACTGTCGGCCTCGAAAAATTCGACCACTCTTCGATCCACATTCCATGTGACCTCTACGCGCAACCATACCGTGACTGTACCAGCGTTCCCATCCTCAACGGACGTCGTACCGACAGGTGGCATTTCCAGTCGTCCCTCCTCCTCGCCGCCGTACCCGACATTGAACTCAACTCTTTCTACCTTTCGGCCGACGGGCACCGGACCCACAGTCTCAGGGCCGACAGGAGTTTCAACCACAGTAAGCCAACTGAGCAGCGCGTCTAAGTCTTCGGTCTCCAGTTACTTCGTGTCACGCTCGAATGGCTCTGTAGCAGGTGCCTCAACATCATATTATACATCTGGATCATCTATCTTAGTTGGGACTGGCAGCTCCTCAAAGTTGACGGGAACTGGAAACACTGCCTCGTCAACGGGACCCTTGCCGTCGTTCTCGAGCTACTTTTGGCCCAATTCCACCAGTGCAATCAGTCCCACTGGAAGCTCCATCCTTAGCACAGGGGCTACGGGCTCCGTCTCTTCGAGCTCTATCGACACCACGTGTCTCACTACTGCAGTGTCATCAGCGACGTCATCGCCTAACATCACGTCTTCAAGCATCACCGCACCGGCAAATTCTAGTTCCATACTGACATCAAGTGGCTATTCGATTCCATTGTCCACGGGGCATTCTTCAATTCCACTAACCACAGGACACTCCTCCTTTGCGCCAGGAAGTTCTAGTAACTCAGCAAGCTCACAGCTGTCCAAGCCCACTCCTCTCTTCGCAAACAGTTCCACCTCGATCTTCGGTAGAACATCAGGCACTGGGACAGGCTCTTTCAGCTATTCCACAACCCATCCGACGACCACTAGTGCCCTCTTTGGGACCGGATCGACCATTTCAGAGACGCCAACATCAATACCAAGCTGGCCAGTGTACGGAGGTTCATCGTCGCTGTCCTCTGAATCAAGTATCGTGTCCAGCCCATCGTCTTCCCTTTCCAACGTCTCGACTACCTTTGAAACTTCGAGTTCGAGTAGATTCATTCCGTCTTTTTCCTCTACTGTATTAAGCTGGAGCAGCCTGAGCAGCCGGAATGTCACAACCACCTCTGGCACGGGACCTATGGGTAGCTCATCGTTCACGACGACAAAGGTATCCTCTTCCTCTACTAGCGGCTACACCATGCCCGGGTCAACTGCCACTGGGGCTACAGGCTCGACTGCGACGCTGCTGTCGTCTACCTCAGTTTATTCCATTTCCGAATCGACCTATGCCATTTCATCTACGCCAGCTCCTTCGAATAGCAGTGTCGTAATTACCGTGACGTCGCATTCTACCGTTGTCTCATTCTCAGCCTTCACACCGTCGAGCTCAGGCTATTCCATACCATCACTCAGCAGTGTACCTTCGTCAGCCTTCTCCTCGTCAGTCGTCTCGCATACTTCGGCCACGGAGGCTACGGGTACGGCGAGCAGCTCTATCTTCGTCTCAAGCTCGACACCGTCTAGTTCGGGGTATCCTATTCCTTCGTCGAGCAGTGAATCTTCATCGGCACTCTCGTCATCAAAGGTGCCAGACACTACGGCCGCCCAGGCCACAGGCTCTACTAGCAGCTCTCTAGTGACTTTCCTTTCTACAGGCTCCTCGTCTTCGAGCTTCGCGATATCAAGTTCGGGCTACCCGGTACCTTCGCTGAACAGTAAAGCTTCATCAACTTCCTCATCATCAGAAGCCTCAGTCACCTCAGCTACAGGAGCTACAGGCTCCGCGACTAGCTCTCTGGTCCATAGTTCGTCCGCCTCAGCGACGCACGTCTCCTCATCTTCTCTTTCTGTCCACTCCACCGCATCATCCGCAACTCCAAGCACAGCTCACGCCTCCAGCACGCCGGGAGGAGGATACGGACCCCCACCAACGACGTTCGCGACGCATTTCAGTGCGTCTAGCATCCACGCTTCCTCGTCTTCACCCTCAGCGCCTCCGCTCCCGACTCACGGGTATGGCTGGGACGACAAGGAGCATAAGTGGGCTGCTTGGCCGAAGGTACGTCTGCCTGCTTCTCACCCTTGACCAAAAAGCATCTGATACTAAACCAATCACAGTTTGCAGGAGCATGGTAAAGCCTCCCCACCGCACGCACGCTATCGTGTAGTTTGGTATACTATCTCCTTGACTGGACTTTCTTTCCTTCCGGGTTCGCTTCTCGTCTTTCTTTTATACAATCTTCGTGGCCTGCTAAGCTTCTTCTGGATGTTGTGGAGGGGAGGGGCTTGGTGGGTAGTTTAATAGATGAGTTAGCTTTTTTTCCTTGAGGGGGGAGTGACGGCGAAGGGGTAAGGGAGAGGGAAGGGGGAGGTGGGGTTTGAGCTATCTAGGTATCAAAATGGTTTTGTTGTGGTTTTGGCATGTTGTGCTTGTATTTGGTGAGACTGTATGCGTTTGAGTGACGGACGAGTGACGAGGAGTGGTGATGAGTGCGTCGGGTTTCGAATCAAGCCTCATCGCCTAAGATTTGGCTCCTCCTTGACACCGTTCGGGAGGCCCCCAGCGAATTGCAAAATCCCGGCGTTTTATCGCAAGAATGTGACGCTTCAAATCAGACTTCGACATTCTACATCGCCGACGGTGTCGAGAGTCTTCTAGTAGGCTATGAGAAGATTGACCTCAATGTCGCTCCTTGGATCTTTGAATCTGACCTCACGCTTTCTACCGCGGAACTCTTTCGAAGCACCTCCATGATCGTGTACCTGCATTGGCTTCAGGCTCCCAAGGGTTTGATTTAGGGTCATCGACCTTTCGTCTCTTGCATAGGCTTGACTTCACCCGCGCCTTAGGATGGCATGTCCATGGGTAGTGGAATCAGACTTATGAACTGGGTCTACTTAGGGTGCACTGGAAATAATGAACGGGAGCTAGTCCGCCTATTTTCCGTTCCCTTCATTGCGAAGAAATCCGTGTTGCGCCAAGTTGGAATAAAACTCCATGCCGGTGAGATGTATAACCAGAAGGCGGTCCAATATCTGAAACCTAGATCAGCCCACGACTCCACACTTCACATCGTGCCTCAAAGGCGGCTGCAACCCCTCAAGCATCACGACAGCACGACTCGCACAAGCAGCAATTATGTCACACCGGTGTCCGATTGTGCTATTTCATCTCCATGCCCCTCCCACAACGCGGGGCACATGACCCCCTCTCCTCTCACCACTTCCCATCCCTGCTAGCCATCTCGTCTAAGCCGCAATGGTAACCTCCACCTCGACACCGGCCTCGATGTTGATGATGATCTGCTTGACGACCTCGGTCGGCGCGTTGAGGTCGATGAGGCGCTTGTGGACGCGCATCTCGTACGTGTCCCAGGTCTTGGAACCCTCACCGCAGGGCGTCTTGCGGGTGGTGACCTTGAGCTTCTTGGTTGGGAGGCGGACGGGGCCCTTGACGCGGAGGTCCTTGGTCTTGGCGCGGTCGATCAGCTCCTGGCAGACCTTCTCGAGCGACTTGACGTCTGTGGGCTGGGTGTTAGAGCGAGTGCATGTGTGAGGATGGTGGGGAAGCGGGGGGGTGGCGCACTCTTGGAGGTCAGGGTGATGCGGATCTTGTGGACCTTGGGGCCCTCGCCGAAGTCTGGGGATGGGTGTTAGTTTTGCGATTGTAAATTTCTATGTGAATTGGGTGCTACGGAGTGACGAGTTGCGATTGCGACTTCTGTGTGTGAGGTTGATGTCGTGGGATGGGGAAACGTACCCTTGTCGCCTTTTCCGTAGCTGGCCATGATGATTGATGGAGGGTTTGGGGTTGGTGGTTCTGTAGAGCGTGGAGAGCGTGAATTCCAGTCAAGACTCGGACGTAAGTCGCTGTTACGTGATGACCGGTACCGTGGGAGATTTAGCTGGCGGTTGAGGTTGGAGATATCGCGGGCGGGAGATTTTGGAGTTGTGGGCTCCAAAAATCTTGGCGGCACTAGATCGAATTGGATGCTAGCTTCCATAGAGAGTCATCCACACAGCTTCGTCTTGCTGTCTTACCTCACTGGCAAACCTTCAGAAGCAAACGTACTGACTTGGCCCCTCTCTGTCCACATTTCATAGTCTATCACTCCTCTTCTTCTCCGGTATTTGGAATGGCGCCTCCACCTATAGCTACTTTTCCTCCCGCGACCCTACGTCAAGAGCTGGCTCCCGAGGAATGGCAAGCGTGTCTGGATGCCTGGATATCTCTCGCACAAATTCATCTCCGTTTGTCAGACAGCGAATTTGTCAAGACTGCTGCAGATGAAGGCCCGTTAGTTTCTTTCCTCACCGCGTACTTCCAAGAAGTGTCTCATTCATCAGCCGACGATTCAAGTCTTCAAGGATCGAAGGCTTCCTCGTTAAGAAAGTCATGTTTTCTCCTCACCCACAGGATACTCTCTGAAAGCTCTATACCTCCTCCACTTCTCGGTTGGCCATTCCTAACCAATTTATGTCAAGTGTTCCCACGAAGTAAAGGACTTCGCGAAATTCTCCAGAGTGTATGGAAGCGGAAAGGGGAAGCTCTGGAAACCGAGCTGCAGAAAATGAAGAACTCTATGACGGCAGCATTGGAATCATCTAGCCCAGAGGCAGCAGAGGAGGATATTGAGCGGCTCTGCCATCTGCTTCATGTTTCTCCAGACGCTGGAGAGTTATTCCTTACTGGGGCGGCCTTTCCAGATTCATTAAGTACAGCGTACAGCAAAGTTTCACAAGGCCTTCAGTCGAAGCTGGTTTTAGTGGCATATCTCTCAGTTCTGGGCACGTTAAAGAGTTCCAAGATGAACTACTCCCTGCTTTCTGATCATCTATACGCTCTGAAGATCAGGGCTGAACAGGACCAGAAGGCAGGCAAGAAGCTTCTTCTAGCTGATCTAGTCACCAATACGCCCTTCCTAGTTCAAATTCGAGACACACTACCAAACACAGGTGCAAGAGCAAAGAATATTGCCGCCTCTCTTAGCGTCTTCCAGCAGTCCAGTCTTGCAAGACCAAAGAACCTGGTGCGAAGAAAGATTGATAAGGGCAAGGCACGCGCGGACGATCACGAGTATGCCGATGGCTCATTTGGAGCAATCCACGTGCATCGTATGAGCCTGGTTAGCCAGATCCAGGACCTGTTTCCTGAACTTGGCGCCGGCTTTGTGGTGAAACTATTAGACGAATACAAGGACGATGTGGAGCAAGTAACAGCACATCTACTAGATGATTCGCTTCCTGCCTACCTCAATGAGGCAGACAGGACCGCGCAACTGTACGTAGTTCTAACTTAAGCAGTGGCTCTTTGGCAACTACATGCGACCAGCCTGCGGCCCAAATGGCCTTCTGCTTTGACAACTTTTCTTCATAAGCTAATGCTACTGCAGGAGTGATGATCACCAACCGAGGGAAGCTCACTTCACACCAGGTTCAACTCCTCCACCTCTACCCGAACGCCGCAATATATTCGACAATGACGAATTCGATAATTTGGCAGTTGATGCATCTCGTCTACACATTGGCCGCAAGAATGAGAAGCTTACTGCAGACGCCATTCTCTCCGATCGCAAGACCGCACCGAATAAGGCAGCTATTCTGTCTGCCCTCGCCGCATTCGACTCTGACGATGACGAGAGGGATGACACCTATGACGCTGAAGACGTTGGAGGCACCGTAGACACTACGATGCCAGGCAATGAGACCGATGTCAACGAGGACACACTCTTCAAAGCATACGCAGCCACCCCTGGCGTCTTCGGCCGCGACGCTGACACAAGACGAAGCAAGGCACGAGCAGCCCTGAAGAGCGAGACCGGTATGACGGATGAGGCAATCGAGGGTTGGTCTATTATGATCGGACGGGATCCGCGTCGCCTTCGGAGGCTGGAGATGAAGTTCTCCCACTTCTCTGGTCAGCAGCGCGAGCTACCCTCGACAGCATACAGAGCTAGTCCCGCCGACTCTGGTACCGAAGGCGAGAATACTGGAGACGGTGGTAGGGGAGGGAGAGGAGGTTTCCCAGGCAGAGGGCGCGGTCGAGGGCGTGGCCGTGGTGGACGAGGAGGCAGCGGTGGGGCAGGTGTAGCGGGCGCTTCGGACGACAAGAATACGCAGGCCGCGCGGCAGCATAAGGAGGCGAGCAAAGGATCTCGTGCGAATCATAATCGACGCGACCAGCGAGCGAGAAAGATGGCTAGAGGTGGATTTCCTGGATAGGCTTAATAATCGGATGGCACCGCTAGAAGCATCCACGAATGATACTTTCAGTATCCTAGAGTCAAGTTCTTCTCGTCCTACCTCTGTCCTGTCTCGGAGAGTTGATCATTTGAGCGTCTGATGCCGCCCCTGGGAGTCCCCCAAAGGACTACCAATGATATAGGCAAGACGTGATATGTTGGAGCATGCAAATCGGACTCGGAGCTTACTCTTACTACCGACTAGTTTCCCTGAAACCACACCGCCCCCCCCCCCCCCCCAGAAGTCCACATGGAATATCCTCCATGACAGCATCATCCCGACCAGTCTCTCATATCGCCAGGGATACAATACTTAAACACTAACCAATCAATACACCAACCCTAGCCACTACCGACCCTTACCTTTCCCTACCCATCCCATCCACCACGTCAACCCTTCCAACCCAATGCCCCCCAATCACTCTGCATCCGCATTCCGCACCACCCCTTCCAAGCCCCCCCATGTGCCGTTACACCCAACGTTCTCGGCTCTGACCACACTCGCATAAGTGGGTCTCCCCCCCCGGACCCCCTGGCTGGGGCTGCCCGCTTACCCCCGTCCTCGCTTCACCCCGGCAAGCACCAACCCTTTTTTTTTTTTCTCGAAGCATGCTCGATGCGGCAATTTGGAGCGAGGAGTCTGATCGCTTTCTCACACCCTTGCCCCACAGACAGGCCAACAAAACCCCCCATTGGTTTTCTGTTCTGTCCATGAGAAGAGGGGGGGATGGGGGGGTGGGGTAGGTAGGGATTTTCTGACGAGTTGGAAAGCTTGCAGCATCGTCGTCGCGCGCGCGTTGGAATTGCAATATTGCCAGGGCCGGCTCTCGACGTTCCGACGCGAGAGGGCTTGCGGGTATGTAGGGGAGGGGAGGGGGGAGCGAGCGATTGTGCATATTGTATGAGAATTTGATGATGCGAGAGGTGGGGCTGTTTTCTGGTGGTGGGCGCTGCGCGGAAGAGGCTCCGGGGGGGGGAGGGGGTGCGGCCAGCCCTATTAGGAGCGATGCCGGTGCGGCATGGGGATGTGCCGCTGCTACATATCGATGGGTGTGTTGCTGGCTGTGCTGCGTTGGAAGATACATCCTGTGGGCATGTGATATGTGATGATTCTTTAGGGGTATATCTCCATGGGTGAGGCCGTTTGAGAGAGGGGTTGAGGGATTTGGGGAGGAGAAAGGAAAGCCACGTTTGTGGTTGTACGGGGGATGTCGGCGGTGAGGGAGGGAGGATATACTGTAGAACTCGCCGGCTCTTTGGTTGTGAGGTGGGTCGGTCGGGGATAGGGCTCTCAATTCCCATGTTTCTATTCGAGTTCGTAATGGGACTACGCTTTGAGATTGGGGATATGACCAGAACTCGCACTGCCTAGCTGTGTCTACAACACACAACCTATCTACCAAAAACCTAGCTCCTTAAGGTAGAGCCAAGAAGCGTAACAAACATACGTCTTCTTAGGTAGAAAGCTCAAACTCGCTCAAATCGCAATAGCGACCCAATCACACCCTGTAAAGAGCAAGCCTCAAAGATCCTCGCAAACCTATACCAAAGGACAAACCCTACCACCAACACATCTCACCGCTCAGAACTCACCCCCTTCCCCCCCCAAAACCCGTCCCGAAAGCGTACATCTGCAGGCTCCCATTCCGACCCCCAGAAGTAGATAATTACTACAACGAGCGACAACAAACTCAGCTCAACTCGAACCCTGCATGCTGACACCATCTGCATCCGTCTTTTCCGGATTGTTCAGAATTCGGGACTGAGTAACAGGGGTGATCTGTGCTGTGATCGGCCATGTGATCGGCGCAGTGGCGGAGATATGGGTGCAGTGTCGCCGAAGAGGAGGGGGCACTGGACGGGTTGTGCTGGGGATACTCTTTGGGCCCCAGAAGGTCGAGTCGTAAGTAGGCGGTGAAAAAGGAAGCGGAAAGTGCGAAATGAGAGTCTTTGCTCTCAGGTCTCGAGGAAGCCTGGTATCTGCGAATAGAGATATCGATATTTCATGTATTGTAAACGCTAGACGAAGTGAAACGAAAAGGGATATCCTCCATAGTGTGTATACCCACGCGCCTGCCCTATGATAATGCCCGCTTGATGAGAGAAAGAAGAGACGCCACTGATGCCCTGCCCTATCTACCAGATCATCGAAGGGAACCCATCATCTTCGCTTGAAATGTTTGGCAATCTTGAAGATATGTGATAAGAAGAAGGATTTTGAAGTCACTGTAAGCTTTCGCACCTGTCGAGAAGCTACAGCTTTTCTTCGTAGGCTCCCTTACAATTGCGAAAGCTGGCTTAGAGCCCATGTCAATGAGCCTCTGGCATCTAGCTCCCCGCTTGCGTAGTTCGGGCGGTAATGATGCTCCACCACCGCTACAAGGGACCGGTAGACTGTATATCTGCACATCTAGTTAGCAAGTCTCTCTGAAGCCTGGTTCGTCCACTCCCTCAACCGGAACAGGCACGTGAATAACTAGGAAATCAAACTCACAGAAGCTGCCTTATCCTCGCCTTCCCGACAGGACTTGGACACTCTCCATACCCCTCAAAAAACGCATCACTCGCATTCACAAACACAGCCGCGAGCATCGGATCGCCCCATACGGCATTAGAAAACCCCACAACCCCCGATACCTGCTTCGTCCGGTCGTCGACCAACACGTTCTCCGGAATCCCCACGTCGAGCGGTACGAGGCGCGCTTCCGTGACCTCGTCGAGCAGCCGTCCGTGCCGCGCCATACTCTGGCGGATGCTATCGTACGGCACACTGACGACCATGTCCTCGGCGTCGCGGAGGGCGGCTTCGAGCAGGTAGAGGAAGGCTTGCCGCCAGGAAGTGCTGCCCGTGCCGGCAAAAACGCGGTGGGCGAGACCGAAGCTGTCGGCTGCAAGCGAGGTGATGGAGCGGACGTAGGCGCCAATCGTGCGATCGACGGTGCGGCGTTCGCTGGCTGTGAGACGCGACGACAAGTCCGAGAGGCGAGTGCCGGGGACGCACTGGAGAAGGAGATGCGGAGAGCCTAGGGCACGGCCCTGCGGGTCGTGGTCGATGCATTCGGGGGACCGGAGTTGGGTGTTGCTGCTGAGGGCGTCGAGGACCTTGGCTTCGCCTTGTAGAGTGCGCTGTTCGTGGCGGAGGAGGCGGGTGTTGAAGAGGGGAGGGCACTTCAGGAATAAGGAGCTGCCGTCTGTGATTCTCAGGAGGTAGACTTGATGGAGACGGCTTGGCATGCGCTCGATCTGGAGGATAGAGAGTCTCTGGGAGCGGAAAACGGAGCGAACGAGCTTTTGAATGTTGGAAAAGTCTGGCGAGTGATTTGCACTAGATAGAGGGGTTCGCGAACGTGCAGAGTTCTCATAACGTCCATGGCTCATGGTAACAATGGGGTAAGGGGAGACATCGAGCGGAGGGATGTGCATCTTGAGGGACATGCAGAGAGACAGACGGAGAGCATGGGAGAAATGGACGCGGTATGCAAGCTTAACAGAGAGTATATTATCTTACGGTCCCAGGATACTCAGGATGAACAGCAGGGGGTGCAGACATCGTGCTGTTCCGGGCCTGGGGGTCAGTTATTGCCGGCCTGGGGGCCTTGATTAGCAGCTCGCAGGCAGTGAGGGAGATTTCGCAGAGGCACGCGGCGCATGAGTAGGCGAGCGTGAGCTGGCAGTCGGAGCAGGGCTGGGCGCTGTATAGCGACCTCCGTAGCGAAATGGCAGCTCTTGCAGCGGGCATGCTGCCACTTAGGCACCGATGGCTGCCGCCAGGGCTGACGGGCAGTCTCCAGGCGCTGCTGGGCATGGCGAGGGCATCATGGCCCGACGCCACAGCGTCAGAGGTCGGCGCGGTGAGCAGTGAGCACGGCACGGCGTCGCAGAAGAATTCAAATCACGGGCGTGGCGGGGCGTGTGGAGAGCGGCGCGCGCAACTGAGTGGTGGTGGTTGGGGATGGAGGCGAGAGAGCGGCGTCGTCAACGCGTCTCGTCTACTATCGCCCCAAGAGATCTAGTGCATCTTGCGGCTGGCGGCTGTGATTGGCGCTGCCGTGGGCGCCAGAAGCTGGGCTTGCCTGCTCGCTTTCTGGAACGCATCGACGGCATCCACACGACTGTCGCGCGACGCTCAAGGCGAGCACCGCCGATGGCACATCGCGATGGCACCTCGCGGCCGCAAAACCCTGCCGCGCCCACGCGCCGAATGCTGCCGGCGGGCGAGTGCCATGCCGCTGCGCTGCTGGTCCTGATCTCCGCAAGGGGCGCGGCCAGGGTGAGCGAGGACGTCCAGCAGTCCCCTCAACACCACGCCCGCATCGTCACCAGCCCCGAAGCCGCCAGCGCCCCCTGGCGAGCCGGCCCGCTGGAGACGAACTTGTGGGCCCCACGCCGTCGCTCACGCCGCTGCTCCGGGCCTGTGCACCCACGTCCATCGAGTCTGTGCAACGTGCTGGGCGTCTGAGCGCGGTCCGAGTATTTATATCAACGCCCTACTTCTATCCAACCTGCCCTCGACCAATGCCATGTCTCTGCCCACCAGGCCGCCAACGTCAGCAGTCGAGGGCCTGGGGCCTGCTCGTCTCGGACATGGCTGCTCATTCGGATTGCTTCTTGCCCGTGGGCTCGTATATCTCTGCGATATTGTATCGCTTGAGCTGCTCGTAATCGCTACCGACGACGCTCATTCCGCACACATTCTGCAACTGTCGTGAGCCTGCGTCTGTCTGTGACACCGAGTCGTCCCGACCCACGCCAAAGCCGCGTCAGTGTGCATGTGAGAGTGCGCTTACCTGGTATACCTCGACCAATATTGTCACGTCCGGACTGCTCAGGTCGACCGGATGACCTGGCCCCACCGCCTCTGCCACCCGCTTGATGAGCGCGAGCCGATCTGTTTTGTTGTTGCGCAGAGTCGGCCGAATTGCGAACTGATAGACGTCCAGTCAGCGCCGTTAAGGTTCAGCCACGTCTTGAGTCCGCATGACCCCACATAAACTCGGCAAAAAGACGCTTCCACTCACCTTTTTCGATCGAGCGCCCGGCGTGTGGAAATGTGGCTTGAGCACTTCCGCAGCGATCTCGTCAATGCCCTTTTCCGTCGCCTTTCCTATGGCCGTCATTGGCGTAAGTCGTCTAATGAACCGAGTCTGCTTTTGCCCCGCGCGATTTGCAGCATCCTCGCAGATGGCATGGACGAATGAGACTGGCTCGATAGGGGGACGTGTTTTGAAAAAGACAACTACCCATTCAGTCAGTCGACCCGCACATCGGAACGCGGCTGAGCAAAACGCACGGCATTCCGTCTCGATTCTGATTTGCGTGAACAGCGGCTCCGCCGATGGCTTTCGGATCGCTTCAAGCTCTTGCTGGATCTCAGCTTCGATGTCTGCCTCGCCGTCCTCGGCATCGCCGCTCTCAGCTGCTGCCGCTTCGTAGAGCTTCGCCGCATACTGGATAGCGTCAGTAGTTGTACACAGGCGTGCTGAAATGTGCCGCAACAAGGTCGATCCAAGTACCTCTTCGAACAGATCCCGACACTCTGCTGCGCATTTGCTTTGCTTTTTCATGTCACAAGTGACCCAAATGCCAACGTCGCCTGGTTCGATGCCTCGACTGGACATCCCCTCTTTTCGTGGCGTGCGCCATTGCTTTTTGTCCTGGACGTCTGGTTAGCGGGCAGAGCACTAGGGCTGCAAATCGAGAAGCTGTTGGGGCCAAGGCTGAGCCATGGCTTTCACCATCGGGAGAGACGTACTCTAGCTCTCTTGTTGCCAGCTGAATTCTCCGAGCCTGGAGCCGCCTTTCGTTTCTTTGACGAGGTGTCGGCCATGGCGCAATCGCTATTTTCTTTGACGAGTAGTCGTCCGTGGTGGGGTCGGTTGCACCTGTAAGAAAAGGGAATGGAGGTTGGGTGGACTTGGTGATCACAGGGTAGGTACGCTAGACGAAATTGCCAAGATGCAAAAATACCCAAGGAAAGAAAGACTTGGCGTGACTTGAGCTTCAAAATGCCAAGAGACAAAATTCCTTTCTGCATCAGATTCAACACTTTCGAAGCTTGATTCACGCGGAGCCCTGCCTATCTAGGCAATTGTTGTGTCTTGGTGCTTATGTGTACCTGAGTGGTAGATTGTGTGCTAATACTTCAAAGGTTCAAAAAGATACAACCCCCAAGATACATGTTTCTCGATTCGCTAGGACGTGATATTGACCTCAAGACCATAAATGAAGTCATTTGTATCTACAGTATCACGCATTACGAAATGTTGATTTGATTGTTTAAGTTCAGGCTATCAAATCGAGCTACTAAGCTAAGCGCCCATCGCTAGCCTATTGAAGGTTTCCAAGCCTGGTATTGTAACCTTGGAAGGGCCCGTCCTACGCAGATGCACTCTGAGAAATGTAAAGCTCCTTTTTGACCAATTCCACGTTAAGGGAATCCAGAAAAGTTTCAAGAAGGAAGTCTTGAATCAAATCACCACCATGTCTTAATTCCAAGTTTTGGCCCACCGTGATCGAAAACTCAGTGTGTTGAAGGTCTTCGTCTAGCTCCACCGATGATCAATTCAGCAATCGCATCGTGAACTCGACCCTACAGATTACGAGTCAGTAAACAATAGCATTTCAAAAGTCGCACCGAACGTCTACTCCTGGCCACATGCCACATACCGAAGAAATGGAATTTGGAAACACTTACACAGCAAATGTCCCCGCGCTGACAGGCATAGCCCTCAACAACGTAGGCCCGATTCCCTTCCAGAAACCCCTCATCCCCTCTTGCGCCCACGTCTGCCCAAAGCAATCCCGCATGCTCTTGAACTTCATCCCAGACCCGAACCCGTCACTCTGCATCTTGCTCTTGACAACATCGAAAGGATAACTCGCAATCCAGAGCATCTCTCCAGCTAGACCACCGTACAGCGCCACCTTAGGTGTGCTGATCTCTTCACGCTTGATTGAGTTCCGCTTTGCATCCGCGTTCATCAGGTACTCGAACGTCAGGAACCAGAAGCCATAGGCCTGCGCTTCACGAATGATAGTGACGGCTTCACCACGGTAGAGACCACGCAAGACGCCCTCGTGCGCGGAAAGCTTACGGACGCAGTCGAGAGGGCCGCTGTAGAGACGCGCGGCTCCGTGGGGTTGGGTTTGTAGGCGGATACGCACGTGCTCTATCGGGCCAGAGATGACGGAATTGGCCACACCGGCAAAGGCACCGGCAGCGTAGTACTGGCCGTACGAGAGCGTAGGCGAGATGAGGGGTGAGGTAGACGCATTGTGGGTTTCGAAGGCACGACGGGCCCAGTGGAAGGCGCCGAATTGGACGGAGACCTTTTCTCGGCGTTAGAGTGAGATGGAATGTTTGAGGGCATGTTTCAATAGTTTTGATCGCCTGAGATGGGCAACGCAGGATTCAACTTTGTGAGGAGTGCATTAAGAGGGCGGCTTCAATGTAGAGGAGAACTTACGCAAGCACCAATACCTAGTAGGGGCGTCAAAGTTCCCTTGTAGAATGCTAATGGACCCTCGCTCTTGTAGATCTTGCTAGCACAGTCATATGCACCGGAGTACTGTGTGGTGGTTTGCAGTCGAACCTTGACAATGTCTTCAATCAAGACTGGTTAGCTACAAACAGCTTTTCTGTGATCTGTTGGGACATGGATGGTTTCGTAAACATACCAAAAGGTTGACCTATGATTGTAAATTAGTACCAATGACATAGTTTGAAGATGATGAAATAGACTGATGTAAGAAGGATCTAAAAGCGGAAAACGAAGCGAGACTGATCAGAAGACACCCTTGTACGGAAAGCACGAAAATGGTCAACTTACCTAGCAAGACCTGTGCAACACCTCCAGCAGCGCCGGAACCCAAGTCCTTGAATGTCCGAGCGAGGCCCCCACCCTCGAGTTCGGCCTCAGCAGCAGCCATTGCACTCAATGGCAAATGGGAAACCCTCAAGCCAGTAATTGGCTCTCTATGTCTACGTTATCGAATCGTTAACATCTGTGGTCTGACTTGGGGGTGCCGAGTGCATGGACAAAGATGTTCCAGTTTTCTTTGGCTGACGTGCTTGATGCCAAGGCTCTACTTAGTCATCAGCCACGTGAATGGACACTGGAGAGGACAGGACAAACTAGGGCAGAGATGAAGCGAGACTATAAAGACTCTCCAAGGCCCAGTACCTGTGAGATTCTAAATGCATGTGGTTGGTTGCATAGTCTGCCGCTCGAACTTGCATTCGCCGGTTCTTACTTGTCGGACTTCAGGCAGACAGAGACAGAAGGTTCTCGCTCCTCGGACTTCAGGCTGACAATGAGTGCTTCCTGATCATGTTTGTCCTTATTATAGATATGACTTTAAGGCAGTGGTTACAGAAGAGAAAACAGCCGGATCCAGACAATACAATATTTACAATGCGTCCATATCTCATCCCAAGACAGCCAGCTCCACCCACCTCCTCATCCCCGAAGATACTCGTACATAAGAAAGCCCAGGTGAAGGACATGTGGAGGTGTGGAATCCAGCCTCAGAGACCTAGCGTCGCCGACGTTTTCCTCCTCAAGATACTCGTACAGAATATGTTCCAGATAGAAGATATCTGGTTGTATGAAACAAAGCGATGCGTCTTTACATTATAGCACAATCTTACAGCTCCTGCTCCTCCTCTTCACTAGCGTCTACCAACATTTTAACTTCTCCCAGAAGCTCTGCTTCGGTCCGTCGGGTCTGAACGTGTTCCCTGGCATCTGACTATCCGCTATTTGCTTCTCGGAGAGGGGAGGTAGAGGTTCTGTGCGGGCAGCAGCGGCTGGGGCGCCGCCTGTGGCTTGGAGGCGTCTGGCTTCAACGACTCGGCGTACGAGAACTGCAGGCATAGGACGTCAGTAAGTGATATTGCGAGGGCAACAAGAGACGGAAGTCTCTCGCATGATCACAGGTCGGTAGATGGGTACGCACGCGCAAAGGTCTCCTCGATGTTGACCATCTCCCTGGCACTAGTCTCCATGAAGCCGCACCTCCTCTTCCGGGCCCACTCCAGACCTTGAGGACTCCGGATCTGCCTCGCGCCCTGCAAGTCGCATTTGTTCCCGGCCACGATCTTGACAGGCGGGACCCGGCCCTCGTCCAGCCGCTGTTCCGTCTCCATCTCTATCATATCCATGAAGTAGTCCAGCGCATCGAGCGAATTCGCGTTCGTGATGTCATACACCAGCAGGAAGGCATCACTGCGCAGGTTGGACGCTGCCCAGAGGCCGCGGTATTCCTCCTGTCCGGCCGTGTCGGTGAGCATGAGCATGTACGTCTGTCCGTCTATCGTTCGGGTGACGGAGTATGAGTCCTCTGTAACATGGCGCAAATCAGTCAGCGTTCGGTGCTTCCAATTGACGCTTGCCAAGGCACAAAGGCACAACTCAACCGAGTGCCTTTTCGAGGCTTCTCGGAGAATTGTTGGCAGTGTAGTGGGGGTCAACCGTGTGGTCGGGGAGGGCGCGCAAGGGGCGGGTCTGTACCTATCGTCGGGTCGTATCTGTCGCAAAAGTCAGAAGAAGCACCGGAAGCGGACAACTGCAACTGGCATCGCGGGGGGCCTACTCGTGGGTCCATTGACTCCGTACCAGACGCAGCGTGATTGACGATTTGCCTGGACTCGGTCAGCATTCAATTGCCCGTCCATTGATCGGCCATGGCCCGAGGAGACGCACCGCATCCACCGTCGCCGCACACTGTGATGGTGATCCGGTTGTTGTCGTCCATGCTGCGGGCGCTCGTCGCTCGTCGTGCAGTGCGCTATTCGGTGCGGGCTTGGGGTTCGTCCGCCGGCGGGGTGTTTGTGTCTTGTTGTCGTGGTCGCGAAGAGGAACGGGCGTGAGTCGTCGCAGTCGCAAGGGTGATCAGGTGCTTCGCCCAGCGTAGGACAGACAGGGCCGGGGAACAGCAGAAATTAGAAGCAGCTGCAATCCCTGCGGTTGCGGTGCCCCTTGATTCTCTCCTGGACAATGCACTCGCGGGCACGGTTCAGCAAGCTGCAGCTTTTCACGCCCTTATGTACGATGATGCACCCTACCCGCAAGGGAGCCCGCCGCGCTCCAATCGCCGCCCGGAGCTGTTTGCGAGGCTGCAACATCACTTGTCTCATCGCGACCCGACGCGGGGCCGTGGACAGATGTGGTGCGAAGTGGCACGAAACGGCTTCAACAACACTTCAGACCTCAGTCGCTTACACTTTGGCCGTCAGGGCCCACAAGGATCAAGGTATACAGGACTATTGGAACATTGCAGATCACCGGTGAACCGCGGCTTTGGTATCATCAGTCTCGTAAGCTTCATTGTGTATGTGTATGTATGTACAGTCGTCGAACTAACTACGCCCACCGGCATCCGTTCCGGCCCATCTGAGATCTATTCCACGGTATCATCGAACTCGCTTGCACGCTCGTAAGAGACGCGACAAATTGTGTGGGGTGCCGAAGTTCACCTTGAGGCCGAATCGCCCGGTACCTGCATTCACTACCCAGGCACCAGGTACTGTAGCCCAAAATGGTCGCAAAATAACGCAGCAGCATCTATGGCAGCAAGAAGCGGATGTCTAGTCAATCTGAAGGGGTATCGAGGAAGGCAAGCCGTGAAGCAGCCATCATGGATTAACTCTCAGAGAAAATTGCGTGTAGGAAATCGTGCTTAATCCGGCTCATGGTCCTCATCAATCTTAGCAGGCACGCCGCCCGAGAGCCCATCCGATGCTCCAACCTCCATGCGTGCCACTTTGGCTGCATGGCTGTCTGCACTTGCTTGCTGCGCTGAAGTTATTGCTGTCGGTCTCGTAGACGAGTCTAGAGCGGCCGAATGCCCCGGAAGGTTAGGGGGAATGGGTTTGCTCGGCCGGGGCGCACCGGCAGCTTTGCTTGCTGAATCGCTCTTTTGAGAAGATGTCCTGGGTGACACTCGACCATTCTATACAGTACACAGTTACTATCTGCCGAATGAAACTGTCTAGACTGACATAGCCGACAGCAGGGGGCCCAGAATTAGTGGCTCGACTCACCTGTTTGGCCCATCGTAAGCCACAAGAGTTGCAGAGATCTCTGTTCCCCGAAGGCCCCCTTCGCCACTCTGGAGTCACTCGAGTGTGACAGTTGGCGCAGTCTTTCTGTAGCTGACCCGCGCCCTTTCTCCTCTTCCGTTTCTTCTTTGCTGCTAATAAGCTTTGTACTTCTTCCGCTAGGAGACGATTTCGCTTTTCCATTTGGCGTAACTCGAACTGCCAGCTGGTACTTCTTGTCGTCTTGAGCTCATCAAACACGTTCTCCTCCGAAGCTAGAGAAACATCCTGATGACCGAGAGCTAGACCCTTCTCACCGGCAAACGTGGCAGCTGAGGCGTCAGTTGTGACAAACTGACTACCCGACATTCCAGTCTGGGGTGTGCTGCTACCCGCAGGCATCATCTCAGCTGATCCAACGGCACTCGATGCATCGCCTGACGCGATTGAAATCGAGCCTTCGTTAGAATTGCGCTCTTTGGGATATAGACTCGGACGCGGAGTGCTTTGAGCACTATGGGTCCCGCCACGCGAATATTTCAGAAGTCTTGTTTGCGCGACAAGGAATGTCGGTTTCTGACCTTCTGTAGCATCGCCCGGATATAGAGTAGTGAATGCTTGGAGCACTTGTCCTCTCTTGTTGATCATTTCGTGTTTTACTTCGCCCTTCCTGCCTGTACGGGTAAGCCCGAGTATGCGTCCGAACTCTGCCTTTGAGTCCTGTCGCATAAGACCTTGTATACTGGTGCCGACTAGATCCTCGGGCTGTCGGTCCAAAAGCTGGCGAACGTTGGAAGAAACGAATAGAAACATCCCCGAGGTGGACATTTTTGTCCATAGTTCGTTGTCGCCAATACCTCCTGAGGACCGAATATCGCTCTTGGTGAGTGTGTATACTGGCCGTTCGCGTCCGACAAGTATAATGCACTTGCGGCCTTTGCCCTGCTCTGAATGAAGCGAGCCATGACCTTCAAACCACATGTACCCGCTCCGCTTTCGCCGTATCCTAAACACAACATTGACAGACGCTCCATTAGATGTGTCTTTTAACTCTCTGGTGACAGGCACAATGTCACTAGGATGACAAATAGACGACAAAGCGCTGCCGGCCAGTTCGCTGGGTTCGTACTCTAGAACCTTCTGACTGGAAGGTGACAGGTACAGAAATAGACCCTTCAGCGACAGCACATGCACGACGTCGTCTGTATTTTCCAGTAGGACCTTATCCCATATTGTTCTCGTAAATTCGGAGTCTCCGGACGTGCTGAAGGTGCTCAAGGCGTTGGATACCTCATCTCGTGTCACGGTTTGTATTGCGTCCGGGAGATTGAAATTATGGTCTATGAAGACATAACTGGGAACATTTATACCACGTTGGTAGTTCACAGTATACGATCCATCTATTTACGGTTAAAGCTGTAAAGATAGAATTCGCTTCATCAGCCTACCTGGGTTTTTGTTCGTCATTGAAGCTGGCTGCTCCACAAGGTCAACCTGAAAACCGACATAGTACTTGATTTCGTCGCTTTCTGCCATGGTAATGGGAATCATGGTCAGTAGATTCATGAATGGCTGTCCGCCTCTTCGGTAGTTGATGAGACTAATCTGCGCCTCTTTCCTCATGTTGATCATGTTCTTGAGATAAAGAACAGAGTCATCGTCCACATATTTCCGCTTTATGCCCGCCTCAACGTAGCCATCTGGTGACTGAAGAAAGCGGCAATTCCTGCCAAGGATCATGTACTTGGTGTAGCCAGTTAATCGCTCAAAATTGTCGGAACAGAAGACGATAGGGACGTCATCCTTCTGGGCGTCACAAACCACAAACGCGCAAGAAAAGTCGACATTTCCAATGTTGATCTCCGGATTAGGTCTGTTAGCAACGCGTGTCTAATCAAATGTAAGACTCTTACTCTATTCTAGCGCTCACTACAAAGGCATACGTACGAGGACCTCAAGCATGTTGAATCCGGTCAAAGAATACGCATTTTTATACTGAGCGTGCTCCACGTGCGAGCGGCCACTCATTGTCGAGGGGAAGCCATCTGCTAACATGTCAACTAAAGTCGTTCGCCTGTAATCAAGTTTGGGGAACCCTCACTAGTGGTCGCCCTCCAGGGGAATTTCAACCCACTGCTAGGTAGCGACTCCTCTAGTTGCTGAGTGGGTTCTGGTCGAAAGGATAAAACAGTGGGTATCTGATGGGAGGAATTCTGAGTGGAGGAAGGGTTGCTTCCGGGTCGAGAGTTAGAGCGGAAAACTTGTTCTTGACTACCTGTCCGGGAGGGCATGGAGGACTGTACGTCAGGGGTGCCATTGCCAGACTCTGGTCCGAATTGGTCGTTGGTTTGTATGGTGCTGTTGGAATTCTCCTGAGGAAGTCGCCGAGTCGTGGAGGCAAAGTCTGGGCTTACGGGAGAGGTCACCATGGGTGACGCGAATTGTGGTCGTGAATATATGTTCATGTCGTTGCTCACCATGGGGTCATTAACATCTAATGGCATAGCTAGTCCAGGAGCAGCGCCATAACGGCTCTGGAGTTCGGGGTCCATGGGGGCAGCTATATGTAGAGACGAAGTGTATGGCGATGCAGGTGGCGCCATAGAGGTGCTCCATTCTTGTCCATGGGAAAACTGAGTATTGAGGGCAAGATCACCGCCCGATGGCCGTCGCGTTTGGGGATTGCTGCTCTGCTGAGGATACGGCATGCCAGTGCGGACGATGCCGTCCATATTGGCGGTTGTAGGGACTTCAAAATCGTAGTTGTCGAGGACACCGCCTTGCATGCCCTTGAAGTCCATCATCGACAGGCGCCTGGCATCCTGGCCGTCTGGGGACATATTGCCGTTGTAATGAGCCGGCATGCTTCTCCGACGCAGCTCTTTTGCATTCTGGTTGACAATGTCGTCCAGAGACTGGCCCCCGCCGAAGTCATAGGGAATCATTCCCCCTTCGATGCCCGCCATATCCATGTTTCCTCCGTTGACGGCGCCACAGTGGCCGAGTGGATGGGACGGATAGCCGTTCATGGTGGTGGGATCGCCGAAGTCTGACGAATCCTAAGGGAGCTCTATGAGGACATGAACGCGCTGGGTCGCAGCAGAGACTCATCGGAGTGAGGACGAGGGGGGTGGCGGTGTTGTGCGGGAAAGCATGCGGGAGAGCCTGCGGAGAGTATGGCGATGCGGACTCGAGGATACTTGGGGAACAAGAGGAAGCTGAAGAAACTAGGACGTCTCGCAAAGGGTCTACGACGGCAGCATGGTGCAGCAATGACAGCTGCAGACGCTGGCGGGCGCGGTGTCGTCGTCTAGCGGGAAAGCAGCCGACCCGCTGAGCGCGGCTTCGGCCAAATCAACTAGAAATGACGGTCCTCCTGCGGCGAGCCTGCTTGTTCACGCAGCTGGAACAGGGCCCAGCCGTTCAGGATTGCGGCGCTGGAAATGCTCTTGGTGGGTAGCACGTGCTGCTACGATGTCTGGCAGTGCCCACCTCAAAACCACGGCCGTGGTGACGACGTCGAGCTGCTGCCGGAGACGTGGAACTGGTGCCGGGCCATAGTACGCTGCGTGGCCGCTAAGCTCAAAAGAACCGGCGTGAGAGCATCCAGGGACTACGCGGTGGTGGTGAATTGAAACGAGACGCGCCTTATTCTGTCCCAATACCCTCCCGATAACCACCCGGTATCTTGCCGAAGTTACGCTTCAACTCTGTAGACCATATAGTTACTTCCCATCTCCTATTTTATCTATCAGTATCAGAGCAACTTTGTATCCAACTCAGGGTGCAGAATAACAGGTCCCGGGCACGCCTCGTCGCGAGACGGCCATATGCGCCTAGCCGAATATTCTTCGCAACATCCTCAACCACCTCCCTCCACCGCTCTCCGCCGCCATGATTCTACGGCACCAGGTCCTGCGGCACGGTATGTTGCTCCCAGTCCTGCACCGACTCGCCGTGCTGTCCATTGACTGACGCGCCCCTCGCAGCCCGCAGATCCCTCACACCGCAGTCTCTGCGGCCCCTCAAGCGTTTCGTGTCGTCTGAGGTCGAATCCGTCGACGCCTCGTTGCAGAACAGCCTCAAGGAGGTGCACTCGATCGAAGCCCACATCAACAGCCTCACCGCCGCCCAGGTCTCTCCCATTGACGACGTCACGCACGCAACAGCCCAGCCAGCTGCAGTCTCGGCTGAAGCCGCCGAATCCTACCTGCTCTTCAAACATCGGGGTACGTCTGCTGCGTCAAGGCTCACTCTGGCACACCGCTGACCTATGCAGAGAGCCAGATTGGGGCCGTCGGTTCCATTGTTGCCCCCCATTACCAACCCCATACCCTCCTAAGCAACCCGCCCTCCCCGGCCGATGTCACTCTCGAGCTCCTCCTTGCGTCTGAAGCCCATCAGGGCCATGCCACGGCTCTCTGGAATCCCGCCAATGCTCGCTACATTCACGGTATCCGCCAGGGCACTCACATCATATCCCTGGACCAGACTGCCGCCCACCTGCGACGGGCTGCCAAGATTGTGACAGAGGTTGCAAGGCGTGGTGGTCTCATACTCTTCGTCGGGACGCGTGCCGGTCAAGACCGCTGCGTTGTCAAGGCTGCACAGCTCGCACAAGGCTGCCACTTGTTCGAGAGATGGATCCCGGGCAGCATCACCAACGGACAGCAGATCCTCGGGAAGTGTCGTACCAAGGTAGTGAACGAGAAGGACCAGGAGGTGCCAGGCTTCGAAGACCAGCTTTACGATCGTTCCGTGCTCAAGCCGGATCTAGTCGTGTGCTTGAACCCCATGGAGAACTACGTACTTTTGCGCGAATGCGGTGACCACTCCATCCCAACAATTGGCGTCATCGACACCGACGCTGACCCTACGTGGGTCACCTACCCAATTCCTGCAAACGATGATAGGTTAGTAACGTCCGATCTATTCGAATTCCCTTTCTCTGTTGTGTTCACAGATTCTCATACCAATTTAGTTTGCGATGCATCCAAGTCATTTGCGGCGTTCTCGGTCGCGCTGGCGAACAAGGCCAAAAGTTCCGTCGAAAGGCAGCGGAAAGCGGCATAGTAACCTATGCTCCAGCTTCCGACTTGAAACCGCCTACACACACCTCTTCGGTTGCTTCTCAACTGGAGCAAGCGATTGAAAAGCGTCGGCAAGAAGCTGCATTAGATAGCAGAGCGCGTGCAGACATGGCAGCGCATCAGGCTCAAGCTTTAATCGAGGATATGGACGACATGGATGATTCAAGAGATGAGAAAAGGTGAAAATTCGGAAGACCGAGCTTATCAGACTGCTCCACAACCATGAAGACCCCCCGTTCCATGATCTCTCGGCCTCTTCTATTGCAACGTCCCAGTGTACCTATCTTGGAATTGTTGGGAGAGCACAGGTTGGGCGGAGTTGGCATGTACGAGATTCCGAAGACATGGATTGTACCATACAACTGTAACATCAAGACAGGAGCATTGCTGGAGTCCCTGGATCTATTTAGAGAAACGATACCTCAGGCATCTACAAATAAGCATATTCGGATTCTGGGGCCCCACAAGACAACCTTGATCAACCGATTCTGATTGCCAATATTTGTCGAGGTGCAAGAGCTGTATTGCAGCGTGACGTTATATTATACGAAGTAGTGCACGGCCCCTTCGTGCACACTGTTTTCAACGGGCGTCGACATATCGCGCGGGTAAGATGCAGACCTGAGAAGGCAGGCGCAGGCCAATCTAATTGGCCCAAGCCAACCTCTACAAGGTTCGAGCTCTTTGTTACGCAGCACTCGCAGGACGCGCAAACCACAATAGGGTAATGCACGTAGCGCTTCCATGCAGCCCGCCATTCCCCAAACAGCACGACAGGACGAGCTGAACAACCAAAAAAAGGGCCGAAAAGCAACCCCGAAGCTGTTCGTAAGTCACGCGACCCCTTCCATCCCCCACCCACACCCTCCCGTTCACCAGCACACCCACACCATCTTCACCAACCCCCCCCCAATCACCGCACCGCCCCTAGCAAGGTCCCGGGGTCCTTCGCAGACCCTGATTTGCAAACATCCCCCGACCCACCCGCCCAGAGCCCGGGGATGACTCCGTGGCCGTCGGGTACCTTGTCCATGACACTTGCACGTGGTGGAACCCGGCCTGTACGGCGGAGGGGTTTTCAGTTTCCTTTCTGTCGATCAGGCGAGCACTGGCGTCGTGGCGGACGAAAAAACAAAAAGCCACTCCTAAACTCATCTTCTTTGCACGTAGTCATAGCCTCCTCGTCACCCGCGCGCGCCCCAGCCCTGGGGAAGTTGTCGACACGACGTCAGAAAACGCAACCGACGTCACGGATTTGACAAACCCCAGCGCAGCACAGCAACAACCCGGCTCCTCGCCCTCGGGTAACGTCGTGGTTGGTCATGGAGACGTCGGAGGGGAGTGCCGTGCATGACAACGGGGCTATTTCGAGATAGAGTTCTCCGGGGTGTGATTGGGTGGGGGAGTGCGTAGCGCGTCTTACTGGACGGAGAAGGATCCGTCTGCGCTCGACACTTTTTTTTTTTTCTTCAAGTTGAGGATTGCTTCAATAGGAGATTTGTCAATGCGCGGTGGTGAGTGGGAGGGCTAGCTGCAAGCAGCTTCCCCGATGGAGTACTAAGGGTACGTGCGGCGACGGGGTTTGAGGCCGGTGGTAAGGAGTGGGGAAACGAATAGTTGGAGATAGGTCGGTGTAGTAAGGTGTGAATGGAATTTGCGCTGGAGTGTAGACTTCTGGTAGACATGCTGAGGGGAATATATGTAAATTGTGGCTGGAAATGTTGAAGATTGGCGAATTGTGCTTCGATATGTCCGAGGTACTCTGATATTACTCTGAGCTATTTTCTTCATTTGCATACTTTCTACAGACCTCAATCTACGCTCTACTCCATATCACATGAATAGTGGCAGCAAGCCTGAGAGCTCCACAGGTAATTAGAGAATATCTTGCACAAGACACCCGAGCATCCAGGCTGCAATGCCAGGCGAAAAAGTAGTCACAACCCAAAAAGTTAGTCCTATCACAAGAGTTAGAAGCCAGCGGAGACATCTCCTACTGTCTTCAACACTTGAGCACCGTGAGACAACCATGCAGCGCCCAAAGAGGTAATCTTGCTGACTCACGTTCACGACAGAGGAGAAGAACAGAAATGGGCTCGGAGCCATCTCCTTCTGCGCTCAACACCCAAGCATTTTCAACATGAGTGCAGGACTCGAATAGGTAATATTGAGCCCGAAACACGTACACCCTTGAAGACTTCGTTGTACAGATCATCGAGACCCGGTTTCGTTGATTATCGAAGTCTCGCGATTTCGGAAAGACGGCCCGAGCCAATGAGAGGCGCGCATTTCCCACCTCATGTTGCCCGCCGAAACTGCACGCGCGCCTCTGGAACCTCTTTTTACGCGATCGCGTCTCGAGTAGGCTGTCTTCGGGTATCGTTTTAGACTTCACTCCACTTGTTCCTCCTCTTCGCCGTCATCTTCATGAGGTGCGGCTTCTTTCACCGCAAGACCTCCCGCCACTGGACCCCTCGCCTCCTGCTTCCTCCACAGCTCCGCCAAAAAACCTGCCTCGCTCGCCTCTTCGATGCTCTTGTCTTCCCTCACCTTCAAGAATCTTGGGAACCGGAGACTGAGACCTCTCGCCTCGTCCACTAAACCGATCGCCGCTGTATACGTCGGACTAAGCGTGATGTCCGCAAACGCACACTCCCACACCTCTTGCGGCTCGAACCACACATCTGGATGACCTGCATCATAGTCGACGTAGCTGGGCTTGCCTCCGAGTGTGTTGTTCGTCTCGCTGGCATCCGGGTCGTACTTTGTGCGATTTGCGGCGTAGAACTTGTCCGTAAAGCCGGAGATGCATTTCGTGACTGCTTCGAGGGAGCCAGTTTCGGCGTTGCGCACAGCAAGCAGGATAGGGGACCACCATTTTGCCTTGCGTCCTTGGCCGTGCCAGGCGGCGATGGGGATTAAATCCAGAGTGTCGGCTGATGTGTTATAATCTTTTTTGACTTTAAGCCAGGAGTCTAGGCGCTTGTCTGGCTCATAGGTTGCGAGAAGCGCCTTGCGGCGTGATGTTATTGCGGGGTCGTTCTCCCCTACGGTATCTGCCTTTGTCTTCTTGGATTTTCCGCCCTTGGCGGGTTTCTTTGGGGTCGGTGGCGCCACAACTTGATTAGCTATCTCGAGCTCGGTTTGCAGGTCTGGGTTGGGCAGATTATCTAGGACTTTGACCATAATGCCCTCGCACTTGATGTCCGTAGCGCTTTTGAAGAATTCCTGCACGGCTTCCGCATCCGCGCTAGTAGCATCCAAGTTTCGGACGTAAGTGAAATGGTGTGGGATCTCCACGAAAAGACTTCTTAGAAGCTCTCTTCTTTCTCTGAATGGCCGGTTGATGAGTTCCTCGCCGTTCAAGTACATGAGATCAAACGCAAAAAGGCATACATCGATCTTTACGCTTCCGATGACGACGTCTTTTCTCGCGCGATTGGCCAGGGTTTGGAATGTCCTAAGTTCTCCAGTCTCTCGGTCGATGGCCACGACTTCGCCTTCCAGGATGAAGCTACTGACGCCCTCGCCCCTTAGCTTTGGCACGAGCGCGACTAAATCGGGGTACTTGTCTGTCATTACTTCCAAATGTCGTGAAAAGATTGTGACTTTCCCCTGATCATCGCAATGCACTTGGGCACGCTGGCCATCGTATTTGAATTCGCAACTGAAGTCGCGTCCTTGCAGTTTTGTCAACATCTCGCCCAGATCGCGGGTGATACTACCCAGCATAGGACGCAGCGGTATGTGTAATGTCAGACCGCATTGAAAGACCAGCTCATCGCAGATACCGACTTCTAGAAGCGCCGGGATGAGGTCGTTGTAATTTGGATGTCGTGCAAAACAGGCTTTTACGACCTCTTCGTTCGTTGCGTAAACCTTAGCTAGCTCATCCTTCTTATGCCCTGCGAGGTATTCAACAGTACAGATTGGGAAATTAGTGCCTGGAGGTCTCGAGATCATGAAAGCGCGAGATAGTGCGATTAGCATGGTAGTCTTGACTGCACCAATGCGAAGCTATCTAGTGGATTAGCCTATGATTCTGAGCATATACGGCAATGGTAATGAGTGGCCAAGAATGGCATGGAAAAGAAAACAAAGGCTTCCCAAACGAGAACTCGTTTCAAAATGCCACAATTTCAAGAGAAGAGGAAATATCGGTTGAACTCACATGCTGCACTAAGGTTCTTACAATGTACCTACTTTCTTCTGCGCCCCTAGCGTCTTGTACAAGCCTCTCGACAACTCGCTGTTTCATCTCCTGGCTACCCTGGCCCTTACTATTGGCAATCTTGACCAGTGATTCAAATACACTCTTGATGGTGAGGGGCTTTGGTTTACGCAGCGTGAATGATTGTCGCTTCTTCGCCTCATACGCTACGTCACCTGCGTCACCATACTTGTTGTACAGTGTCTTCAGCCCAGCATTGTCTAATCCGCACACCTTCTTCAACGCCTTTGAGATCGCTGAGCCACCGAGGCCGAGTTCGAGGTCAATATAGGGAGGAGATACAGAGTTTGTCGCAAGCCAGACCTATCACTAGCATTAGTCATGAATTGGTGGCACAACAGTAGGATACTGACAGCTGGAAGTAGGCTCTCCGGATCGCCTTCTATGAGTGTACGCAGTAAGTTGACCAAGGTATCTACGATCTTGATTCTACTCTGAGTACTGTTGACGAGAACGAAGCACCGCGTCAAAAGAGCGTAAGTCGCATTTCCGCCCTCTGACGCCCAATGGCTCTTCAATTCGGCTACGTATTCTGACGGATTAAACGTGAGGGGGCTCTGGTCAAATGGAATGTTGGCAGACACGGTGTCTTCGGCTGCTGAGGCAGATTGGAGGCCGAGAGTGTGTATATTGGTTGACTGGCCATTTCGCTGCTCCTTAGGTGGCTCATCGAGGCTCGAGGTACTTTCTTCACCCGTTTTGGATCGACCTATCACTTGTTTTTCCACATCTGCGTTTGACGCAGTGGCCCTAGCGTGGTGGGCAACTTCCAGCATCTGTGGAGCATTTTGTATCTGGTCCTCCTTATTCCACTCTTCCTGGAGCTTTCTCGCAAGCTCCTCGTCCGTTAATATGGCGCTTTCCCGCTCGTTTCCCATAGTAGTTTCCAGAGGACTAGCATTCGCGGCTTCGGTTGTAGTCTGCGGTTCGTTGGATTCATCTTTCGCAACTTCCTTCTGCCGGGCGAAGAAGTAGTCCAAACTGCGTACTGGTTGGTTGGATCCGTTGTGGTCATTCTTTTTGCGTCTCTTGGCGGGGCTGCTCATGGCGAAGCGACAGGTACCTTTGTATCAATCAGGGAAAATCGGCAGGTGTCCCTCATGGTGTACTGTTGGAAGTGCGATCACGATCCTAGAGCTAGCAGCCATGACGCGTTGGGCACAACCCCAGCTGCAGATCATCTTGGCGTGCAGCACCAGTGCACGTGATTTCCCCCCATGATCCTTATCTCCACTTCACCAGGTTCAATGAGGGGGAACGTTTCAGATTATATAATTTGCTTTTGTCGGAGGACACCCGCTCATATCGTGCGCGACGCATACCCTAGGCTGATTGCATGTTACACTGAAACAAGATGGGTATCATCCGGCCACTTGCAATTGCAACGGCTACAATCCTCGCCCCACGACATAGCCCAATACTACTCTAACAGAGGAGACAGCAGATCGCCCATTCAAGACTCCACTCTAGACCTGCTTATCGCCCTTATTTTCAAATTCAGAGTAAGTGGCATCCACCGACCCCTTCCCACTGGCATGCACACGAAGGTTACCAGGGTCATACTCCGGTGTTCCTTCAACCTCACCAGCCAACTGTTCGAGAGTCTTGCGCTTCGTCTCAGGAATTAGCAAGGTAGTGAAGATGCCTGCGAACATGAAGGCAGCGTAGATCTGCATGACATGATTAAGCCATGGCGACGCGTTGTCCTTAGTCGCACCACGCGTTCGCAGAGGCCCAATCAGCACTTGCGCAATGATAGATCCAACCTTTCCAGATGCTGCTGAGATGCCGTGGGAGCTGCTGCGGTAGCGTGTTGGGAAGCACTCGCCAGGCACGATGAACGTTGTAGAGTTGGGACCTGGGTGAAGTCAGATATGGCTATCCGATACAGTGACTCTTGGCTTACCGAAGTTGAAGAAGAACTGTGCAAGCACATACAAGGCAAGCAAGGCTTTGCCACTGAGAGAGTGATACGCAAATCCAATGACGCAGAAAATGATGGTAACAATGGTGAATCCCATGAGCTGAATGGGCTTACGACCAATGGTATCGACTGTGGCAACGGTAAACCAGTAGCCGGGAATTGCACCGGCGCAGGTGATGATCAAGTTTCCAACTGCTTGGTTGTAGAAGATCTCATACACATCGTTTCCTTTGGCATACTAGAGAACTCAGTCAGTGAATGCCTCTAGAGAAATATTTTTATCACCTACTCCGATCTGTGTGAGGATGATTGAATTATTAAGCCCTAGGCCGTAAAACGTAACGTCAAGCACTAGAAACGAGTTAGTAGTTGTTCAGGGGAGATCATCTAGGCGCTACTGACTGAACCATGAGCCAGCCGTTCCGAGGAGGACCTTGCCATACTTCCACTGGGAGTAGTGAGCGATGAAGTCTCTCCATGATGCTTGTGGGATCTCGAGTTGGTCGGCATCCTCCTGCTTCGCTCGCACGCGTGTAATCTCGTCGGGTGTTCCCTCCGGCTTTCCAGAAACATAAGCCTTGATATCTGAGCCTCCCTTCATGATATCGCGGGACACGTCGAAGGTGTATCGAGGAGTTTCAGGGATCGTAAGTCGATAGTAGAGAGCGACACATCCAGGTATAGCACCGAACCCTACAACAACACGCCACATCTTGTCAACAGCAAGACCGCAAACACCATCGCAGTCGGCAACCGTCTTTGCGGTATTTAGGGAATCCTTGAAGCCGGCAGTGACAACAAGGGCGACCATGGCGGCGGCAAACTGGCCAATTCCCTGCATAGCGAAAACCGATCCCATCATAGCTCCTCGCCATTTGGTGGTAGCAAACTCCGAGGTGATAATGGAAGACAAAGGATAGTCGCCGCCAATACCTACAGTACATTAGTATCCTTGTTGGCAAATGGGAGACCCTGACGAGGCTCACCAATTCCCATGAGCACACGCCAGAAGACAATGACACCAACGATAGAACAGCCTGGAGAATGCGCAGAGAGAGCTTGGGCGAGAGTGGCGAAGATTATCAAGATAAGCTCAAGACCATACATGCGCTTACGGCCGACTATGTCTGCGAGGATACCGAATCCGACCTGCCCAACTACGGTTCCGGAGCTGGTGGAGACCTTGATGGCAGTGTCGGCATTTGAGGGGATCTTTCCAGGATTTGACTTTGCGTCATGCCAGAAGACCACACCAAGCATACTGGTCACCATGTTGACTGCGAAGAGATCGTAGGCCTACTCGGTCAGCTCGAGAGAGTCATGATCGCGGGGGATCATCGTACATCTGTAAAGAATCCGATCCCAGCTACAACGATAGCGCGTATATGGTACCAACCGAAGGGCGCCTTGTCGATCTCTGCGAGCGCAAGGCGTCTGCGTTCATTGGGGTCCGCAATGTGCGCCTGGTAATGATATCAGTACGCCAGTCCATGCGCTCTCAGGAGCTCCTCTTACATAGTCGTTATGGAAATTATGAAATGCAGCGTTTCCTCCGGCGGTCCTGGTCATTGTTAGAGCTGGTGTCTACGAGACTAGAGGGCAGGAAGCCTTACTTGTGCACGATCTGTGACATGGTGTCGAAGCGACGATGCCCTCAAGAGTAGAAGAAAGGCGAGGGGCACGTTAGGTAGGGTAAAGGGCACGAGCTCGAGAAAAGAAGTAGACGAGTGAGACACGGGAGGGTTATATTAGCAAGATAGGAACGCGTGAAGGTGGCTCAGCCCGCCTGCAAGGAGAGTCTCGCTCGCTCTACCTGGCGGGCAGGTCCCGAGTCTGCAGAAGCCGTGGCGTCAAGCCCAATCACAATCCTGCTAGGCGGCACGACGTCGTGAAAAGGCACCAGTGAAAGAAGGCGCAGACCCGTTGCGAAGCGTGCGCCCTTCACCGTGCAGCTCGAAGGCCCCGGCAGCCGCCCATCGCTTGCACCGGTCCAGCAAGGCGGACAAGCTTGTCTCAAGCAGGGGTTCCCGCGCTTCGGGCTGGCGTTGAAATATTCGAGAACGGACGGGAGAAGTATGCCTACCGTAATCGGTGCAGGGTGAATGTCAAATATGTGGTTGAGGACAGCCAATTAGATGTCGCCAATCATGCACGTTGTCAAAGACGCCGTCTAAGGGGCCGACCAAGACCCTTGCGATTCCCGGGAAATGCGCTCCTGTTACCGGTGGCGGCGTGGGGGTATTGTATCTGGAAAGGTCAAGAACAGGGTCTGACCGCGGGCTGCTTCATTCGAGCACCGTATCAGGCAGACCACGCCCGCATCTCTTCAAACCAGTCTCCCCGCCCCTCCAAAAAGTCCAACGCAAGTTACAGCATCACTGGACTGGCACTGCTCCAAGATAACTGGACACAGAAAGTATCGTGCCGTTCAGCCACCAGCTCAGCAGCTCAAGCAGTGTCTTGCTGCAAGAGTCGTGCCGGCGATTCGAACAATTCCCTTCAGAGACCTTAAGAAAGGTTTCGCGTGATTATTGGGTGGAGCCTGTGGCGTTCAGTGACACCACAATTCCCAAGCACCACAAGACGCGAAGAAGCTCCTCGATAGTCTCGGTAGGGCCAGCCGTGAAGCACAAAGCTATCACCACACTCGTCCTTCTTTAGCCGTTTCATCGGTCTCTTCATGGTAGCGAGGTGATACAAAGGCCGCACCACGTCTCCCGCAGAGATGGCTGTAGGTGGTACAATCATCGAGTTTAAAAAGCCGTGTCATCCGCCAATCGTTTGCCTATCTTTGCGATCTTGTTTTCTAGTCATCCTGGTCTCTGCTGCTTCACTTCCAGGATTTCGGTTTCATACATCCCCCAAAGGATCAATAACCAGAAGTCTGTGCTTGTTGGAGGAGCCTTCCCCGGACTCGAGCCCGGGCCTTTCGCCGCTCATAGCAGGTGTAGGAGCAAGGACATGCGGGCTGAGAGTATTGGTGATTTCGAAGCTCGATATCGATACCTAAACCTAGAAAGTCAAAGTTCGGCCTGGATAAGAGTGCTAAGCAGTTGGCTTGAATCTCGATGTGACGATTTAGATATCACAACCTGATTATCCATAACCTGTTGGAGAACTCCAAACAGTGCCAAATGGATGTAAATAGGGCAGCTTAAGGAACAGTCTGGATGACGGCCTAATCGAATGAACGTCACTGCCTGACCTTTCCTAGATCATGGAGCACTTCAGACAGCGTCGCCCTGCTACCAAATTATAAAGCTGTGGTGGACACCTTCACCTTCATGTAACAAGAACCCGAAACGCGTCTACTGTCAACTTTTTTGAGAATTAGGCAACCAAAAAGTCGACTTGTGAAGTAAGTTAGCTAAATCTGGTCGTCGGGAATCCATGGACTTGACCTCAACATCCCTAGTTGCAATGTTCAGCATACCGTCGATTGCGATGAAATGGTCTATGGCGCATGGCCCAATAGCGACAGTAGGTGGAGTCTTCAGAGTAAAAGCTGCGGTAGTGTCTGGTGCTTCCTCTTCGGCGGCGGGCTGTAGGGCAGCATCCTTGGGTGAGATGGAAGGCGGTTGAGTCAAAGGTCTGAGTTACAGACAAGCCTGGAGGCTAGCACCTTGCCGTCGCAGGTTAGAGCTGTACAAAACACGACAGGCAGATAGAAATGTACGACGTAAGCTTGGTTTGCTTCGTGATAAACCCGGAGCTCATGTTACGAACTCTCTTGAAAACCATTACAATAGACCGCTGCCCGCCCTCTCATGCCTTGGGAGACTTCGGTTCCGTATAATCGGATCGCATAGGTGTAACCCATCTTTGAATACTCGGCCGCCGCTGATCGAAGCTTTTCGATGCGTTTGAGGGAATCTGGACGAGATAGAAGGTCGTCACTATGGATAATCGGTAAACTTGCTGGGCAAATTTAGCTATCAGCACATAAGTCTACCCAGATCAGAAGAGAGCCAACATTCTCAAACACTAGTGATTGTAGGAATTGGCATGGTAATAGTCCCAGTTCTTCTTTGCCAACTTGGCGCAAGTCACGATCTGAGAACTTCTCAAACGTACACAGTAATAATCGAAGAAATGTGATGATGTACAGTGACAGGTCATAAGTCTGTGAACACGCATTTACCACTGTTTGGGGTACCCCTATGGAATTTCAAAACCCGGGGCAGGATGTCAAGTTTCAAGCAGTGCAAATTAGACCGCCTCTTAACTTACAAACTACTTACTAGCTGGGCCGCTCCTCACAGTGGTGTCGGGTGAGCAAGATTGAAGCCAAGCAGTGATATATCCGTGTGCCAAGACTTATGGCGTAGTACTGTAAAGTGCTCTGATATATTTGTGCCTGGATTAACTAGTGTGCGACCGTTTGGTGTCCTTCAATGACTTTCCAAAAATCTAAACGAGGTGTAATGAGGTCGTATGGATTGACTTGCACACTCCCTACTTTATGTCAGAAACGTTATTTGCCAGTACTTGGAAGGGATATAGGTGTGTGAAACCTCCCCACGCAACGATCATATAGTGCAACTAGACATTTGTCGTGAAATGGCCATACGACAATCCTGGTCTAGGCTGATATGTCGCTTGGGGTTTCCTTGATAGCATCCGTTTCACGACCTATTCATTGCAGCTATGCTGGCTTTACGGAGATGTCCATTTGTGGACTCAGCGCGACGGTATTAATATTATGATTAGAACTTGATGCAGGTCATTGCTACACAATGAACCTTTGACGCTTCGTAGGGCTCGCTTGAAGCTACTCATAGGAGGTATGATCATACGTAGACCAGAACTATCATGGCTAGTGGGATTAGCAGGAGTTGTCATCTTCGAATCGGCTGAAGATTATGAATTTGAAGACTTTGCCCGTGGACGGGACATCCTAGTCGATTTCAGATAGGCTAGATCGATGAGAACACAGCGAACGAGGCAGCAAATATATCGACCCTGTTAGAGCAGGCACTGTGACAGTGCATCTTGCTTTTTTAAAGACTTGGGTTGTCCAGTGTTCCAAGATTTTGCGGTGAGGGAGGTAGGCTGTTTGGTAGTAGCCGTGGAGATGCGGTAACGCTTACTTGTAGTAAGCCGAGCCTCGACCAACATGAATTTTTAGACGCCACAGTATTTATCAATTTTTCTGAAATTTCACAGAGACATGTGCATATTTTCAAAGAAACTGCAATAATTCTTTCAGGTTACGCATCCCACGTTGTGGAGTTGGAAGCTTTGAAAAGTGTCGTAAACCCTCCGATCTCGGAGTGTCTCATGGAGCCTGCCACCAAGCGCCGTTCCTTTGATGTGTAGCCAATAAGGAGGAAGAGGGATACGAGGGATTTCAACGCCACCCCGCAGTTTTGATCCATCCAAAATTTAGGGTATATATATCAATTATTTTTGGACGTCTTCGAAATTCGGGGATATAGGTAATTCTTCCAACGCCAATCACCTTGAAGCAAAGCTAACGATTAGGAGCTCAGTGGTAGAGCGCCCGCTTTGCATGCGGGAGGTCTGGGGTTCGATCCCCCATATCTCCAGAGTATAACTCTTTTTTGGTGTTGAATTGGGAGAGTTTTCAACTCGGTAGCGTCACTGAACCACCGCGGGGCAGTCTGCGGAAGGAACACCAACTGTTTTACGTAGTATTAGCGTTTATATGTTGAAATATCATGCCAGAACATCAGCCTTGCGTTTGGGATGGTTTGATGATAAACTTTTGATCATTGGTGCAATTCAACGGGGCACGAGCCATCACCGTGGTACTTCAGACAATACGGGGAATTCAGGACCAAGTCACACAAGTTTCTTATTAGGAACAATCTCCAGAAGCACTAAACTTATCAAAATTGAGCTCTTTAACGTTCGTGAATGGATAAGATCCGTCAGTGACCGCCAGGAGTTACAAGACAAGACTATTACTATACCCAAACATCGAAGAGCTAAAATGTTTGATCGAGCAAAAAATTATAGGTCTTCAAACGGAACCAGCAAACTTTAGTACCAGCGAGCCCCTTGCAGCCGGAAATTTATGTTTGAGGTGACCAAGTTGGGGTGGTGCCAAGACATTGCGGAGCGGAAGCGGGAGAGACGAACCCTGAAACAACACACCCTCTCGAGCTTCATGGAGATACTCTAGCTACGAAGATGAGGCTACGTTCACACCAAAAATGGCATTTAATTGCTCTCACTGCGGCCTGCTCATTTTTTGGCTTCTCCCAAGCCTCCCTCGGTGATAGGCTGCCCGAGTTCAAAGAATGTGTGAAGGTGAGATACTACCTCCCTTCGGGCCCAGCACGCGCTCACACAGGTTCTACAGGTCTGCAAAGAAGCCAATTGCGGAGATAACCCGACGCCCATATGTGAGTCTCCAGCTGCCGCATCATAGGGATCGACCTGGCGCTGACCCGGCGACCTTCCAGCTCTCCACCACCGGCTCCTACTCTGGGACTGCCCGTCCGAATGCGACTACACATGCCAGCACGTCGTGACCGACATACGGCTCGCGCGCGACCCTCCCTACATGCAGCCGATCTACCAATTCCACGGAAAATGGCCGTTCTACCGCTTCCTAGGCATGCAGGAACCCTTCAGCGTCATCTTCTCCCTCTTCAACTACCTCGCCCACGACTACGGCATCTCCCGACTCCGCAGCGAAGTCCCCGCCTCCTACGCCCTGCGTAAATACTACCTGCTATTCGGGTACTTTGGGCTGGCGAGCTGGACATTCAGCATGCTGTTCCACACACGCGATTTTGCTTTCACGGAGAAGATGGACTACTTCGCTGCGGGCGCTAGCGTCATGTACGGGCTGTACTACGCGCCAATCCGCATATTCCGCCTGGATAAGCGCGACGCGGTCAAGCAGAGTGTGTTGAGGGCCTGGACACTGCTATGTCTCTCGCTCTACTCTGCACATGTCTTGTATCTCTCGCTGTGGAGTTGGGATTACACGTACAATATGGCAGCGAACGTGGCGGTGGGGATCGTGCAGAACTTGATGTGGAGTTGGTTCAGTTACAATCAGTACAAGAAGTTGAATAGGACGTGGGCGATGTGGCCAGGGTTGATCGTTGCGTGGATAGTCATGGCGATGAGTTTGGAGCTGTTGGACTTCCCGCCCTGGTGGGGCATGGTTGATGCGCATAGCTTGTGGCATCTGGGGACTGTTGGGCCTACGATTTGGTGGTACAAGTAAGTAGATTCTTCATGAGAGTACATGACGGAAGGCTAATATTTGACAGCTTTCTACTCAAGGACGCGCACGAGGATTTACAAGGGACGCGACTGAAGGCTTAGGCGATGATGATGAGCGAAGACATTTGCAAGCGAACTTGTTTAGGGTAAAAAGGTGGAACATGAGGTTTGTAGGGCGCGTTTAGATGAGCATTTACACAGGTTAGCATCACAAATACAGGGTATTATACTACTATTCGAGCATATTTTCGACGAGGGGAAAGTTTTACTAACGGAACAAATAAAGACGGTCTAAGGCAATGCAACACAAAGTGCTCGCTCTAGTACAGACATAGCTTAACTCCATACAAACGCTAGCAAAAACAATTACGAAAGGAAACTCGTGAGCTCTCTCTTCAGGTCTAAAATCAATTTCTCTGCACTCTCTAGACCCAACATCTCTACCGGACAAAACACGCCCACATCCAACGAGCCATTCTTAATCGTAGCTTCTACATCAATCGTGTGCTAAAATCTAATGTCAGCAAATAGATGTCTTCTCGAGCAGATTCAAGACCCACCAAGTACGATTCCCTGACCATATTGTCTTGGATTTCTGTTGCGGCGACGAACTCCTTCTCCATCCCCGCTTGGTCTACCGTCCTACTCCACGCTTCCTCCCCTCCATTGGCTTCTTGAATCTCCAGAGTTTGTTTGATAGATTCGGTGTCCGCCTTAGGCAACTTTAGAAAGTTGAGAAAGGTATCAATCTTAACTCCAGTCCACGTCGAAATCTCCCACAGCGCCACCGCTGAATTCTCTAAGCTACCGATATCTTGAAGATCACGCTGTATCTGCGCGGCAGAGTCCTGAAGACTTGTGGACTGTGGCGTCTTGATCCGTAGAGGCACCAGGTTCACTATCGGCGCGGCGACATCGGAGAGGCCTTCGATTGCATGCGATCGATTTGCGAGGTAAATTCCAATCACGACGTCTTCGTCCTTGAGGTCTGAAGCGATAGGGAGAAGAGCTGAATACAACCTGCCATATGCCGCCAAGAATAGTGATTGGATGCTAAGCCCACTTTGCCTAGACACGCTCTCTAAGGCTCCGACGTCCTCGATTACGCTGGGATTGAAGACCTCTACTCGAGACGAGACTGCGCTACTGGGTTGCGCGAGATGTCTATACGAGGCGCCTTCCAGATACGAAGTCCAAAAGGACCGACGTGTCTCGCGAGCATCCTTGGTCGAATTGATAGCCAGTGCTTTTGTGAATGCGGAAATCTGGGGAACCTGCGCTGCAAAGCTATTGCAAAGGTCCTGAAGCTGGTGTATCAATATCGGTAGGCTCACCCCGTCGTACAGAGCATGGTGGATTTTGAGAGTTAGAAGCCAGTGGCTCGCAGATTGCCGAGCGAAGAGAAACACATAAGGCTGACGGGTGCTGTTTTCTTCGATAAAGCGGGTCCTTCTAGCTTCTTCAATGTTGGAGACATCGTGGAATGAATTGGTCACGTTTCGGAGTACGCCTTGTAGGAATGGAGTCTCCGGATCTCTTGTGGCAAAGAAGCAAGTACGGAGCAGAGGATTACGAGCGACCAGTTCATCCCATGCTCGACGTAGGATATCTATTTTGAGGGACGGTAAAGTGCGATATTGAAACTCCGGATAAAACAGCGTACCGCGGGTGTTCACCCAGTTACAGAGCATGTATATCTGCCCAGCCGAAGCGGGGAGGATCTTTTCGAAGCTATCAGAAGAGACGCCAGCTTGAGATAGTAGTGCAGGTATGTTTTGCTTTTCCAAGGACGCAGAAATTAGAGCTTCCGTGTCGGAGGTTGATAATGGTGCATCCGGCTTCCCTTGATCGGCTAGTTGTGCCATTTTCTCCACTGTGGCTGCCCGAAGCATGTCGCCTACACTCAAATTCACAGATCGTTTCCGGAGAAGAGAAGACACTTTGATGGCACTGATTGAGTCGAGACCGAGATGGAACATGGTTATGAATTTCGAGACCTCGTCTTTAGGTATCTTCGACACCGCTGAGAGCACGTCGCGAATACTCAACTCGGTGGGGGACCATGCGGAAGACGTGATGTCTGATGGTTTTTCATCTTCTGGATGATGAGGCATGCTGGGCGATTCTGCTTGGTCTTCGTACGGTGGTAGCCCGCAGATGCTAGTCTCGTTACTCTTGATGTTGATAACCGGCCCGTCAGGATGTTCCATAATATTCTTCAATACCATATCAAACCGGTCGATCAACTCCGCAGTACCCTCTTGGTCAAGAGCTGCATCGTGGGTAGCGCAGCGCCAAATCAGATGATTCTCCACGATCTCCATCTCGGTACAAACTGGATATTCGACATCAGATAAACCGCCAACTGATTCGTACAGCGGCTCCTGCGTGTCTAGGGAGGCTTCGGGGCTCCTTTGGTAAATGAAGAGAGTGTCCAAAACGGCTTTCCCTGGCGAAGCAGCAAACCTTTGAGCGATGCGCAAGGGGAAATGTTGGTATTGTCGAATACGCGCAAAGTTGTCTTGCACATCCCGAAGCAGCTCAAGTCGACTTCCATGGAGAAACACGCGAATGGCGACGGTATTCATCGTTGGAAACATGACGTTCGTCGTCAGCTCGCTGTCCCTCCCCGATAAGATGGACCCGAAGACTACTTCGAGAGTGTGTAGATATGAGGCAAGAATTAATGACCAGACGGTCTGTCCGATTGTCTGCAGAGTCATTCCGTACTTCTTGCTGAAGGACATCAACTGAGAAAGTGGAATCTCGCTCACGCGTTCTAGTCGGTGCTGCTGATCCGATTGGCTTTCCGGGGACCTATTTCGTGGGAACGTTATCGACTCGGCACCAGAGAGATAGTTTTGCCAAAATGTGTTTGCCTCAGGACCCGACGCATTCAAAGTCTGTTCCAGAACCTTATGATATGAGGGTCGGCTTTTGTATAGACCGAAATACGCCCTTCGAACATCTTCATGCAAGAGGGTGAGCGACCATCCATCGTATAATGCATGCGCGAGAGATAAGATAAGGTAAGAGGCCCCTGGGCACTTTACGAAATGGATTTGGAAAAGATTCGTAGGTTTCGAGCGAGCAGCTGTTTTCCGAATGTCATCTATGAGCTGCGTTATTTGATCTTCGTTCCCGAGTTCAATCTCATTCCAAGGCAGTGCAGGAGATCGTGAGGCGATCTGAGCGAACGAAAAATCTAAAGCTGGGTCGTCTATCTCCATGAATGAGGTTCGAAGAATTGGAGATTGTTGATAGACGTTGTTCCAAGCATCTCGGAGCTTCAAGATGTCGACATTGCCGCCTAACTTCAGAGTATCGTGATTGAAATACCTGGTAAAGTCGGAAGATATCATTTCCGCGACCATACCTTCTTGCAATGGAGTCACCGGAAGCACATGGTCGACTGCTTGTTGCCCGTGGCTGCTCTTCCGGAAGATCTCGTCCAGTGTTCGCAGTTGACGTTGTATGTCATCTGGATGTACTGAGGCCTCATTGCTCGGCTCGCTTGTAATTTGTTGTGTAATCTTCGAGATTGTTAGATTTCGCATGATCGAACTGACTGGAATGTCTATTTGACGCCTTTTCAGCCTGGAGGATAGCTTGATAGCATCAATACTATCGAGTCCCAGTTCGAAGATCGAAGTCCGCTCGTTGATTTCAGCCGTATCGATGCCAGCCAGCGTTGCTATCTCGGCTCGAATTGTGGACGCTTGTGGTCCCCAGTCATAATCTGTATTCGGATTTGAAGATGGATCCGGAGACTTATCGGTCGGGAGTGGATAGAGAGCAGTGTCGGAAGAGTCGAAGATGTCGCCACAAGTACCTGCTACTAAGGACTCCGCATCTTTAAGAAGCGAGCTCAGGGTAGTTTCAAACTCATCAAGCAACTTGGAGGAACTCGAGTGGTCGAGGACATGGCCTTGGGCAACTATTGTAAGTTTCAAAGACCCGTCTTGACTCTGATCCACCTCAAAAGCAAGCGGATAGTCGGCTGTAGAGCCATCATCAACCAAATTCCAAAGGTCGTTATGAGCCCAAGTACTGCTATCCCCATCAGCTCGTTGATAAACGAATAGTGTATCAAAGAGGGGTTCTTTCGAAGTTCGTTTGTTCCATTTCATAATGTCCCTCAATGGAGTATGCTGAAATGCTATAGCCGCGGTGTTGAAATCATGGCATCTCGTGACTAGAGTCGCCCATGTGTCTGGTCTTTCAATCCGAATGTGGAACGGAATAGTGTTGAATAAAGGTCCGATCGTGTTTTCCGCGCCCTCAGAGTCGATTGATCTTCCAGAGACCACCATGCCCAGCGTGACCGCACTTTTGACGTGAATCTGCATGACCGCTGTCCAACAAGCTTGTGCAATTGCTTGATGCGTAACCTGAAGCTTCCGCCTGATGGTTTCGTAATGTTCAAGCCCCTTTAGCTTTCTAGTGACTACAACATCTTTCGTCTGTGTCGTTGCAGCTAGGGATGGGAATGGCCTGTAGTGTGCTGCTGCAAATTTTTTGGTCCAAAAGCCTTGAGCACCTTCGTTTCTCCTAAGGGGCCCAAAGGGAAGAACAGATTGGAACGGCGGTCCATAAGAAACGTTTCCAGTGTTTGGGTACTCTTTCAAGACGGCGGCTAATAGCATAGGCAAGCTGCTTCCATCGTACAGTGCGTGGAATATGTGCAAAGCGAGGACCACCCGACCAGGCGACCTCACCAACACTAATTCGAAAGGCTTTCGGAGAACAACCCTGTTCTCTTTCCACCACCTTTCTTTCCGAAGAGCAAGATGCTGGTCAATTTCAGTGGAGCTAGAGATCGAGATTTCTTCCCACGGAAGAGTAATTTTGCGAAGAGCCACCTGCAAAAAGCCGTCCCCAGTATTCGCAAAGCACGTTCGTAGGATTTGTGTCGATGCGAAACCCTTTTCCCAAGCGGAGCGCAGTTTTAACTCGTCAACCATATTCGAGAGGTGAAGCTGGAAGGACGCGAAGTACAACGGCTGCTCGCTTTCGAGCGACCTCGCAATCATGCCTTCTTGTAGCGGCGTGCACGGGGAAATAGATTCGACATTACTTGAGCTGATCTTGAGAGCGTCCACAACGGTGCTCCGTTGTCGGTGTTGAATCGCTGCCATTGTTTGACGAGCCTCGATGGTTGCGGCGAGTTCACGAGAGCTATCATCATCTCTGCTTGTCAGGGCCTTTGCAAGCCGACTTATGGATGCATCTAATTTGCGGAGGTCAGTGCGTGCTATGTCTATGAAATATGAAGCGCTTACTTTTCATCACCAAAGATGCTTGTGCGTTGGTAAAACCAGCTTCCTTCAACTTCTTAGCAAATCCGATTACTGAGATCGAGTCGAGGCCAAGCTCAAAGATGCTTGATGATTTACGGATTGCGTTTGGATCAGTATTGGCAAAGTCCCTCACAACATCTCTAATGCGACGCTCGGTGGTTGACCACTTTTCGTCTTGATCCCATGACAAGCTCGAGAGAAGCTGAAGATCATCCGTAGCAAGGGAATTGTAGAGCTCACGAAGCTGCTTTGCGTCCGCTTTGTTGGTCGCGGATAACGGCATCGAGGTAATTGGAACGAAGTGAGTGGGAACCATGTATCCAGGCAGCTTGTCTAAGCAAGCCTCTTTGGCAGGTTTCAACTCTGCACAGCTGTCAATCGAAATGGCAGATTCCTTTCGGGACTTAGACAACAACTTTGTGGATACAAAGGTGACAAGTTGCTCTTTCTGTTGTTTTGGATGCTTCAAGACAAGGGTGGCTACATCGAGTATCGTTTCTGAAGCCTGCTTAATGACGGAATTGATCTCTCCAATTTCCAGTCTTTGCCCGCGTAATTTCACTTGGTCATCCGCTCGGCCGCAGAAAGAGAAAGAGTTGTCGTGCAAGATGCGGACTAAATCCCCAGTCCGATAAACACGCTCGCCAAATCTGTCGAGCCACGGGAAGCGCTCCTTGGTCAGATCGACTCGATTCAGGTATCCTTTTCCCACCAATTTTCCCGACACACACAATTCTCCAATGGCTCCACGAAGAACGGGAATATCAGTATTTGACTTGAGGACATAGGACCCAACATTATCGAATTGAGGGCCAATATTGGAAGTCTTTCCGTTTTCGGGGACCCTGGGGAACATGGTAACACCGATAGTGGCTTCTGTCGGTCCATATCCATTGTATATGACACCTTTTGGACCCCATACGTCAAGGATCTCTTGCTTAAGCTGCTCTCCGCCCGTGATGAATACGCCTTTGCAGAGGCTTGGAACATCGTCAGGATGGATGATACTAGCGAGACTTGGAGTGAGGTCGATGTGCGTAATATTGAGACCTCTGATGGCAGCCGCAATGTCTTCGAAGATGAGATCACGAGGCGCAGAAACGACACGGATTCCAACAGACCAACTCCAGTATTGCTCCAATACCGAGACATCGAAGTGGAATGATGCGAATTGGAGCCAACGAGACTTTGAGTCCCAATGGCCTGCGAAAAGGCGCTGGAATGCGAGCATAGCCTGAACTGCGTTCTCATGCGTTATCTCGCAGCCTTTTGGTGTACCGGTAGTACCCGATGTGTACAGGCAGTAGCTAGTATCCTGGCCAGTGATTGGGCGTTCCAGTTTGATTTTGGTTGTCACTGTAGGTCTAGTGATTTGATCGTCGAGATTCACAACGGGGACATCGACTCGGCTCCCGAGATCCATTGATTGGGCACTCATAGTAAGCAGTAAGTCTGCCCCGGAGTCCTTGAGAATAAACTCTTTTCGTGCTGTAGGTGCGCTTGGATCGAGTGCCACGAATGCGCATCCTGCTTTGAGTACACCGAGCAACGCGAAGGATGCTTCGGGACACTTATCGAAGCATGTAGCGACCATACCGCCTGGCTTTACACCATACATCTGGAGTAAGCTGGCAATCTTGTCTCCTTCCATATCGAGTTCCGCGTAAGTCCAACACTGGCCAACAGCTTCTCCTGATTGGAAGGCCCGAACGAATTCAAAGGCTATCTTCCGCGGCTGCTTCTTAGCATTGGTCTCAACAAATTCGTGAAGAAGTTTGATCTCCGAGGAAATACAAGGCTCCTTCGCAGGTGTGATAGAGTACAGCAGGGTATCATGCGGTTCGGTTCGCTGGGACACCTTGCTTGGAGGTAGCACTAGGTTGCCGAGGAACGCGTCTAGCTGGTCAAGAATCAGAGAGGCTTGCTCTACTGGGATCGTGTAAGAAGAGAACGTGATGCGAAGTTCGAGTGTAGTGGCGGCAGGCTCCATTTCGATAGATATCGAGTACTAACTCGTTAGAATTACCATTGGAGACTGATTTTGGGGTTGTACTCACATTATCCGAGGCCTTTTCCCGAGTGACCTTCCATGGCCGAGACGTAGCGTCTTGATTGGAAACCTTCTGAAAGGCGAAGATGGTATCGAATAGTGGCTGGTCAGGAAAGCCAGCAATGCGCTGTATCTCGATTAGAGGAGTGAATTGGTGCTTCTGGACCGAAGAACTGAATTCCATTATCTCCTTCAGAAGTGTATCGTTCTCTTTATCGGTGAGATACGTCACGGGCACGGTTGTGATAGTCGGAAAAGCAACGGTCTCCGAATCTTCGATCGTACGGCCCGAAAGAACAGTGCCAAATGTAACATTGGGGTCGCCTGTGTATGCGGCCAAGACCAAAGCCCAGGCAGCTTGTCCAGCAGCTTGCATAGTAATGCCTCTGGCGCGACAACCATATTCAAGGTCACTCATGCTCCGAGAGCTGGTCTTCGACAGGATTTGGGGCGGCGCATTTTTAATTGTAAGGGGAGAAAGGTTCGGGAAATGTGATGGATTTACTTCTTTAGTTCTCTCCCTCCAAAATAGGAAGGCTTCGTCATCCCTATTGCGTAGGATAGATCCAAGTACTGCATCTAGAGAGCTTGTCGGAGAGGTAGGAAGACCACGATAAGCAGCAGAAACATCTCCAAGAATGAGGTTAAGACTGTGTGCATCGTACAGGGCATGGAATATTGCTAGGTCCATAGTGACTCGATCGCTGCTAGATGCGATTCTTAACCGCCACGGAAGCTTGTGGAGATTTTTCAGTACTTGAATGGAGACATGATGTAGCCATTGGTCGATCTCGTGCACATCGTCCGAATAGTGCTCATTTGCATCCCAAGGGATACTCATTCCAGCTCCGAAGTAGTGGACCATGACAAAAGGGTGAATTTGGTCATCAACGTGGGCAAAGCCTGTGCGTAGCATGATATGCTTTTGCATTGTTGCGGACCAGGCGGAACGAAGCCGAGAGACATCCACTCCCTTGTCAAGTTGGAGTTGCAGATAATTGAAGTACATAGCGCCGCCTGACTGAATGAATTTGGCAATCATGCCTTGTTGGAGAGGGGTGCAAGGACGAATGGACTCAATGGTTTCCGATCGCGGACCGTATGAATTGCAGACAAGTGGTCGGAGGGACTGCTCCAGAGCGTCAAATCCATCGGCGCTCTGTTCTACCCTTGGAGATTTAGTTAAGGTTTCAACCTTGCTTGCCAGGTCAACACAGTTTGGATTCTCGAGGACGTCACTGGCGGATACTCGGAAGTTTTTCCTTCGTAGTCTCGCCGCAACCTGTACGGCACTGATGCTGTCCAGTCCGAGGTGATAAATTGTTGTGCGAAGTCTGATAGTGTCTTTAGGAGTGCGGGATAGGATGGAGAATATGCTTCTGATCTCCTTCTGCAATGCAGTCCAGTCAGCTTCATTGTCCATTTCGTCGCCTATTGGCACTAAGCCGGCATCCGCGTGACCTCGGAAGATATCTGTAAGCATACTCTTGTCAATCTTTCCCGCTGAAGACAGTGGAATATCGGGAATTGGTATCAAAAAGTTTGGGACCATGTAAGCGGGCAATTTTTCAGTCGCTGCTGAACGTGCAGCCTGTTTGATGACGCTATCCGAATCGTCCTTTCGTCTCCTCGTGACCATGAACACAACTAGTTGATCTTTTGCATCCTTCGACTTGCGCAGTATTTGCGTATTGACAGCCTTGATATCCTTGTGTGAGTTTTTGATAACTTGACTAATCTCACTAAGCTCGACGCGAAGCCCTCTTATCTTGACTTGATCATCGGAGCGTCCGAGGAATTCGAAATTGCCGTCCGCTAGCATTCGAACCATATCGCCCGTCTTATAAAGACGCCGTCCACTGAGATCAATGAATCTTGAATTTGTGAGTTCTTCGTTTGCATAATATTCTCGAGCTACTTGAGAACCGCCTATGTGAAGCTCTCCAACGCCCAATACGGGCACTATGGTTTGGCCATCCTTCGAGACAACCGTGAAGGACGTTGTTGTAAATGGTTTTCCGATGACACTTGGCTTGATGTCCGGCCTGGTGGGAAAGATGGTGCAGCAGAACGCTGCTTCCGTTGGACCGTATGAATTGACGCATTGGCTATTCCACTGATTGATGATATTAGGTAGCATTGCCTCACCAATACAAAATAAGAACTCGACGGAAGGTACATCGGGTTTTGAGATAGTCGCAGCCATGGTTGGAGTAAGGTCCAGTAGCGAGATGCCCATCGTGTTGATAACCTTCGGAAGATCGTTCAGCATAGCAGATTGGTCTGCGGCGCATAGACAGAACCCGAAGGACCATGCCAGGAAACAATCGTAGTAGCACATGTCGAAGGTCGTGGCTGCGTACTGTAGAAGCTTTGACTGCGAGTTCCAAGGTATGAGTCGCCTGGAGCTCTCAATGGTTTGAATAGGGTTGCGATGTTCGACGGCTACTGCCTTGGGTCGCCCAGTAGACCCAGATGTGTATAGACAGTAAGCTAGACTAGACGGCTTCACGCCCAATACTTGAGGAGTGCGGTTACTGAAGCGATATGCTTCTGTCGCATCTACAACCTGTGCTCCTTTACACCAGCTAGAGGCCATATCAGCTGTGTCCAATACGACTGATGAACCTAGCTCCGCAAACATGAATCTTTTGCGCTCATCGGGGAGCTTCGGATCGAAGGGTGCAAACGCCGCTCCTGCCTTCAGAATGCCGAGAACGCCAGCGTAGAATTCTGGACTTTTAGGCAGATGTATGGGAATGACGTCTTCAACTTGGACTCCTCGAGCCAATAGAGCATGCGAAATCCTGTTAGAGACTTCATCAAGCCTCCTGAACGACCATACTGTTTTCTCGCCACTTCCATGCAGGAAATATAGTGCGGGTTTGTGGGGGTGGAGCACAGCGTTCCGTTGGAAGGCGGAAATGAGCAAGGGACCATCGGGAGGCTGTAGGGTTATGTAGTCCTCATTACATATGGAAAGCAATCGTGGAGGAATCCCACTGGTTTGAATAGCTGAAAGCAAGGGATCAAACAAGCATGAGCGCAAAACGTGATCGAATACTTCAGCAATCGACTCAGCTTCGGCCTTTCCAGCGATGTTTTGATGATAGTGCAGTGTCAACTCGATGGCGTCTATGTCCGGACTAGGCGTGATTTCACAGACTAAGGGTATGTCCATCCTACTAACATCCTCTTTCAGAGCCCACAAGTTATGGTCGAGTTCCTGTCGTGCATGCTGTAAAATGAAAAGACTATCAAAGAGCCTGCCGCCCTCCGGGCAAGCCTTCGACTGGATTCTTCGAAGGGCGGCCAATTGGACTGGTAGAGAGCCTACATTGAAGTCCTGGAGAGTCTGCGCTAGCTCTTCATTTGAGCTTATAGACGTAAGGTCTACCCGGACAGGTATCGTATTGAAACATGGCGCCACGAGTCGCTCTAATCCAGGTACTGGAAGCGTGCGCCCACTGACAACATTGCCAAAACAAATGTCGGTCTCTCCAAGGTAATAGTGAAGAAGCTTCGTCCACACTGATTGCATCATTGCAAGAAGAGAGAGCGACCTCCGTTGACATTCTCCAAGTACGGCGTCAAGTTTGATCGTCAGATTTCTCGAGACGCTTCCTCCATGACTAGAGATCTCCATCGATGAAGTTGGTTTTGCAGTGAGGTTAGGGAACGCTGAGGGTTCGTAGTCCCGCAATTTTTCAGACCAGAAGAGTTCTGCATTCTCGGCATCAAGCGACACCAATTCCTCTAGGTAAGGTTCGTATGATACTGGTGCTGGTAATTCTGAGCCTTGATAAAGCTGTTCGATCTCGCTCAAGAGGTATGATATTGCTGCCCCGTCATACATGGCATGGTGACAGTAGAATAGTAAATGACTGGCCGACCCAGATTTGAAGAAAGCCAAGCGTATAGGAGGCTTGTATGGCGATACTAGAGAAGGAGAAATGTCCGCAATGTATTGCTCTATACGTTGCTGCAAGTTCTCGGACTGAATATCGACGTCATCCCAGGCAATGTCCTTGGGAGAGAGTACGATTTGGGCATATGCATATTCTGATTCTTCGGTCGCTACAAAGCACGTTCGTAGAATTGAATGTCTTTGAGTCATGGTCTGCCAGCAGTTGCGCAAAAGGGACTCTTCGCCAGTGATTTCAAACACCATTTTGTTGAAATATGCAGATGAATCTGACGAGTCGCGGGCTGATAGCATTGCTTGCTGCAAAGGCGTACAAGGCAGGATCCTCTCAACTTGCTCTCCGTGCTCTTGGAACTGAGTGCAAATACTAGACTTGAACTCGTCGTCGAATATGGTATGCAGATTTCGAATTGCGATCCGTTGAAAGGTCTTGCCTTCGGTTTTGTCCGCAGTGATGCTACTAGCCAGACGTGATATGCTCGGATTTTGAAGGATGCGAGAAACCGATACGTGTGCGAGTCCAGCCTCTCCGATCTGGCGAGAGAGTGATATTGCGGAGATAGAGTCCAATCCGAGACTGAAGAACGACGTATTCCGTCTTATTCGAGAGGAGTCTATCTTCACCACGGAACTAAGCAAATCCACTAGTTGACGTTCGAAAGCAGACCACTCTCCGCCGTCGGATGCTTTGGAAGAGTGTTGCCCGACTTGATCCAGGTACTCTGAGGCCAGATTTTGAAACGCCGCAAGAAGTTTGCGTTTGTCTACTTTCGATTGGTGGGTCATTGGAATTCTCGTTACTGGTATCAGGTGTGCTGGAATCATGTATGACGGCAATTTAGAGTCCAATCGTTCGAAGGTAGCAGAGATGACAGCGGCCAAATGCTCATCGATAGGATCTGGAAGCACGGAAAAATCATGAGATGCCAGTCCTCTGGGTATCCAGAACGCGACAAGGGCCTGTACTCGATCTTCATTCTCGTACAAGACACTCACTGTGTCGTGTACAGACTCCGAATCTAGGATACTAGAGCTTATCTCTCCAAGCTCAACTCGTTGTCCCCTGATTTTGACCTGGTCATCAGATCGTCCAACGAATAGTATCTCATCGCTAGGTAAAAGTCGACCAAGGTCTCCACTACGGTACAGTCGACCATACTCAGGATGCTCGAATATTTTAGCGGCCGTTACATCTGGCAGGTTGAGATAACCACGAAAAACTTGGTCACCGCCAAAACATAATTCGCCTACACCCCCTCGCAGGACTAGCGCATTCCCGGTAGCGTCCAAGACGAAGGCTGAAGTATTGCAGAAAGGAGGACCGATGTTGGATATCACGTCATACGAGTCGACATTGGCATTGACCGTACAAATGTTGGTAGTCTCGGATGGCCCGTACCCTTCGACACAGAAAGTTTAGCAAGACTTCGAAAGACGAATAATTTAAAACTGCGATTACCTTGATAAAGACCTTTACCAGCCCATTTCCTCCTCACTTGCTCAGTGAGCGCTTCTCCGGCAGTCACAAGGAACTGCACCTCAGGGACGTTTTCTGGATCAACAAGCGCAGCAACAGTGGGGGTAAGGCTCAGATGCGTAACCTTGAACTGTCTGATGGAGCCTTCAAAGTCGTGGAATAGATCATCCTTCGTGGCGGAACACAAACACATGCCGGTGTACCACGTGAAAAATATTTCGAAAACGGACACGTCAAAGGCTTGCGAGCATGATTGTAGAAGTCTCGAGCTATCGTGTACCGGATAGATTTTGGACAGTACTTTGAGGTTACTAGCAAGGTTGTCTTGGGTAATGAGAACACCTTTGGGTGTCCCGGTGCTACCGGAGGTGAAGATCGCATATGCGAGATTGCCACCCTTGTATGGTATGGCGATGTTCTGGTCGGAGTGAGCGGAAAAGCTAAGAGCATCCACGTTTAGAACAGTATGCTGATCTTCTGATTCGATACGTCCGGAGCACGAGGAATGACTGATACATGCTTTGACTCCCGCTTCACGGAGTATCCACAGAGTCCGTTCTACGGGTGTGTCCGGGGTGATAGGAACATATCCGATGCCGAGCTTTGACACAGCAAGAATAGAGACATACAGGTCAATGGACTTCTCCATGTATATGCAGATCAATTCTTCGTTCCCAAATCCGCTGGCCTGGAGTAGTCTCGCAAGCTTATTGGCCCGTGAATTTAGGTTCATGTACGAAATAGTTTGTAGTATCATCGATGGACCTGGATTCCTTAAGCCAAATGACACCGCAGGCCTATTTGGTGCATGCTTAGCCCATGTTTCCACAGAGTAAGCTGGTCCATGGTCAATGCGCTGTCTGATAGGTCGTGGGTTTGCGATAGAGAGATTTGAACTGCCAAGGGTGCTACTGAATCGTAGAGGGTTTGTGTCTCGATGCCGAATAAGATGGTTGACCAGATCGTCAAGTTGTGATAGCAGAATCCGGATTTGGGATTCAGGTATGAAACAGGGATCGTAATTTGCACGGTAAAGAATGCCGTTTGTAGTCGGAGTTATCTCTAGTGTGAGCTTGAACTCAAGTCTGTCAACACTGTCGATGATTTTCACTGCTAGATTCTTCAGATTATGACTTTCTAATGATTCCTGCCATACGAAGAGAACGTCGAAAAGTGAAACCCCTGGGTCTATTTCACATGATCTCTTGATGTCCCTGAGTGGCGTGGTGCAATGGTTGATTGCAGCTCTATTCGACTGATGAATGCTCTCCAAGATGTTTTTCGCTGTCACGCATTTTGATACCGAAATCCGGAGCGGAAGAGTCGCAATACAAGGCCCAAGAATCTCCTCAATGCCAGTAATAGCAAGAGTCCGACCAGATGTTACTGTGCCAAAGACGACATCAGTGGAGGCTAGATAAGAGCCGAGGATGAATGCTAAACCAGCTTGGAAGAACACTTGGGGATTTATCTGCAGCTCATTTGCTCCGACTTTGAGCAAATCTTGGTTCACGCTTGACCTGTGAGAGAAAGATTGCAGTGAAGCAGCCACGATGATCTTGCTGTTGAGGTTCGGGAAAGGCGTGGGCTGGTAATCGGCTAGCTGATCCTTCCAATATCTTCCAGAATCGTTACTTGGTTGTGAGTCGCGAAGTGACGAATAGCGTTGAACCACTTCACGGAATTGGGGTCGACTATGGCTCCTTCTGCACAAAGAGAGGTCGCTTAAATCTTTCAAAATCAATTCGAATGACCAGCCATCGTACAAATAATGTGGTATCTGAAATAGAAGTCGCGGCTTCTCCCCCTTTACATTCACTTGCACCTTCAGTGGTCGCAGAAGTGAACTCGAACTATCAAGAGCATAGCCTCGAGTAAAGTGCTCAGATTCTTCGATCTGGGCATCGTTCAAGCTCTTCCAGATAACTTGTGCGTACGGAGTTTCAAAGTGAGGGATGCCGCAGAACCCAGACCTGAGAATTTCGTTTTTCGCCGCAAGAATTACCAAAAACCTTTTGACTTCCGAAAATGTATGGGTTGTTAACATCTCAACTTCGATCCAGTTGCAATAAGCGTCCGAGTGAAGAACAGTCTCCGCAAGCATGGCCTCTTGTAGCGGCGTACACGGAATGATATCAGCAATCAGCGCTCGATGTTGCTTCAGCTCTGGCTTGTCCAAAGCTAGATCTTTTATATCTTTGAATATATCACTGCACTGACTAGGCAACGTTGGTGGCTCAATCCACGGTTGTTCCGTAGCGCGTGTTTTTAGAGCCTTGACATCTGGTGCGGATAGCACGTCTGTAGCATCAACACGGTATCCAGCTCTTCGCAATTGGGATGCTATTCGAATTGATCGTAAGGAGTCCAGGCCAATGGTAGCGAAAGAAGTCGAAAAATCTATTTTCTGGTGAAGTACGTCCTGAACGATACTTAATACTGTGTCTTTGCAACAATCCACTATTACACTGCCATCATCTCTTGATGCGCGCTCGGGATTTTTGAGAGAATAGTCCGCCTCGAGCTTCCGTTTATCAACCTTTCCGGAAGGAAGTTGTGGGAAAGTGGAAAGTAAGATGACATCTCTAGGGACCATGAACAACGGCAACCAACGACTACAGACTTGGAGCACGTCTTCAGACGAGAGTTTTGAAGGATCTGCCGAGCAGAAAGCTACGAGAGACTCCTTGATGATTTGAGCGGAGACGTTTCGGCAGCCCTCCAATCTAGCGATGACTTGTTCTATTTCACCAAGCTCCAGTCGCTGCCCTCGCAACTTTACTTGCCCAGAAATAAGTCGTCCCAAGCATTCGATGGAACCATCCGGCATGATCTTTGCCTTGTCTCCGGTGCGGTATAAGCGGCCATATTGTGGGTGGTCTAGAAAGGCTGCTGCTGTGATGTCGGGCCGGTTGAGATATCCCATGGCTAGCTGGGGCCCACCAACAATCAATTCCCCTACTCTGCCGAGTGGAAGTATATGGACGTCGGAGGACATGATTGAAGCCTCATCGAGCGGGGCTGCTATGAGAACAGACACCGTATCCAAAGGCACTCCGATATTTCCGACGCTAGAGGTGGACAAGAAAGACGTTTGAAGCGTGCAGTGAATTGCAGCTTCGGTCGGACCGTACATTCCCCAGAGAATACTCTTTCGAGCATTGGCACCACCATACTCGTTCACAATGGGACGGGTCAGCATTTCTCCTATAGTGAGGAGAAGTTTCAGGCCCGGCACACTCTCTCGGCCTCGGAGCAGGCTGGAAACGACGGTAGGTGTAAGCTCAGCTGCATCCACATTCATATCGTTGATGACGCTAGGTAAGTCATTGAGCATTTGGGCTCGAGTACAGCCAACGATAGTGCTTTTCCTGAAAAGAGGAAAGAATATCTCGAAGACAGATACGTCGAAGGTCGGAGCCGCGAACTGCAGGAAGCGAGAAAAGCGCGGAATGTATCTGTCATGAGCCAGAAGACTCTGGGTTACTGCAAGATGAGATACTGCCACAGCTTTTGGTGTCCCTGTCGAGCCTGACGTGTACATCAGGTAGGCCAAATCATTCGGATGGATTGCGTCGTTGGAGAGCGTTTCGTCCCTATGGCTTTGATATATTTCGTGGTCAACGATCAGGATTTCTAACCGGGGGCCACGAGGCAGATGACTCTCCAAGTCAGGCGTGGTAATCACAATACGCGCTGATACGTCTTCGAGAATGAAGCTTAGGCGCTCTTCGGGGGCATCCAAACCCAACGGACAGAATGCTGCTCCTGCCTTCAGTATGGCTAGCAACGTGATGTAAAGCTCCGGTGACTGTGGCAGGAGTACTGGTATTACAGGGCGTTCCTGATTGAGACGAGAAAGAGAGCAACGAAGCCTACTTGCCAGCGCGTCACTTAAGGCATGAAATGACTGATAAGAGATTTGTCTTTTGCTGGCGCCATCCTCAAGAAAGTCAATAGCGAAATGCTGCAGCCCGCGACTGCTATCGAGAAGCTGGTGTAGAAGCTTGGGTCCATCCAGATGAGAGGGATTCGGGTTTATGACTGACAAGTTTGAGCTCTCTTGGTTCATTTCGACCGTTTTTACGCAGTCTCAACGTTGAGATGTGGAAGCTGGCGGAAGATCAACCCAGGGGCACAATTGCTTTCTGCAAGAATAGAAATTGAAACGTGAAGAAGGGCCACGGAACGTCCACCTGCCGGCGCTTCTTTTAAGTTTCCGCTTGAACGACTAGATTTTGAGGGCACAAGCTTGCTGGAGGAATTGCAAACCGGTCGATTGGCCCCAAGGGTGATGGGATACCAATCGGGCAATGCCAAGTCATCGAGTATTGGTAATTGAGGGCTAATGATTGGAAGATGAGATGCGTGGATGTTCTTATGAGACTTTTACGTGTAAACGCGTGGGGGAGATTGCTAGACCTAGACAGGAGACTTCGGAGACAGGGCTGAGTCTAGCGACAGCTTCACGCTGGAGACGTCGGCAAAGAGGACCACGGAGGCAGAGATGTCAGCCAGTGCGTAGCTTTGTGTGACAGAGAAGAGGTATTTGCGACGGCAGACGCGCTCCAGGCTGCAAACGAGGCGGAACTAGTGCTCTCCTGATCGCGTCACGATGGAGAGAGACTACCCGCTAGCGGTCCATCGTCGGTGCGGTCCCTACGTTGTCGCCATTAGCGAATAATGCCCTCCTTTATCCGCCACTTCCACCTTTCACCACCCATCCCCACCCGGCCACCTTCACTTTGGGGATGTCTAAAGAAGCAGTTCCGTAGTACTTCCACGCTGAATCTCGCCACATGACCGGACAGCTTCCAAGGTTCATCCGGGACTCCGATCTCGGGCTCTCTGACGACGCTATCGAGCTGGTCTGGGGAACAAACGCGCGCTGAACACGACTGCGCTGTCAGCTTGTGGACACCTCGAACCTTATGATATCACCAGACACGCGGCTGTGGGGCACCACCAGGACGTATGGGATAGCTGCCAAACGGCTATCTGATAGTCAGATTACAGATACGAGAAAACAAAGCATGCTCCTTGGGCCGAGGTCTCCAACTCCAACTTTCCTCGGTTCATCTCGACCACTGGTGCCAAAGCTGCATCTCCACCCTTGACGACGGCAAATCAGACGGCCTCCGTAGTATAATTCTAACTGAAGCCTACAGCTTGGCATCTAGTGGCTTGCAGATCGAGCCTACGTTTTCCACCCCTCCTAAGCCTCTAACAGCGTCGGGTTCGCGGCATTTCATCCACCAAGGTCTCTACGAGCATTGACTGGCTAGCAATAGCTTGGTACCACGTGTCAAGATTGGCCATCCGGGGACATATAAGAAAGATCCATATTCAGACGAGGTGCACTCCGTAAGACGCATAGCTATGAAGTCGAACGTTCATGCCATCACGAACAAAACGATCCAAAGGGACGGTCTTGCGGGTGTCAAGGTATCATGAGGCGTGTTGAATAGCAGTATGAACTCATATTCCAGAACGTCAAGCCATGCTTCTGCGTTTCTTTTTATCTCAACTCAGCTCGTTCTTATTATATGTGTCATACCCAGTTGCATTCAACAACTTCGTACTGTCGCCCCGAGTCCTTCGATCATTATCCCCTATCAAGGTTATTGGATCCTCATTCTTCCTCTACACCTTACAACTAAGAAACTTTTGGGCTTTCTGAAGACAACTACTCTAGCATCATATCTTGGTAGTCTCGGAGGTGGGCGATAATATTATTACATTATGGAGCAGATCGTCGAGCTGGTCTGTGGTGCTATTGGCGGGACTGCTATTCATTTTAGCGTATAAGCAATATACCACAGCATTCTCGCTTCATGTGCAATAGAAAACCCACAAACCATTCACATTCCACTCACGCATGGGTGTGCGTGTGCTTGATTTACACTCCCTCATCTTGGCGCGAAGTCCTGAATCTGCACTGATTTCAAGACGTAATCATTCTGCAGCTCGGAGAAACATTCATCTTCTATGGGAAGAGCAGGCCAATATTGATAACAGGCATCGGCGGTCTACTCTTTTCAGGATGTCGGCAGGAGGAACTCGGAAGTAGCGGTTTCACTCGACGCAGTTTGTCACACCGGCTGTCGTATCACACAAAGAAGAAGAGGGCTAGCAGGCCATAGCCAATATGCAGTCATCCATCATCAGGGTCTTGGGCCAAGGGGTAAGGCTTGGTTTGATCTGATAATGCCTCACGGCTCCGAAACTCGGGGCTATGATGCAAAAGAAGGTTATCAGATCCGCCCCCTAGGATTGACATGCCGGTTGACATGCCGTGCTAACGGTGTTGGGAAATGGCCCGCCGCTTAGCTGCATCCCAAGTTGCTTTTTCTCTCCACCTTCGCAGCTTTCGCAAAGCCGCTGCACCCCGTTGAAAATTTTCCTCCACGCTGACCTTGCGAGCTCGACCCACCCGAGTCCCGTTTCATTATCTGATTCTGAGATTAGATGCTGATCCCTGACGGCGGTATCGCCCTCACGTCGCACCACAGCATGAGATGCTTGCTCACTGCGCAGCTTTCGCAGAGCCGCTGCAGCACGTTAGGCTATTTTCGTTCTAAAAATCGGTCCATTCTCTCCTGAGAAGCCAGTATGAATCACCGAACTTCTAAACTCCACCCTCCGGCCAAGTTCGGGCTACCGACCAGGGCCTTTATGCATCATTAGTGTGCGATGTCGTCTTATTCATAAAAGACCGTCTGTCCTAGTCACACGCCGTCTTCGAGGCACTAAACGGTCCCTCATTCATTGCTCGATACACAAGTGACGAAGTAAGCACGTCTATTGCGATTCTCTATGGCATCGCGTTTGCATCACTGTTACTTGTCTAATGCGTCATCACTCACAAAAGCTTGGAAGCTACTAACGGGCAGTTATCTACAGATCATTCTACCCTGAGCGTTTTGCTAACGATCCATTTAAAGCTGAACGAATCGAATCGCCTGTTGTGCATCGAGGTACCGCCACGTTTTTTGAGGCTCTGAATCTTCGCTAAATGTGAGCAAACTGGTCTCTATTATCCTACCCATTGCACGAAGGAAAATGAAAAGGATGTAGACAATTACTCTACTAACACGTCACCCGGAGTAGTCTGTTGTATAGATTTTTAAACAACTATTTTACATTTCCAGCAGCCATGACGCCTCACGCGGACTCACCAACCCGACCTTTGAACGGGCTATTTGCAGGCTGCGACTTAGACAGAGACGAGCATCGGACCAGCGGTTTCGACACAATGCATCAAAACTTTCCCGAAAACTCTTCTCTTCTATCTCACACGTGTCCTGACGAGTTACACGACTTAGTGTGCGTCGGATTCGGACCAGCATCACTAGCCATAGCAGTAGCTCTCCACGATGCCCTAGATGGATTCAGTCCCGCATCTGATCTTTCCGCTCTTCAAGGACGAGCTCCAAAAGTATGTTTTCTCGAAAGGCAAGCTCAATTCGCTTGGCATGCTGGAATGCTTCTCCCCGGCGCAAAAATGCAGATATCCTTCATCAAAGACATGGCCACCCTCCGCAACCCGCGAAGCGAGTTCACGTTCATCAACTACTTACACAGAAGCAACCGACTCGTTGAGTTCACGAATCTCAATACCTTCTTGCCCCAAAGAATCGAGTATGAGGACTACATGCGGTGGTGTGCAGGCTGGTTCGAAGATGTCGTCGAATACAGCCAAGACGTCGTTCAAATCGTCCCAGAGAAGTCGTCCGAGAGTCACGGACAGACAAAGGCTTTTGTCGTTACATCGAAGAATAGCTTGACGAGCGAAATCTCTACGCGGAGGACAAAACATGTGGTCATTGCTGCAGGAGGTCGTCCCAGCATCCCCGCTCCCTTCCCGGAACACCACTCCAAAGTAATCCACTCTTCGAAGTTTTCTTACCTCGCGCCAAAGATCTTGAGGGATCCTGCGTATCCGTACAAGATTGCTGTTGTTGGCAGTGGACAGAGCGCGGCGGAGATTTTCGATAATTTGCATGCGCACTACCCGAACGCGAAAACAACGCTCCTGATTAAGAGCGGCGCTCTACGACCGAGCGACGACTCGCCTTTGTATGACACTTGCCATTGCCTTCACTTAAATGTTTGCTAATCGACAATAGTGTCAATGAGATCTTCAACCCCGACCGCGTGTCTCCCACCTACGCCCAAAATCCTCTCCTCCGCGCCGCCACCATCTTAGAAGACCGCGGCACGAATTACGGCGTCGTGCGTCTAGACTTGCTAGAACGCATATACGAGACCCTATACACCCAACGCATCCGATATGGCAACGACGCCGCCGCCGAGGCTGAGTGGCCTCATCGCATCCTGCCCCATCGTATAGTCAGCGCAGTAGAGGAATCTTCGGCCATACCTGGAGGTGTGAGGCTGACTATCCGTAACTCGAGTCCTCAGTTTTACTCTGGTGCGCTTCCTGGACAAGATTTTGAAGAGGTTATGGATGTGGACGCCGTCTTCGTAGCTACGGGGTACAAGCGCAATGCTCACGAGGAGCTGCTGCATGATGCGAGGGGATTGAGGCGGGGCGGGGAGCGCGAAGATGATGACTGGGAGGTCGCGAGGGATTATAGGGTTCTTTTCGAGGATGGAAAGGTCAGCGAGGATGCTGGCATCTGGCTGCAGGGGGCTTGTGAAAAAACACATGGTGTAAGTCCTTTCTATTTCTTTTCCGCAGCCATGTTCTGAAGACTACATGATTGAGTACCCTGGCACTCGGAGGTTGCTCGTCAAAGCTATTACTGACAGATTCTAGTTGAGTGATACCCTTCTTTCAATTCTAGCGAACCGAGGTGGCGAGATGGTCAAGTCGATCTTCGGCACAGACCATGGATCAGGAGAGCAACTCTTTACGAGTGGCGGCAAGAGTGAACACGCACGCTCGTAGAAGCGCTGCTTTTAGCGACCGGGACCACGGTAGAGTTGGACTTTTGTGTTTTCTGGGATACTATTCCCGGGCATTGTATTCACCCATTGTGCTTTTGATGTTGTCGTTTCATCTTTTCTATTGTTCTAGACTCGACTTGAGAGATACTTGATCGCCGTTAGTCACTCTCGCGAAATATGGAATTGTCAATCGGTTTCAAACTGGTGATTTTATCGGCATGAAGTTGGTGAATGGCCTCGATGATCTGATAGTCCCAGCTAAAGTTGATCTGCGAACGTACAGAAACTTGCTCAACTGTTGCCTGCTGTCCTCGAGTTTATGCTCTGAGGATTGGATTCAAGAGCCACGGAGGTTTGACTAGAGAAACCCGGTGCGTTGGAAGATATTCAGCTAGACGCTGTGCACCTCAGACATAGCTGCGTATCGCGTGTCAGCAGAAAAGGATCCCAAAAACGAGCCCTGCTAGCCGCGTTAGGCCTCCACAGTCAAAGGAACCAAACCTAAGGCGCAGGAATCGGATTAAGGCTCGGGACTCGAAACAACAAACAGTGAGCAAAGCAAATGAAACGAGAATCTAGGAATGTCACGTAGAAAGAGACGAAACGTCCTCATGGAAGTTTGAGACGGAAAGAATGAATATGTAGTGGCCGTGCTCAACTAATAAGCAACCTCGTACTGGGCGGCCCTGGAGTCTTTAAGGGGGGCACGGTGGAGTTCTGGATGGCAAAGAGGCGACAGGCGGCGCAGCTATGGCACAGGAGCTGGCCGCCGGAAGAGCGTCTCTGTTGCTGGGCGACGGGTGGTGGCCTCGGTCAGCGTGGTATCGACGGCCATCTCACATGGCTCGTACTGGTCATGGTGCCGGAGAGCTGGGGATCGGGATGGGCTCAAAATTTAAAAATAGTTGGTGGCGTTCATCGTTCCCTAGCCAGCAGCTAGGCCAAAACTGCATGCCATGCCCCTGTCGAGCAACTCTCTCCACCAACACGCTCGCTCGCTCTCGCCGTCACCACCGCCCATCTACAATTCACTCGCACTTTGCACATCTCTCTCGTTCGTCCTGCTAATCTTCTTCATCAGTCGCTCGTTTAGGCGGAGGAGATCAGCTTTGCGTACGCGTCAGACCCTCCTGCACCTCAACGTTCCTCCATCGGCCCCTCAAAACAACCCGAGAACGACTCTCCTGCGTGTACCACAGTATCAACACCTCACCTACAACCACCCGCCTCTTTGTGTTTACACCTCCGCTATAGCAGTTTCTACTAGCCTCCTCACATCGCCAACATGCGGACTTCACAGCTCCTCGCAACCCTCCTTACCTTCTCATCCCTTTCCAGCGCCATCTCGTGGCCCGACGCCTTCGAAAATGTGAAGGCTATGGCCGACGTTGATGGACTGATCTATGGCCGGGCAGACAAATGTGCGTTCTCTCAACCAAGCATGGAATAGCTGAAGTCTAACAATTCTCTGTAGCTTCGGCCTCACCAGAACCCACAGCCTCAGCGACGGGCGACTCGTCAAAGCCAACCGACTCTGCTGCAGCATCTAGCGGAGAAAGCGCTGCCGCAACAACAGGAGGCAAAGATGCGAAGTCGACAGGGAAGAGTGAGAGCACGGGGAAAAGCACTGGAAAGGTTACTGGCAAAGTGAGCTCGGCGACCGGCAGCAAAGTCACCAAATCCGCAAGCATCAGCGATTTCGATCCGCGGTTGCCAGCCGGGGGTATCCAGTTGGTCACCCCAGCTGCCCTTGCTGGCCCTCAATTCTACAAAATTGGCGACTGGGTCACTTTTGCCTGGAACTACACCAGCTTGTCCGTCACACCCACCGCCGTCGACATCCTCGCGAGTTGCACCGCCAACCAAGGAACATACACACTTGCTGTCAACCAGTCTACCCAAGAGACCGGCGAAGTGCTATGGGATACTGGTGCATACCAAGCGACTGGCACTCTACCACTCCTGACCGAAACCTACACCCTCATGATCTACGACGCAGATAGTAGCGTCAGCGCGACACCAAAGGCAGGATATCTGGCTGTATACAACCAATACACCTTTGGAATGTACACCCCACAACCGTACACTCCATTTGCTGGTACGTTCGGCATTCGTCCTAACTCCTGGCTATGCACAAGCACTCATCATAGGTCATAGATTTCCAATGCGCAACTTGCAATGCTGCTCTCTCAAGTAGCGAACGACAAACACTCGGCTTCCTCCTCGGCATGGGGACGATTACTGTTCTCTCCTTCGGATGGTTCGCCGGCAGCTTCGGTCTATTCTAAACACCTACCACTCTCTTTCGACTATGTCACCACCTCTCTTAGAACCTACTCGTCTTATGTCAAGACTTTATTATGCATAAATCGGCGTATTCGATCACTCTGCTTTCACCAAAACACGACAGAAAACTTCACTTCTATTGTGCCATATTCGGTCCCTACCTCATTACAGTGCATTTGGTGGTCAAAATTTGTCCACCACTCATGGACACGGCGTTCTATCTGCTTTTCGGATCTGTTTCAACTATTGGAAGTTGTCGTCTGGCGCAATTGGGTTGGCTTGGGAGGAGGATGGAGCTATTGCGGTGGTAATTAAAATGGGCGATTTAAAGGCGAGCGAGCTTGCTAGTGGAGCGTTCGGCGATGGAAGAATTGTTGGCTGACGGGCGACTATTCGGCAACGGAGAACTTGGTGGGACATGTGCGGAATTAGTAGGCATGATGCCGCGTTACGACCGTAATATGAATGCGGATCACACCCCGTAGAAGAATCTAAAGTAATTCAACCGTTTCCTGACATACACATTGACATGCACATATTGTCTGAAAAGCTTGTTCGATAAACACGGGCTGGCGAGTCTTTTGACCCTTTCATGAATTTATGAGGTCCAGAAAGGTTGCCAAGAGAACGCGAAAAGGCATCCACGGGTCCGTTTACAGACTCCCACGAGGGGCGCAACCACAACCTCCTCGAAAGCTCTCAAACCACCAACCTTTCTTTCAACAACACAAACAATACCGCGCCACTCATTCAGTAACATCTTCCCTTCCGACTACATTCTACTTAATATTATCTTGCGCTATGGCCGCTGGAAAAGAGGCTGCGTCCTTTGATGCCATAATCCAAGAATGTCAGTCGCATAAACCCAAAGGAGCCCGTCGCCGAAGCTAATGGGTATTTTGTACAGCTCGCAAGCGCAAGAAGAACGAAGCCCTCGCAAATGAGATCTTCGGGCGTGGAAAGAAGGGCAGCGGAGCTGGAATCGGGGCGCGTAAGAACCCGGCGCAAACCCCCAGCCTTGCCAGCAGAGTAGGCATAACGAAGGTAATAACATGACCTCGCCCAGAGTCAGAGACCAGAGGGTTAACAGCCTTGTGTTGTAGCGCTCCGCCTCCGCAGCTCCCAAACCCAATGTCAACGGCAAATGGGGCCATGACCTACACTCTCAGAACAACCCGCGCGCTCGCGTCGCCCAGCTCCCGAGGACCGCATCTACGTCGCGCATAGAGCAGCGTGGCAACCGCTTCTTGAACGAGCTACGATCAGACGAGCCGAGTCCATTGAGCGCGCAGGCCAACATCCGGGGGAACGCAACCAATGGAGCGAGCGGCATCTCGATTCGAGGCATGGCGGGCCCGTACACTGTCATAGCGAGCAACTTCGCGCCTGGAACAACTGCCGCGGACATCGAGGCTGTCATGGCGCCAATTGGGGGCGAGATGCTTGGGTGCAAGCTGGTAAGCAAGGAACCCACTGTCATCGCCGAGATGATGTTTGTGGCGCGAGAAGGGGTTGACAATGTCATTGCCACATTCAACAACAAGAAGGTGATTGCAATGTCAGAAGATTGAGATCGCTACAGTTTCTAACTTTCTCCCTAGGCGGACGGACGGCTCCTCTACGTGTACATGAAGTACGGACCCCCTTCACAACCGATCAACCGGACACCCACAGGGCCCATTGCGCAAGCTCAGAGGCCGGATAGCGACGCTATGGATGTGGATGAACGGGACCGGGGACGGCTGCGGTACGACAGCCAGACCAATGCGCGCGAGGAGGACTACTCGGACGGACGATACGGCTTCAACGAGAACGGTGCACCAGCTCCGCCCACACAACCGAGACAGAATTACCGGAGGGGTCGCGGTGGTTACAGGGGTTAGTTGTATCAACAGGACCTACATTTCGGGATCCAGCGGGTGTGTTTTGAGTCGGATGAAAGCGATTCTATCGGGCGTTAGATAGGGTTTTCATTCAACTTCTACTGACTCTCTTCTCTAGAATACAATGCGCAAATCTTCCGGGTCATGGATTAGCTGGACTTCATAGAAAAGCTTGACACCATGGAAGAGGCTGATAGCCCGGGAACGGAATCGGGGACCTTGCAATAGCTGCGAGCGCACACACTGTTCGCATGTCGAAAATGGAGGACACAGGGGAGCTCCTTCCCGATGGTCAAATCCCAAATAATACTCAAAACGAGCTCAGTTGCTCTACAATCTTTCTGTCTCCATCGGCACTTTGGCATGCGTGGGTTGGTAGTATCTACTATCCGATAAGCAGGCTTCACGAGGTCATGCTAGTCTCCAACAGAAATTTAGATGTCGTGTCTTTTGATACAATCCAGCAGAAGCCTATTTAGCACACTCTTGCTGGTTTATTGGAACAACGGTTGCTGCTTCCTTTGCGGATTTTTCACACAAATCTTACGACCCCTTGGCCACCTTCGGGCTCAGCTCGTCCACAATGTTGTTCGGATCCTTCCACGCTAATGCCACATACCTACATACGTCAGCTTGCCCCAATCTGCTCGTCTTATGTAAACAAACTCACTTCGTATGACTTCCCCGCGCAAATACCTCATCCTTATCATTCAAGAACTTGATAGACGTAAACGCTAGCGTTTTACCGACTGTGCTGTGTTAATAGAGATTTGGTTTGCTGGTTTTTGGGGAGGGGAGGGGGGTTGACGTACATTTATCGCAGGAGGCTTCCTAGGCGATGGGTAAGTAGGGGAAAGGAAAGGGAGCTGGAGGGGGGAAGAAGGGAAAGGGGGCGTACGGCTTTGATCAGGTCGCCTATTTTGCCTCCGGAGGAGAGGTAGGTTACTGTGGGTTGTAAGCATTGATATAGCTTGGCTTGAGTATGATAGGGTACCATTCAGATCCGTCGAGACACCTGTTGCATAGAGGCCGCGGGATGCTACTGCTAGAGAACCACCGAGATCGACTAGGAGTACTTTAATTCAGGGACACACTGAGATTGGGAGGGGGAGATACCCATGCTTGCTATTGTACCGCCGTGGAGGATACTGAGTCTATTCTAGATGATGCCGTTAGGAACGACTCTACTTCGATTATATGAAGATAAAGGTTTCACTATGCAAGAAGAATTGAAGTGGATTGGGATTTCGAACTGAAATGCTTACTGTATGCTGCTTCTCAATGCCTAGCTCGAATTTGACCTTGCCGGGTGAAGCATGTGTCACTTGGAGCTGGAAGTTGGTGCTTAGACAAGTGATAGATTCGTGCTATTATAGATTTTGATCACTCACGCTATCTAATAGCCTTTACGAAAGGAAAATTAATCATTGATCAGCTAAGACGAAAGGAATGACACGCTGCATAGTAAATTACCTTGGCTCAAGACCCGACGAGGCCCGGAAAGAGTCCCAGACCTAAGCTGGTCAGTGGAATCAGCTCAGAAGAGTTCAGTGAGTTTAGATCTTACGGAACGAACGAATTTAAGTGCCGGCATAGCTTGAACACTCCTCGTCAACTGAATTGAATTGAGATTGTTTTGGTAGAGGCCATGCCGAGCCTCCGCTGTGAGAGGGGTGGAACTAGCTCGGTTGATCTCCGCCCGGAGCAATGAAGTTCACTGGAAGAAAGCTACAACGTTCACTACTTGCATGATCTTGAGCGCCTGGACGAGTCTTGTCCAGGAAATTGCCCGCATACGATGATACTCAGGTAATACACTTACTGCCAAAGACCCAACATCCACCACGATGTCGGCGTCCACCTCACAAGCGCTCGACTACCTGGAGGGACTTACACAGATCACTCACCAGAAGCTTTATGAGCAGCCATCCACGGCTCTGGCCGTGTTCCGATGCATGTTGCCTCATTTAGGTCAGTAACCCAAAGAAGATTGCCTGCTAGAATCTGAACTAACTGCTTTCTCTACTATAGCGAAGACTATTGTCATGGCCATGCTTTACATGCCGCGCGCATTCACGATCGGCGACCTAGACCATTGGATTCGCGCGGACTCCAAATCGTACGAGACTACATGAAAGCCCATACAGCTTCAAAGCTAAAGCAATCACAGGGACAAAGACAAGGCAATCTCGGTTCTCCAATCCCTCCACATTATAAGTCACAGCCAGGAGTCCTCGAAGTCCCTCTCATATCGACTCGAAAGCGGTTTCGCGAACTCGCTCAGACAGGCTCTTACCGGTGGAGGCAACCACAAGTCTTTCGGTGTTCCGAGCAGTGCTCCGGACAAGAGCGATGTCGATATCGCGTTTCTTGACCAGTTTGCGCGGAAGCAGTGGGAGGCGATTCTATACTTCATGGTCGGGTCTACGAGTGGACTGAGGGACAGCACAGGCCTAGGAGAGACTGTAGGTAACGGGACAAGAAAGCTTCTTGAGCTCGGAGACTTCGTGACGCGTGCGAACCACGGGACGATTACGAAGACTGGCTTTACATTCCTGCTACAAGAGGCCAATGCCCAAGTCTGGAGCCTACTGATCGTATACCTAAAGCAAGCGCCAGAGGTAAGCTAGCATTTTCTTCCATCGCTCTCATCTAATCTCCTTTGTCACTTTCCGCCTAGGTCGTCCCTAACGCCTCCAAGCTCGGCATGAACGAAGTCGACGTCCTCTCCTTCATCTTCATGCTGGGCAGCCTCTCCCTCGGCCAGGACTACAGCACCGCCAACCTCTCCCCCACCCAGCTGCAAATGCTCGAAGACCTCAACGACTTCGGCATCGTCTACCGCAGCTCCAAAGCCTCCTCCCGCTTCTACCCCACCCGCCTCGCCACGACCCTGACCTCGGACGCCGGCGCGCTGCAAACCGCCTCCGCCGACTTCACCAACGCCCTGCGGCCCTCGTCGCACGCCGGCGCCGGCTACATCATCGTCGAAACCAACTACCGCATCTACGCCTACACCTCCTCACACCTCCAAATCGCCGTCCTGTCCCTCTTCGCGCGCCTCTCCTCGCGCTTCCCCAACCTCGTGTCCGGCAAGCTTACCAAGGACAGCATCCAGCGCGCCATCAAGCTCGGCATCGAGGCCCGCCAGATCATCGACTACCTGACCGCGCACGCGCACCCGCAGATGCAGAAGAACAACCCTGTCCTGCCGCCCACCGTCATGGACCAGATCCGCCTGTGGGAGTACGAGGGCGAGCGCATCGAGGCCACGCACGGCCACCTCATGAAGGACTTTAGCAGCGAGAAGGAGTATCTCGACGTGCTGCATTATGCCGAGTCGCTCGGCGTGTTGACGTGGAAGAGCGATCAGAAGAGGGTGTTTTTTGTGGATCGCATTGAGCAGATTTCGGCGTATTTGAAGAGTAAGAAGGAGAAGAAGTAGTAGTAGGGGGTTTTTGGGTAGGTAGGGTGGGGTGGATTTGTGGGGTTGTTGGGACTGTGGATTGGGAAAAGCATTGCAAGGCGTTTTCGGGTGATGAGAGCTTTAGATGGATATCACGGTAGTTCTCTACCGATGAGTAGGTACGGCGTTTAATTTATTTCATCATGACAAGGCAAGGTTTCCAGTGGTGCAATATATTTCCTTCAGTAAGCCTTGCGTAAGGTATCAACTCGATCACCCTTTCCGCTATACGACAGCCAGCATACGCCTAACCAGACCATCGAAACAATTGCTCCACTTTTCTCATCTAGTTATCTTGCAACCCTCTTGATCCACTTGCATCATCCCTTCTCCTTTTAATGTATGACTCGACTTTTGAACATTACCTTTCCTTAAGAAATGCAACATCACCACCCTACACTCACCTGCCTACATCGCATCGCAAGCACCGCAGGAAGGACGAAAAAAGTTCAAACATCATATCTTACACTCAGCTGTCCTGGCTCACCCCTCGTCATCTCATCCTCATATCACCGTGGCGCCCCCCTCGCCCTACGACTCCTTCCCCGTCGCCGACGAATTACTCAACTTCCGACTCCTTCCCATAAGCCGCTCGATGAAGGACGATTTGCGCGTAGAAGAGCTAGCCGAGGATAGAGTAGTCGACGATGCATCCGTCAATATACGGGTTCGGAAGGCCGTCATGATAGGCTCGACGGGGCCGGGAATGAGCGAGATGATCTTGTGATCCATTGCGAACTTCATCTGGAAAGACTTGGGGATGTTAGTGTAAGTTCTCCTCGGATTGGTCGATGGATAGGGAAATGCTTACCCTCAAGCTCTCCTTAGCCTCGGTCGTCACACACAGGCCCTGCAGCTCCTTGAAGACCATCTTGTACCTCCGCTCGTCAGAGACATCCGCGGCATCGCTATCGTCCGTGTCGTCGATCGGCCGGAGCGCGCGATCAGACTCGGCGGTGCGGAACTGGTCCGAGAGCGTCGTGAAGCGGCCGCACCAGTACGCCATGGGCATCGACTGGCTGATCTGTCGTAATCCAACAAAGTCAGCAAAGTCAATGAAGGACTCAGGCTTACTGTCAGCCACTGCTTCCTCATGTAGGTTTTCAAGGGGCTTTAGCAGTGGCCTGGGTAGTGACAGGACACGGCCAGGTGGTGTAAGATATTTAGCAGGAATGGGCGGGACAGGTGGTATGATCTCGCCCATCATGCCCATGGACTTGGAACGCACCTCCCGGCCCAGCCTCACAGAAGATTGCGAGGATACCCTCCGATTTCCCAGAGAGGTGGCCGGTGGTTTCCTACGCATGGCAGCCGTAGGGCCGTGTTTGGCGTTGCGTGTCGCTGCTAAGTTCTCGAAGGATGGTATGCGAGGCACACCGGGAGTCCTGGGTGCCGGTGGAGTAGGCGGGTTCCGCGGACCCATCAGCTTGACCTGCGTGATCTCATGGGAGGAGGAAAGACGCGGGAGCTTGCTCATAGATTGCGAAGGTACTTTAGGTCGGTAACGCTTCACAGTCGGTGGTGTTCGTACTCTTTCTTTCGAATTTCTTGGAGAAGTGTCGCTCAAGTAGGATGTGTGTCGCACAGCTTGTTTCCCTTTGCCTTTGAACGCCGTATGCTGCTGGTAATCGAGTCCCTCCAAAAATCTACTATCTCTCCTCGCTGTCCTATCCTCCAGCATGGAATATCCTCCGTCTTTGCTAGGCCGCCTGGTATTCTCCTTGTTCGACTTCCTAGTCACAACTGGCGTCACAGGCTTGGTCTCATATAGAGACTTCCGCTGTGTCATGAACGCATTGCCGGGCTTGCTGATACCTGCCAGGAGATTCGGTGTAGTGTGTGATCGGGTAGCTTTCATTCGCGTGGGCTCGGTTTGCGCGAAGGCGTTGCCGGCTGCAACGTACTTTGAGTTCCGTTGGTCGATGTTTTTGGCTGGTGTGGGAATACGAGTGCGACGAAAAGCGGTAGAAGTGCGGGATGCAATTGAAGTGGTCGACTGAGCCTTTGAGGAGGCGCGGCTTCTGTTGGTAGGCACAGGTATGTTGCTCATCGTCTTGCTTCGCGGGAGCGTTGTGGTCGGCCACTCGTCATCTGACGCCGGCGGCGTGTATCCGACAGGTGAGAATCTCATAGGAGAGATCATATTCGAGGCGCGCATGGCGTCGGGTGAATGATTGTTCGGTCCTAGGAGTGCTTCGGACTCGGCGGCACCCACGAGCGTGGTCGTGGAGACGTTTGCAGCAGAGCCGCGTGGGTGCTTCTTGCGAAGGAACGTCTTGGACATGAAGGAAGTCTGCGGCGAGATGAAGGACGTGATGGAGCTGAATCGATGAAGCTTGCGATGCTGGCCCTCGCTGCCGCTGTCCGGGAGACTGGCGCCATCGTGAGCTTTCGCCTTGCGGCCTCCCATCTTGGCTGCTGGCGGCGTGTAGTCGGTGGCCTGGAGGGCTTCCCAGTGGGCTAGAATTGCTTCGAATCTCTGTCTACTGTCGGGCTGTCTTAGCATGGCTCTGCGAACGGGAATTGGGCGGCGAGACTACCTTTGTGGGGAGGTTGAGGAGCAGTCGAGCATGGCGGACTGGGGAGGGAAGAAGGTCAAAATGGAAGGCGCGACTGTCAACACCCAGCATCATTTGTAGGTACGCAACATGGCCACGCGAATGCCCTCCTCAATCATCTTGCGTAGGCCATCTCAATTAGTATTTCCTACCTTCACTCCCATTATCATTCACTCGTGGCTTCCGCGCTGTCAACATCAGTAGCATTGGACGCAATGAAGCGTATCTTTTTAGAGGTGAGATGGTACAATAGTGGTGAATATGCCTAGCAAACGGCGGAGGAGCCTAAACCAACTCCCGTCGGCCCAGCGACAATACGTCTCAAGCACTGTAGAGGTGAGATAAGACCGCTCATTCGAGCCGTCTCCTCCCTCACGTGCCCTCACCAAAACAAAAACCCTCTCCTGACATTAACCCATCCATATATTTCGAAAATTTTCAACCCTCCTTGTACTAACCAGCAGCGTCGGCCCCGTATCTCCAACATGCTAACCTAGGTCTTGTTTTTCTTTTTTGTATCCGTTGTCTAGGTCCGCGTTCGACTCCCACTCTTTTCGGTTTTTTTCTTATTGGAGAAACTCTATTCGGAGGGTGTTTATACTCCTCCCCGCTGGGAGGGGTGGTATTTGCTCCTTGGATGTTGATTTGAGGCTTACGTGCTGTATGTAGGTAGATAGAGTAGTAAGTACACTTTCGTTCCTGGTGTTTAATACTAGAAGAGCCGTAGTAGGTAATTTTATAGATAGCGGCTTTTCTTTCCGCGTGGAACTTGATTGAAATTTGTTCTGAACACTGGATGGGATCTTGAGGTGCAGAAATACTCTTTATTTGTGAAGGAGACTACTGTTCCGCCGTCGGAGGTGTGCCAATGCCTCCACTCGAGCGTCCAAGTTATTCATTCATGGGAGAGAATGGCATTTGAAGCTTAGTTGCAAATCATCTTTACCTCTGGGTTAACAAGTATCAGACGCACTCAATCGACCAGATCACCAATCCAGTGCAGACAGTATCGAATGGATTTGGAAAAGGCCTATCCCCTTAAGCGCCGAGGCACCTGGAAACTACAGCAGATAAAACTGGGGAAAGAAAATTGCAATACTTAAAGCCGTGAAGATGCTCTCTATCTAATCGACTCTCCTAATAACATGCCCCTCGCTCGTATCAGTATGCGCATGAATGTGCGCCCCTCTCCAGCTTAAGATCTACCTCTACGTTCACCGAGAATGCGAGTGCAACATCAAGCCAACGACCCCACCATTGCACGCCTTTCTATGACTAATAAGCCTGTTAGTAGTCATGTCTCCATGTCTTAATCCAATAAAGACCTGGGCAGTCCACTCGAGTCGCAAGCAAAAGTACGCTACGTTGCGGACCGGAATACTCGTACCCCAGATTCCATTCATTCCGAATGCTTCAATGCAGGAACCAACCACGTTCCTTAAAATGGCATCTCATGCTACAAACGCAACACACCTAGCATTCACAAACTCTACTTAGTCATTTATCACCCAATCGATAATCACAATGACGTCTAATCACGCAGGCAAAGTCTACACAATCACTGGCGGCGCGTCCGGCATGGGCGCCGCAACCGCCAAACTCCTCGCCGAACGCGGCGCCGCAGCGGTCTGCATCGGCGACTTCAACACCGCGAACTTCGATACCATCACCAAAGAAATTAAAGAGCTAGCTCCGGCCTGCGAGGTCCTGACCACCCAAGTCGACGTCTCGTCTTCCGCCTCCGTCGCCTCCTGGATCAGCACCGTCATCTCTAAATTCAACCGCCTAGACGGCAGTGCTAATGTCGCGGGCGTGCCTCAAATCGTCGGCGAGCGGCCCGCTCCCACTATCCTGCTCGAGACGGACGAGACGTGGAAGCGGACGATGAGCGTGAACATCGACGGTGTCATGTTCAGCACGCGGGAGGAGGTGCGGGCGATGGTGGCGCTGCCGAAGGCGCCGCGGACGATTGTGAATGTGGCGAGTTTGGCAAGTGTGTTACATACGCCGGATTGCTATGCGTATGGGGCGAGTAAGAGGGCGTGTGCAAGTTTCTCGAGTAGTGTGGCGAAGGATGTTTTCCCGTTCGGGATTAGGGTTAATACGGTGTCGCCTGGTGAGTTTGGGTGAGGTTTAAAAGAGCGAGGAAGCGGCTAATGGTGCTGTAGGTGCGACTATGACGCCGATGATGAGTCAGTTCTTCCCTGGGGGTGGGGATCAGAAGTTAGAGGATTTTGGAATGGATTTGCTGAGCCCGTATGATATTGCGAGGGCAATTGTGTATTTGTTGAGTGAGGAGTCGGATAAGATCACGGGGGTCAATTTGCCGGTTGGGACAGGGGCGCCATGAGAGGGCGACGGAGTGGTCGAGATAGTGAGGAAAGTTGAGGAATGAAGCATTTGTGAAAGACAGTTGAGATCCGAAAGCAATGCTCCCTTTTTGGGGAGGAAGAGGTCGAATATAACGAAATGTGACAGGGTCAAACATACTCTCAAGCTTGAAAGCTCACGATATCTAGATGATCTGGGTGAGGTGTGACACGTGAATGATCCATAACGTCTAGTAATGTATCCAGACTAGCGGTTCCACGGAAATTCTGTGTGCTACCCCCGAGGTTCACTATCTGATGCAATTCGATGAGGACGTGGAAAAGTGAATGAGGCTGAAGGGTGATATGCTGGGCGGGCCCCTTGAACAAGAAGTCGCAGTCCACGAATCCGAGGTTCTGATCCAATCTTTCTGTGTCATGTTCAACGGAGCTTGGTAGGGGAGAAGAGAAAGGCCCGTGAGAAGACCCACTTTTTTGGAAGCTTAGACTAAAGTAGATTAGCGCATGGTTCTCCGCATCTTCTCCTCTTCTGCCCAAATTCCTCCCCGCCACTCTCCTCTTATTCCAATATCATTCCAGGATGCCGATTCCCAGACGCCGAATTCCAATGCCGAAATGCTGCTCGGCTCGGGTTATTACTCTTTCAGTCCCCATTGGTATGGATAGGGTCACAGCTCCCAACTCAGCATTGTATCTCCGCATCTAACCCTATCAAACTAACAAAGCTCTCATAGTAGATCCACTAGGCTCTCTATTGGAAGGAAGGTTTACTTACAAGGGAAATCTTTATCGTGGCGGTACTAGCAGCACCGCAGGCTGTTCGGGTTCAACACGAGGCTAGATTTATTTCGTCCCGCATGCAACGAAGAATGATTGTAAAAGTGCAGTAAAAGGAACTTAGCCAATCAAACAGGCTCGATTTCATTACTCAGAAAGATTACTTCTTCGCCTTCTACTACTCATTCACGTATTACTGTACTTGCATCTGATTGGATGCGCCTGTGAATACCCCACAGCTTCAATTCCATGCGCGTGCACAAACCCCACATTTCGATCACACATCCAGTTTGTTGGAAAGGGTATATGACTTCCAGGAAGATGTTGTCAGCCAGGTGTTTGCAAAGGCTTTCAATATGGCAGTTTCTGATCTTGTAATCCAGGCGTGGAATTCGCGCCCATCCACTTTTGCGGGTTATGTGTTGACTGCGACCATTTTGGTAAGTTCTCTAGGTTTCTCATAAGCCGGTTATAGATCCTAACCGCGTCCTGGATAGTTTGCGAGTTATTGCGGCGGATACATGATATACAATCTCTATCTCCACCCCCTACGAGCCTATCCTGGACCATTTTGGGCGCGGGCTTGTCGATTCTGGTATATCAATGCTGTTGTGCGCGGCATACTCCCATTCAGCGTCTATCACGCACACCAAAAATATGGTCCGGTCGTTCGAGTGGGCCCTGATGAGCTGGCCTATGGTGACCCAGACTCATGGAAGGAAATCTACGGCCACCGGGCCGATAAAGGACAGATACCTAAAGACCCCAACTTTTATCTGAATACTGCAGCGGGCGACCTGAGCATTATTGCCGCTCCCTCGAAGCGCCATGGCGAGCTTCGACGACTAATGTCACATGGATTTTCTGAGAAAGCATTGAGGGATCAAGAGCCGGCTATACAGCACTATGTTGATTTGATGATTCGCCGTCTCCGAGACTTGAGCGTTAAGAACGAGCCTATCGATGTCGTTAACTGGTACAACGTGAGTACGCTTAGTTTCTACCGTCGTCTCATCATAACCCGATTTGAGAACTTTCTTGCCACCACCCCCATAAAACCTCAAAATACTCCCCTAACGCACTACAATTCAGTTTTTCACGTTTGACATTGTCGGGGACCTCGCGTTTGGCGAATCCTTCGACTGTCTCGAGACATCTAACTACCACCCATGGATACACATCGCATTTGAGATTATTATAGCCGGAACGATGTTCCGCGTCACAGATTACTACCCATGGTTGAAAAAGATCCTGGTCAAATTCGTGCCGGAATCTCTCAAGAAAGGAGTCAAAACCCACATTGCTTTAGTGAAGTCAAAATCTCTAAATAGATTGCACATGAAGACGGACCGGATCGACTTCATGTCTCGGATGGCAGATCCAAAGAACGGCGTTTCTGAGAAAGAGTTCATCGCGAGCTCAGACACCGTTATTCTCGGGGGAAGCGAAACTACGGCGACGTTATTATCGGGAGTGACTTATTTCCTAATGACGAACCCCGACGCTCTAGCGAAGTTGACACATGAGATCCGAACCAAGTTCACCTCGGAGGAAGAGATAGACGCCGCAAGTGTCAATTCGCTCGAATACATGCTGGCGTGCCTCAACGAGGCGTTCCGTCTCTACCCTCCCGTACCTGGTGCGCTCCCGAGAAGAACGATTGTGCCTGAAACACTGGCAGGGCAGTACGTTCCACCTCAAGTAAGTACATCACTAATATATCTTCTTCGTACTCCATCATCCTACAATCGAAGTTTTTGCAATGTCTTGCCATCGTTGAAGGTGCTTCAGCACCCTACCATAAATCTGGATGAGGTGAAAAAGACGGCGTGCCCAAACCTGTGTTCCAGTACTATAACGATGTTTTTGAATCAAATACTGACGCAGCCAGACCACCGTCGCCATCTATCAATGGGCCATCAACCGCCTGGACGCAAATTTCTCGCAACCAACAGAATACATCCCTGAGCGATGGCTCGGTGACGCGCGCTTCGTGAACGACAGCCGCTCTGCCGTCCAGCCTTTCAGCGTCGGGCCACGCAACTGCATTGGCCGGAAGTAAGCTCCGCCATCCCTTTCTCTATTTACATTCGCATTCCAATCAAACCAGCTGACTCTGTTTACAGCCTGGCGTACACCGAAATGCGTCTCGTGATCGCCCGTCTGCTATTTAATTTCGACCTCGAAGCCACTCCTATGATCGAAGGCTGGACGAACCAAAAGATCTGGTTCTTGTGGGACAAGAAACCGCTCTGGATAAAGCTGCACGCGAGAGACGTGAAGCTGAGACCGGAGGTGGAGGCTTTGGCGAGTGTAGAGGCGTCGCAGAAGGCTAGTGCGAAGGTGTATTGAAGTATAGAGCGTTGTTGAGAGTGAGCATTGATGGAAATGCCCTAATACAGGAGCATTATTTGGGGTTGTATAGATGGCGGTAACGTCGATTCTTGCTGTTCAATCACATGATTGTTGTGACGATTTGGAGGGCTTGAACGTCGGATGCTTTAAAGAGTGCTACTTCAAACTGTTCGTCAGGGACGTCGGCCCTAGGGGACAATTGCCTATATTCCCTTCAAGAGTCACTCTTGGCGTGATGAAAAAGCTACACTGCTTTGGCACTGCATGAAGTCCTCTAACAGCCTCTCGGAAATTCAAAGGAGACCGTTTTGAGCAACCGAGAAACAAACTGGGCTACCTTATACGGTGTGCTTGACCACTACATAATGTCCTCCAACGCAGTTTTGGAGACATCAGAATAGAATATGAAGTTCAGACCGGCGCGATTTAGGGGGGCTTTTACCAGTGACACCTGGATTCTGAACATTCTTTCTAATGTAAAGTACCTAGGGCTGGAAATCTGGCTTCCGCCAAAGATATGCGAAAAGTAGCTAAGAATCGAGGCGGATCTTGAACGCGTCATCTAGAAGCTATAAATCGGATATATGCTTAGAGATAGCTCAAATTGTTCCGGGGTCCTTCGATAGAATATTTGTATCATCAGCAGTCTCGTCCAGCGACCTGATTCCGAGGCTCTGGAATCAGTTACTTAAATCTTAAAAAGCGACCAGGCCAGGTTCACGCAGCGTCTCCTACGCGTATAGTAATTTTCGATCCACGCGGTTCGATATGTGAAAAGCAATAACGAAAGTACCTAGACACTCGACGGAGGCACCTCAGTAGCTTCTCCTTACCCTCTTGACGGCATCCCAACTCCCAACTCCTAACTCTTTGCTTTAGCCACAAAAAGGAACCACGCAATGTAGTCACAACGTGCCACGCCGCGTACCCCTCCACGTCTAACAAAAATAATTTCACACGGTTTGATAGGTGAAAACTTGCAACAAAACGGCCGAAAGGCTTAACGGAAGCCCCTCAGCACCTTCTCTACATCCTCCTGAAGATAGCCTGATCCCTAACTCCTTGCTTCGGCGACATAAAGGGACCACGCAATATAGACACAGCGTAACACGCCGCGTACCCACCGCGTCTAACAAAAATAATCTTACGCGGTTAGATCCGTAAGATCTTGCAAAAAAAAAGGTCCCAAGGCTTGACAGAAGTACCTCAGCACCATCTTTGCATCTTCTTGACGGCAGCCTGATTTACAAGCCCTTTGCTATTGCCCTGAAAAGTAACTACAGAATGCAGACGCCGCGAACCCTCCGCGTCTACCAAAAATCGTTTCACACGGTTAGATCCGTAAGAACTTGCAATAAAATGACCCAAAGGCTTGACGGAAGCGCCTCAGCTTCTTTTCTCAATCCTCTTGACGGCAGCCTAATTCACAGGGCCTTTTGTATACCCCTGAAAAGAGACGACAAAATGTAGACGCCGCGTCCCCTCTGCGTCTAACTAATTTTGTGTCGTGCGGTTCGATTCGTAAGTACTTGTACATAAAGGAGCTAGAGTGCCTACAGAGCTGTCCCAGGACTAGATTACGCAAAGGGGACGCAGCGTGGCACTCTGCGTCTAACAAAATATGTTCCGTGCGGTTTGATTCGTGAGTATTTGCAACTAAAGTAGACAAAGCGTCTAGAGAACAATTTGTGAAATGGAGCACGGAGTATAGACGCAGTGTGGTGCTCTATGTACACATCGCGTCTATGGAATTTCAATTCTCGCGGTTGGATTCGTGAAGATTAGCAACAAAAGGAGGCAAATCGTCCACAGAGGACCTCTGGGCGTGGGAAAAGTCTTTAAGGGCGTCAAAAGCTACACGTTTTCATCTATTCTGAACGACATTGTAACAACAGGTCCAGCAGCAGAACAGAGGTCTAACCATCGCAGGTAGATGAACAGGTTAGAAATGTGGAAGGGAGCTTTGAGGCTGCCCATCCAGCCCCCCCCGAAGCTCCGCCGCCTCCACGTGACCGCGAATCCCGCGCTTTCTCCTCCACCTGTCCTAATCCAGCAACAACCTCAAACCTCCCAACTCTCAATTCTCCAGCGCGCGCCCCTCTCCCACCTCTCCGACCCCATACCTCTATATACCCCTCCCCGGCTCCCACCAACCCAACGAATCCCCACCGCAGCCATGCTCTCCATGCTCTCCTTCTCCCCGCGCCAACTCGCCGCCCAATGCCTCAACTTCGGCCTCGTCCTGTCAACCGCCTTCATGCTCTGGAAAGGCCTCGGCATCGCCGCCAACTCGCCGTCCCCGATCGTCGTCGTGCTGTCGGGCAGCATGGAACCGGCCTTCGCGCGCGGCGATTTGCTATTCCTCTGGAACCGGGGGCTGGACACGCAGATTGGGGAGGTGGTGGTGTATAACGTCAAGGGCAAGGACATACCGATTGTGCATCGCGTGGTGCGGCGGTTTGGGGGCGGGTGAGTCAACCAATGTTTTCTGTTTTAGTTTGGGGGGGTTGGAGGGAAGGGGGGGGGGGGTTTTTCTGGACAGCCAGGCGCATCATCACCCCCAGGCTCTCTTTCAAAGACGGCTGGGAAACGAGGGATTGAATTGCATGTTTTTTTATCCGGCTGGAATTGAACTGACTGAAGCTAACGACTGTGTTGTGGTGAGTAGGGCTACCCCCCTCCGCCTCCTCACCAAAGGCGACAACAACGCCGCCGACGACACGGAGCTGTACGCGCGCGGGCAGGACTTCCTGGACCGCGAGGAGGATGTGATTGGGAGTGTGGTGGGCTTCGTGCCGTTTGTGGGCTATGTGACGATTCTGCTGAGCGAGAACCCGTGGCTGAAGAAGGTGATGATCGGGTTGATGGGGGTCATGATTGCGTTGCAGCGGGAATGATGAGAGGTTTAGAATGCGGGAAAGGGGGCAAGAAGAGGGATGATGGAGGAGTTGCATGCATTGGACGGCGTTTTGGCGTCTCTGGATCTCGGATATCCTGGGAGTCTGTGGGTTTTGATGCGATGGGGATATGGGTGGCTTTGGCGTATCCATCCAACTACCAAAAAGGAAAGCAGCGTAGTAGCTATGTTAGCATCATAAAACTCACGAGCCACAGATTCACAAGTTCACAAGTTTACAAGTACTCCTCACTTGAAAGATATTCATCTCTTTCCAGTTCCAGTTAGCTTCATCTTCCCTCCTTCTATTCCATTTACGCATCCTCCTGTCTTGCCTGCTGTGAAATGAGGAAGCGAATGATCAAGAAACTCAAAAAATGAATCACACTGCGGAAGGAGGGATTCGAACCCCCGACCCCTGCCTTGCTCAAAGAAACACGCAAGTGAATTGCATGCAAAGCAATGGGAAGACAGTACCCTAAACCACTGGGCTACTCCCGCTTCTCGTGTAATTCAGGTAGCCAGCGACGTTAATGTGTTCATAGAGGTGTAGTGCTCAGGGAAAGTAAGGCGAAGGAAGATGTTTGTGGTAGCGTCGAGAAGATTCTACGGTGAGCGGTGAATAGAATGTGCGTGGGACATCGGCATCACGCAGGAAGGCAGCGGGTTCCAGCATCAAGCAGCCCGGCAAACAGGCACAGGCGGAGAGATGAGCAAGGGTGGGAGGGAATACGAAAGTATGGCAGACGGCATGAATCTTTTCTACTTATGGTCAATGGCATTGTTTAAAAAGGCGTTGAGGTGGGCAGAGGTATGTGAGTACGATTCTAATGGTATCAGGCATCGATATCCAGCAGATAGTCACAAGCATCAAGAGCAGCAAAAGCGTGGGGATACGATCTTCATGGCAGAAAATCAGCTAGTATACAGAGGAATCAAGATGCCCAAGAAAAGCATCCATAGAGTAAGCCCGTCATAGACTCGTGTGACGTTGAGGTCGTTCGTGAGCCGCAACAAGGTAGACCCTCTAGTCCAGAATGGTCGACGTGCCGCTGAGACAAAGACTCACGAAGGACGGCTGACGCTGCTTCGTACTCCTCACTTGGAAGAAAATAAAGCATAAGAAACCCGAATTCCCAGCCCGTCCCAAACCCCGAGAGCAAGTCCACTAGAGCAATAATGAGAAACCGGAGAGAGCAAGTTGAGATATAGGAGAAGCGTCCTGAGAGATTGGGTTCTACTCAGACACCTCTTCTTCATCATCAGCGCCCTAGAGTAGGTTAGTATGTGGATGGGTAGTTTGGGAGAAGAGAGTACGTACGGCAGCATAGGCGGCCTTCTCATCTTCGTAACGCTTCTTGTCGGTAGCAGCCTTGGCCTCGTAGGGGGCGCGGTTCTTCTCGCTCAGGGCCTTCCACTTCTCGCCCAACATCTTGCCGACCTCACCTTGAGACATGATCAGCAGAGGTTAGTGTAGGTGGCTTGAGCTATGACGTACCGAACTTGATTCCGGGGTTGTCCTCACGGACCTTGTCGCGCTGCTCGTTGGCGAAGAACATGTAGGCAGACAGACCGCGCTTGGGTGCGTTGGGGTCTTTTTTGGCTTTACGTGAGCATCAGAATGGGCCCTCTGATGATGGGGAGGAGACTTACCCTTCTTCTTCTTTCCGCCCTCGGCCTTGGTGGCCTTGGCCTTGCGGGTGACGGTCTTCTCCTTTGGCATTGTGCTGGGCGGGTGTCAGTGAGATGCGGTGGTGACGAGGTGTTGGGAGTGAGAGAGGGGAGTGGGTGGAGCGGGTATATACGTGGGCAGAGGAAGGGAGCGAGCAGTCGCGCGAAGATTGTGGAAGGCCAATCGCGGACAGAGAGCGACGGCGACGCCAAAAGAAAGAAATGGAAGTCGCGCGACGCAGACGGTGAAGTTGATGTGGCAGGTGGAGTGTGCAGTGCGGTGGTGGTGGTGGAGACCCAAGATCGCGATTTGCCAAATCGGGCCTCACGGTCGCAAAACAACAACAGAGGAAGCAATGAACGGGCAGAAACGCGACCGTCGCCGGAGAAGCACCGACTTACCTGGATTGCGGGTCGCGAGCAGAAACTCGAGTGGTTTTGATATGCGACTGTTTAGGTGGTCAGTACGGATGCTCGATACGGGCGCGCGACGACGACGACGATGCGACGAAGCGGCGTGATTGATTTGAAATGGCGACGACAGCAGAGAGACAGGCAGAAGACGCGCGCAGCTGCGGGAAAAACGCGTGCATCGCGGCGTGGTGGGCGACTGCGCGCTCAGTGGAGGTGGTGTCGGGGCGTGGGAAGCGTCAAGCGAAGCTCACCTGTTTGTTTTGCGGTTTGGCAGAGGGGATTTGTATGAGAGAGTTGGGTGAGGGAGGAGGCGATGGGGACTGCGCAGGTTATGCGGCAGCCGGCGGGCGCGTCACGTGCCCCTAACAAAGCCCGCCGGCCGTGCATTTCCAGCGCCCAGTGAGTCTCCCACTCCCTGTGTCGCTTGCAGCCGCCCAGCCCAGACGGCCACTGTTATGCCGCAGGCCGTCTACTATTCGAAGCCGGACCACTGAAGCTGAGAGAGGCTGCTTGACGGCCGCGGTGAGCTCGAGCGCGGCTCCATTCTCCCGTCGTTGCTGCACAGCTCCGACGCAGCCACGGGCCGGTATGAGAGGCCTCGAGGACCAGCAGCAGGGCAGGCAGCGGCTCCCTAGCAACGGTGCTGATACACGCACGCATTCCTGGTTCCATGCGGCCCGTGTATATTGCACGTCCGCTGCTCGCCTTGCCCATTCGTCACTGCGCCAAATTGGTGAGCCGTTATCTCGCTCCTCCGCTCACGCCTGGCTGGCTGATGGCCGCCGCACCTGGCCACCGCAACCAGCCGGCGACAGAAGAGACACCACCGGGCCTCACTGCATGTGCCGGCCTCATGTCTGCCCACCCATCCGCTGCAGCCTCACCCGTTGCAACAGGGCCCCACCACCCAAGAGCTGCCGGGCCTGCGCAGCCTGCCCGCACCGAGCGCAGAGAGGGGAGGGGAGGGGGCTTCGAGTCGAGGCCATCGGAGTTGCATCCTTTCACCGGCTGCCCGCCCTTACCAAGCAGTGGCACAGTGACAGACGCCCTCTTCGAAGCAATCTCCGGCTTCCACCACTGTATTATGAGCGCAGTCGTGGTTGTTGATCGAGTGTCGTGCCATGAATAAGGGGAGGGCCGAGAAAGTCACGTGACGCCTAGTCCGCCCAGCTGAAGCCCGATGATGGCATTGTGTGACGTAGCAGGCCAATGCTCAAAGACGTCAATGAAGGTCACAAACAATTGGGCGCCTCGTGCATCTTGACCGGTTGCCGCCGCTGGAACCTTAAAAAGGGTACGACGTGTGGCAGGCCTTTCCTCCTGGGCGGGAGCTACCCTTGTATTACGGAGGTTCTATGCTCTGGCCATGGGTTTAAATGCCGCTGCAAGCACCGTGTTCCAGCCAACGAATATTACAGGCTGTGTAGAACTCTAATCGCAAAAGGGCATCATGGTAATATAGCAGAGTTGTTACCCGACTTGCCTTTCGCTACATAACTCGCGTCGAGCCGGGCTAGGGAGCTCTTATATATATTGATTTCAGCTCTACAAAGCAACCTCACTTACACGTAAGCATTGGTTGCATACATGAACATTAAGCGTGACATGATGAAGAAATGCTCCTGAAGAGATAGACACGATCCCTTACTATCCTGAACCAAACACCCTAATCCAACGGCTTCATTAAACTTGTCGTCGTCAACATTTCGGCTCCGGGATTCAGGCAGACACGGACCAGTCCCGGGCAGGTTGCACTTAAAGGAGCGCCGACCCAGAACCACTCTCGACAGGAATATGAATATGCATAGGATTTAGGCGCGACTAACAATGTACAGCCCCTTCTCCACCCCTTCCATATACCTGGGTAAGTAATCACAGCCCACACCAAGAACGCCACCCGTGCCCCCCACCTTATCTTCATGCCCCCCGCTTAAAAGGATGCGCCTCGGTATTAAGCACCCAGTCATCCAGACTCACCGCACTCTCCTCCGCAAACAGCAAATAAAAGTACTTGAGTGTCTCGGCGAGCCAGAAGCTCTCCATCTCGTCCGTCAGCTGCGGCGCCGTCTTGGTGACGTCGTCGATGGCCGAGTTGCCGTACTCGGTCGTTGTGTGCTCGGCGATGGCTTGGTACATGTTCCAGCCGACCTCGCGCCAGTGGGCGTCGCCCGTGATGCGGTAGAGGTAGAAGACGGATTCGATGGCTTCGGGGCTGTGGAATGCGTTAGCGAGATTCGATGGTAGATGAAGAGAATGGGGGTGGCTCACCGAAGTATGTACTTCTTGCTCTGGATGTTCGTGATGCCCTCTGGTAGCCTCTCTTCCTGGATGCGGTTCTTGACGAACTCCTCGTGGCTCTGCGGGGGGCGGGGAGAGTAGAGGATTGGGAACGCGGGGAGTGTGGGTGTTGCTTTGTCCGATGAATTTGATGGGCTCATTTCCTCGTTGTCGTTCGCCTTCGCTGATGGGTTCTTCAACAACGGCTCTTCCTCTGACTTCTTTTCCGTCTTCGATGGCTTCTCATCCGTTGGGTCCAACTGTCTCTTCTCGAGGCCAGCACCCTTTGGCGACTCTGTGGCCTCCGCCCCCACCTCTGCAACCTCGCTCTCTACCTCCTTCTTCACAACTCCAGTGGCTTGTGCTTCGGGCGCGCCCGTTGCCGCTGCCATCGCCGCCTCATAGCTTGCCGATGCCTCCGCGAGCTGTTTGGTGTACCTGCCCATCTGATCCTTGTAGCTCTTTATCCTGTTGTCAGCATACGGATCGATCTGCTCCCACCACTTCGTCTCATTCCACTCGCAGCTCTTCTGGCTCTCGCATCCTACGACATAAAAGCTTTCGGGCATGATGCCGGTCGTAGTAGCATTGTAGCTCCACACACATCCCTCGGTCAATTTCTTCGCGATCTCCAGGTCTTCGTCGCGGTTGAATATTTTGGCACCGAGAGCAAACATGCCGCCGGCAAAGCACGTGAGATGCGCATTTTCGTACTCCAGATCGCCGATTCCGCCGGACTTCGTGTAGGAGGAGAGCATTGGGACATTGAGAGAGCCGGAGAAGAGAACGTCGGCACCGTTGGGTAGCATCGGACGGAAAAGGAGATGTTCTTTTACGACATCAACGGACTTTTCGTACATCGTCCGGTATGAGTCGACCCGACCGCCCAGGAGAAGCCATTCCTAAAGACAGTTAGATGACTGTTACAATTGTTCAGCGCCGTGATAGTCGTAAGTTCTTACCTTTGGTAGATATTCATAAGTGGAATCAGACATGCCACCTAGCGTGTAAGACTCAGTCCCAAACTCGTCGGTCGTTACCATGCCTTGTTCTTCGCACTCAGGGACAGCGGGAATAGTAGGCTGAACCTTTTGAGCGGCCTCTACTGCCGTCCTGGGAACTATACCGTCCACAAATGTAGCGTCTGGCGCTTCGAGCTGCCTCTTTTCTTTCTCCGGCAGTTTTTTTTCCGTCTTTTTGTTGCCGACAGGAATGAACTCAACTGGCTTCGGCAATTCCAGTGGGACCAGCTCATTCTCATCGAAGTCATCCTCAAGCGAAGGCGTAGCATCCGATACCTCCTTTTCTTCGGGCTCAACCGAATTAGCATTGGTCGGTCGCTTGCAGCCAGAAGCGTCAATATACTTCGGCCACATGCCCGGCAGCCTCGTCTCTTTCTGATACACCTCGAGAGCATTTGTGATCCGGGCTATAGCGTCATAGTATCTCGGCTCGCCAGTCAACTGGGCGAGTCTGGTGAATTCTACGGAGAGAGAACCAATCTCCGCTAAGATGACTCTGCTGCTCGCGCGATGAGGCTGCGTGGCGAATGTACTAGACCTGCAAATTAGTGCTGTTTGATTGACACGATGAGCTGCTGAACTTACGGTCTCCAATAGTAATAGGTGATTGGCATCCTGTTGGGGGTATCAAAAGCACCCATCAGCACCTCTCCAAGCTGGGCAGCCTTCTCTAGCAGAACCGGGTATTTCTGGTCACTAATATCGTATGCGGCAAGCAGACCACCCAAATAGCGGATTGTGGTCTCGAACATCGGGATATCGCCACGGGGACTCGTGGTGAAGTCAATTGTCTTGACAGCCTCGACGGCCTCCTCAAACTCAGGCTTCAGTCCCATCATCCACAGCGTATCCAGCGTATCCACCAATGTTGCACCCCAGCCCCCAAAGGGGTTCCTGAAGCCACCAGAAACAGGTGATAATTCATCCTTCATCCACGCATTATCCTTGTATCCGGCCCATGAGTGTAAGAAGGCTCCCTTGATAGTCTTAAGCTTACTCAGCCTATCCGTCTTTGCCTCCTCGGTCTCTTCCTTGAAGTCGAATTGAATCTTGGGTATTGGTTTCGGCGAGCCGCTCGGCAGCTGGATAGTCGATCCAGAGGGAACCGGGAAATGCTCGGGGAGGGGTTCCCAGTATATGGCTGGCGCATCGGAGGGTACGGGCGGGACTTCGTGTCTCCCTTCGCCGTGCTCGTGGAGGACTTCGCTATTCCCCGGTTTGAACTGTTTCTTGTCATCTTCCAAATGTCCCATGCCAACAGGCGAAATGGATGTTGATGGAGCTGCTTCAGGAGACACTGCCTGTTCCTTTGCCGACTTTGGAGCTCCCGGAGGCGCTTTCTGGACGGGATGGCTGACGCTCGCAATTGGCGGCGGGGTTTCGAGCGGGAGGGTCACTGAAGTCTCAATGCCTGAGACCTCGACTTGTAGCTTCTTCGTTTCCTTGACAACCTCATGTGGCCTCGGCATCCACGATATTGGCGGGACAGTCCCCTCGGAATCCTCCTCCAGCGGTGCTGACTTCTCGCCGGTTGGGAGCAGGGTCGGTTGCCGCCATGATCCTGTGCTGCCGAATTTGTATAGGGCGAAGATGGTAACGACAGCAAGAGCAACAAAGACGCGATATCTTCGGTAGCGAAACATGGTGGACGTGCGGCAGGATTTATTAACAACGGATACCTGTCGCGCGGGATATAGGATGGAAGGCCGGGGCGCGGGAAGACACGAGGGGCGCCTACTCTCTCATAATTCCGCCGGGGAGGGAAAAGGACGGATAGGAAGCGAATGTGGAGAGTCGCTGGTGGAGGTTTGTAGAGAGGAGGACAGGACAGGTAGTCCGGTACGGAGGAGCGACTCCTGGAACCGCATGGCTTCAGTTTACGGGTCGGCGCTGCGACTTATCCATGGCAAGCGGCTTGGCCAGGCCCAGCAGCCCCTGGAACTACTGTGGCGCGTGAGGGCGTCTCCTACCTATCGCAACCAGCCTCGACGTGCACAAAGCGGACGACCTGCCTTGACGAGAATAGCAGCACTGCGGCCTCATCAATTATTCTATAACATCATAGCATCACGAAAAAGACCCCAGAGACAGAGCACCGCCATCACTCAAGCCCGCCCGGTTCGCTTATGCTTAAATCTGGGGCATCGGTCGGCTAAATTTGTACATGTTTCTGGGCACGTCGTTGGCTCGTGACGGCAGGGGTGGCGCGTTCATGTTGGCATTGACAGTCTATTTCGGCAAGCTTTTAATATACACTGTCTACTTGCAGACGGCCCATATTGCACCCACGACCAGCACCAATCAATGTCCGGCCGCTGGCTCTACTATAAGTACCGAGTTGCGCATACAGTGCGCGCAGACGCTCCCGCCTCGCAAGCGGCTGGTTCTCGACCAGATCCTGGCGCATGCTGTGCTCCCGACTATCCTGTCCGCTCCCACTACTGGTTGTCACCAGCCGGGTCTGGCTGTCGTCCCTACAGTCGCACGCCGTCAGTCTCATGTAACAGGTACCCCTAGGAGTTTCATGCGCTTACCATTTGCCGTGCCTTCAGCATCTCGTCACACAAGAGCAAGTTGGATGCAATGCCAGTGCTGGACGCAATGCAGTTGCGCAGCACTCGGAACGAGTCGTAGACGCCCTCTTGTGTGGGGTCCATGGCCTCGCCGGTTGCGAGATTGAGGCCGACGATATTTCCGTCGGCATACTCGTCCTGCAGTTCCGCCACTATATTGCATGTCAGTATGCCTCGTGCTTTTTCGGCTGAGGGTACTCACGCGAATCTTGTATGTCGTGACCAGAGTTTGCTGCGAGTGTCTTGGGAATCACCAACAAAGCATCTGCGAACGCTGTGACACCCCATTTGGCCTTTCCTTTAAGCGTCTTGCGGAAGCTGTCGCTAGAGAGATGTGCAGCGCACGCAATCTGAAACGCCCCACCGCCTGGAACGACGCTCCCGTCCACGATCATGTTGTACACGCTTCTTAGACCGTCTCGGACCGCGTCCTTGATTTGCGTAATAGTATGCGCATTCGGACCTTTGATGAGCAGAGTGACGGATTTCGGCTCCTTGACATCTTCCTGCTTTTTGTTAGTCAAGTTTAACTATCCAGATCGCGAAGCTTACAATGAAAGTGTACTTCTCCTCGCCAAGCTGGTGCTCGTACACTAATCCAGCCCATCCGAGCACATCGGGTGTTAGATCTTCCACGCTGTTTTGTGACGTTCCGCCGCAAATCAACTGTAGACGTTCCATGTTCCTCCGTTTGGCACGCCTTAGAGCGAAGATGCCGTTCTTCACCAGAACATCCAAGCTCAACGGATCGATACCCTTCTGGTTTATTATGACGAAGCCTTTCTTGGGGTCGTTGCCGCAAACTTCCTTCTTCAACTCGACGATCTTCCGCAGCTTCTCGTCGACAAATCTCCTCTCACTCTCCACTAGCTTCTCACGCTGGTCTGCACTAGAGTAGAAGAACCCGGAGTTGATCTCCGACTTTTCGTATTCTAAGCTCACGTTGAGGGTTAGGATGAAGGCGTTCTCAACACGCTTTGGCATGTCCGGATGTCTCGCGCCGTGGTCCAATGCCAGACCTCTGATCAGCTGGGTATCTGCAGCTGTTCGGTGCTGCATAGTCATGATCTCAATCATATGCAGATCTGGCTTGGCGGGGGGGTTGTATATCGTAAGAACAGCATCGACAATATCTGGGGTGAGCTGCTCAGCAAGCGTGCTGTTCAACTTCGTGGAAAGCGAGGTCCGGGCGACAGATAGGAGGAGTTCACGGTCGACTTCCTTGTTCAGCTTGAAGCCGTCGAGGAACTTTCAAAGTTAGCACAATTCTATTGTGAAAAGCGAACAAGCCAACCTTTAGTGCCTCCGTCTTTGCAATCTCGTAACCATCTGTGATTACCCTGGGGTGTAGGCCTTCTGATATGTATCGATCTGCCTGCTTCAACAGCTCGCCGACCAGCAATACCACAGAGGTCGTTCCATCCCCAGTGATATCATCTTGTGCGGTAGCAGCTCGTGCAATCATGACCTTTGGAGGTCAGTATATAAACATCGGGGTATTGTATGCGGGCTTCGTACGGCTGTGGGGTTTTGTATTTGCTACAATCGTTAGCAACATGCATCTAATGTATTGATGGTTACCTACCATTTCTCGTAACAAGACGCTTCCATCTTTCGTGAGTTTGATCTTTGGCACGGTTAATCAACTAGGTCGAGCAAGTTAACAAGCAAACGTACTGAGCCTGCGCCATCAACCAGCCTGCAGTGTGTCAGTAATGTAAATATTGTATTGGGTGTGAATACTCACATCTTCAGCGTTCCACGAGGTCCCAGATTTGATGCCAACACCTGGAAATGTCAGCAAGGCCCGTATTACTGTTCCTCCAGTGCTCAACGCACCTTCTGTAGACCCTCTCCGGCCGATATATTCACTTGAAGAGCTTCCCCACGTCTCTGCGAGCTTGTTAGCTACGTCTCTCAACGGCTGTAGAGGCAGCATTTCGTACCCTCGACTCCGCCTTGGGATTCAGGAGTTGCGCTGCAGACATATTGAAGGCCTTCTATCGGGGTATACAACGAAGTGAAGTCTTGCGGAGTGGCAGGTGGGAGAATGAGGGGGAGAAGGTGGGCTGTTTGGCTGCCTCCAAATGTCGCGTCGACCTTAATTTTCGCGACCACCGGCTGCACTTCGGCAGGGATCTTTCAGCGCCAAGACGAACTTTTTTCCACTTCTTCAAAGCTCCCACATTTCCCTCCGACCCGTCACCATCCCGCATCGCCGTCCCGAATACCGCCAATAACGCCGCTATTCGCCAGAAGTAGCATCCGGGACTAACAGCATGGCAGACTACCTACTTCTCGAGTCCCCTGTGGGCTACAGCGTGCGTGCTCTGCTCCAAAACGAAGCTCTCTGCGACTAACTCAACTGCAGATTTTTGCCGTGAAAATGCAGGCAGATGCGATCGGCAGCCGGCTCAAGGAAGTGCAGGAGAGTGCACAGGACCTTGCGAAGTTCGGGTACGGACTACTTCTGCAAATATTCTCGAGCGTTTCTAATACCGTGCAGAAAAATGGTCGAGCTTGTCAGTTTTGCGCCTTTCCACGGAGCCCAAGAAGCGCTGCAGGATGCGAACGATATCAGCGAGGGAATCATGAGCGACTTTTTGCGCTCGGTCATTGAGGCAAACTTGCCAAAGACGAAGAAGAAGAAGACTGTGCTGGGAGTCTGCGAGCGCAACTTGGCTGGGTCGATCAAGGCTGGATTCCCATATATCGAGTGCGAAACTAGCGAGACGAGCGAGGTGGTTGCGGACCTTCTCCGCGGATTGCGCACGCATCAGTCAAAGCTGCTCAAGGGCCTGCAATCCGGGGATGTTGAGAGAGCGTGCGTTACACCCATATTCTAGCTCCACGGCTTACGAACTAACTGGTTACAGGCAACTTGGTCTTGGACATGCGTATTCCCGCGGAAAGGTGAAGTTCTCGATCCAGAAGAACGACAACCACATCATGTACGGACCATTTTCAGCGAGTCTTAGCTCCTACTAATGCTTTCTAGACAAGCAATTGCCACACTCGACAACCTCGACAAGGCCGTCAACCTGTTCTCAATGCGCGCACGCGAGATGTACAGTTGGCATTTCCCCGAACTCAACAAGCACGTCTCGGATAACCAGACCTTCGCCGCCTGTGTCGTCTTCATCGGCAACAAGAGCTCTCTGGGTGACGACAGCCTTCATGATCTTGCGGCTATTGTCAACGACGACGAGAGCGTTGCTCAAGGCATCATCGACGCTGCTCGTGTCAGCATGGGACGTGATCTCTCCGAAACCGACATGGCCAATATTCTCCAATTTGCTGAGCGATGCGTTGCGCTCGCTGCGTATCGCAAGTCTCTGACCCACTATCTGAGCTCCAAGATGAACGTCGTCGCACCCAATCTCGCTGCCCTCATCGGCGACACTGTTGGCGCGCGTTTGATCTCCAAGGCCGGCAGCTTGACCAACCTCAGCAAATACCCTGCCAGCACTCTCCAGATCCTCGGCGCTGAGAAGGCTCTTTTCCGTGCGTTGAAGACGAAGGGCAACACCCCTAAATACGGTCTCATCTATCACTCCGCATTGTATGTTTACCTGCTTATATTCCTAATGAACTCGTAACTAACTCTCCTCCAGCATCGGCCGAGCGGGCACCAAGAACAAGGGCCGAATCTCCCGTTTCCTCGCTAACAAATGTTCCATCGCCTCCCGTATCGACAACTTCAGTGACGAGCCGACTTCCAAGTTCGGCGAAGCTCTCCGCAAGCAGGTCGAAGAGCGCATCGATTTCTACGCCACAGGAACCGCGCCAACGAAGAACGAGACCGCTATGCGCGCTGCTATGGATGCCGTCCTCGGCGACATCCAGATTGCTGACCCGACAGCCGGCGGAGCTGAGGACGTCGAGATGGCGGATGGTGTCACGAGCCAAGCGGTTGAACAGAAGCTCCGGAAGAAGGAAAAGAAGGATAAGAAGTCCAAGAAGAAGGCAGAGCCGGAGACGACAACCTCCGAGACGCTTGCAGCCGAGTCTCCAGAGAAGACTAAGAAGAAGGAAAAGAAGCGGAAGCACGCTGAAGAGGAGGATGGCGCGAGCAAGAAGACGAAAAAGTCTAAAAGCAAGGCGTAGGGTCGGTTTTCCGCACGTTTCTCTGTTCTCGTCTCTCTTTCGTCATCCCGGGAACACGGTGTTTCTGTCTAAAAGGTCTCATGGCGGAGCATTCGGCGTTGTAGGATGGCTTCTTCAGGCTCTGTGTACTGGGGGCAACCTTCCAAGGTCTTCTGTGTGGTTCGTGCATGTGGAGGCATGCTTCTCGATGAGTTAGGTTATGTAGCTGTATGAAAAACAGCTTTGAAATTCATCTGTGTGGGTCTAGGCGATGTGACTGCTTGTGACTGCTTGAAGTCGTCATTAACGTACAGAAAATCTGAACGAGATCGGAGTTTAGCCTTCCGAGCAACCGGTAAACTCGCCAGGCCGCCTCAGATAGTGCTAGATAGAGGTTCGCAGACTCATGTCGAGACACTGTAGTGACTGACTATAGACGGTGCCATCGTAATAGGACGAATGTCTGTGTGCTTCTCCGAAATCTGACACTTGCAAATTTGGGTGAATTGATCATCACTGGTAAATGATCCGTCAAAATGTTAGACCCGATTAGTCCACACCAACAGAGAGGAGCTGCAAAGTGAGAATCTCCAGGCTGAAACTTTGAAGAAGAATTAGCAAGTCCTGGCGCACCCCCTGGTAGCGTGGGGCAAAGATCGCCCCTGCATGCTGGCGCAAAATCCAAGATCCGAGACGGCGAAGCGAGGCTGTGCAGCTGTGATTGGCCGATCTAATCACGCTTATTTTCCACCTCCATGGCGTGCATGGCTCTTTTGACATACAGCGAGTCCTTTTAGTAGTTTCTACGTATATCACGACTTGATGAAATAATCTCTGCCATGCTTCGGCGCAGACGGGTGCTGCTGTGTGAATGTCAATCATGCGCCACAGGGGATTGGACGCTAGCCCCTGTCGCGCTTGTGGCTTTGGCAACCTTCATGAATCCGAGGAACGACCTCGAGGTTCGAGATCATGGTATACCATAGTACGAGAGACCTCGGTTGCCAGTTACAGGCAAATTGGTGAGCGTAGCTGAGTGCGGGTAGCCCCCAGATGTCAGTGATGCAAGATGCCCGGTGTAGCTTGAGGAATGCTCTGCACCCGGGCAGTGAATGCTACGACGAACAAAGCAAGAGGTGCCTCAAAGCTCGGGAGAAGGAAAGTATGTGGCAGGAGAAGGCAGCTATACAGCGCAGAGACTATGATATTCCAACAAGATAGGCATACCCCCAGGCTGAAGCGGTTTCAGGCGAACTCGCCCCAAGGCAAGCCCCTGGTGACCATCAGCCCGAATTCGATGGAACGCACGGGTCGGCCTGGCGGGGAATCGCCGCGATTTGAGTGGAGTGGGATCTGAGAGTAAAAAGGCCATGTCTCGTACGGAGGGTACCTGCCCAGTGGCTCGCTCGCCTGTGTCGTGGTCGCTCGCAGGGCCAAATCTCGCATCTGCCCATTATAGAGCGTGCGCCCCCGAATACTGGACTTCTGCCAGCAACACTCTTCCTCCTCTTTCTTTCCACAACCACGCTCACAGACTGCTGGCTTTCTTCATCGCTACACCGTCGAACAAAGCCCCTATCATCACTCTTTTCCCGGATTCGAATCGGCCCAAATTCAGCGCTGCAGCTGCCCGCGTCTAGGAAGCGCCGCAACCCTTCCTTCGACACAGACGCCCGCCCGAGTCGACATCGCCAGTGCCGCGGTGTTGAAGGTATCGCGAGCCCGACTGCGTGGTGGTGCAGGCCGTGACCCATCACGCCCTGAGCAATTTCCGCGGCACAAACCCGTCCTCGCCCGACGGCGGCACCGTTTCAGACTCGTGCAGCGGGTTGCAGAGTCTCTACGCTGGCCGGCTGGAGGTTGTCGCAGTATTCCGAGTTCTCGTCGAGCCCTGGTGAGGTGAGTCGGTCACCATGTCGGCGGCCCGAGTTGTTGAGGCGGCGGCGTCGTCGCCTGATGACTCGCCCGTTTCGTCTCCGCCGCGGTCGCCTCATTCGCCCGACGCGCCCTCGTCAAACGATTTTGGCAACAACACGATCCGCGTTCTTGGTGGAGCAAATGCGAATAACGCAGCCCCTGCTATCCCAACTCCACCAGCCACAAGCGCTAAGAGCACCGCCACAACACCCGCCGCCGCAACCACGACCACCACAACGCGCAAGAAGCCCGGGCCCAAGCCAAAGCCGCGGGAACCTACGGCTGCAAACGAGGAGAACAAGCCCAAGGAGCGCAAGCCCCGCAAGCCGCGCGAGCCTAAGGACCCCGCCGCGCCGCCCGTGCCCCGCAAGAAGCGCCAGAAGGTCGAGCCGCCGCAGCATGAAGAGAAGCCGCTGCAGCCCCACCCGCCTGCAACCCGCCAGCCCAAGCTCACCGAGCTGGTGAGCGTTATCCAGCCCGATCGTCCATCGCCAACGCCTACGCCAGCTCCGGTACAGGCTCCACGCCTCTCCGGCAATCCAGAGGCCTTCCAGAACCCAAACGTGTCGCATCTTAATGTAGCTCCCTCAACTCCCCGTCCGGCGTCTAGCGGTCAGGTCTACGATCCCATCCGCGGCGGCTTTGAATCGAAACCCCCAGCTTCAACCTCTAGCGCTCCCCCTCTCTCTCCGCCTTTAAACCGTGCGAGTGCTTCTCCCTCCATCACGTCCTTGATCGACCCACCAAGCTCGTCTTTCAACCAAGCATCACGTTTTCAACATCCATCCGTAACCTCTGCTCCTGCCTCACCTGCGCCCCTGGCAGCCCGTCCCCCGCAACTGGCATCATCGGCTGAACAGCATCTCGTCCCACGTCCAACGAACATGATCGGCTCCACCCCCATGGACCTCGACCCTACCGACTCTCATCTTCAACGGTCCGTGCCAATGAAGAAATCAGACTCTTCGGCCGGCACTACCCCTCCCGTGAAGCCAGCTCGTCAAAAGGAACAGCCACCACCGCTGCCAACAGGAAGCGGACTGCTCTCCGGCACCCCTTTCGGCCCAACTCCTGCCAACGGCGCGCCCGCCGGTACCCATGGCACCAACATATGGCTTACCTTCCCGCTAAAGGGCCAAACACACACCACCATCAACTTCGCACGCGAGGTCGAGAAGAAGTACGGCTTTGCTGCCCTTCATCCTCGCATCGCCGCCCGCCGCGAACGCCAGCGTCAGATCAGAGCAGCAGGCGCCGCCCTCGAGAAAGCCGATGGTACCGGGTCCGCTGACGACATGAGTCTTGATCTGAGCGAGGATGAGGTCGGCAGTAATGTTGAGATGGGTGGGATGGACGGCGATGAGAATAACTCAAACACGAATGGGGATGGGAAAAAGAAGAGGAGGAGGAAGGTGGAGGATTATGATAAGGAGGATGACTTCATCGACGACACGGAACTCGCGTGGGAGCAGCAGGCGTTAATGGCTAAGGATGGGTTCTTCGTTTATTCTGGTCCTTTGGTTACGGAGGGGGAGAGGCAGGTCGTTGAGAGGTATGTTGTGTTCTTTCTTCTCGTCACGTACTCACCATTCTACTCCAATCCTTTCGCACGCCCGCATAATCATACATGTGCTAACATCCTGCCAGAGCCGATGGTACCGTCAAACGTGGCCGAGGACGAGGACGGGGTGGCTCAACACGCGGCGAAACTTCTGGACGCGGACGCGGTCGAGGCGGCGGACCTGGCTCCCGTGGCGGCACCACCGTCCGCAAACCTCGCGTCACGAAAGCAGACCGCGCACAAATGGAGATTGAGAAGCACAATCGCGAGCAGCAGGCCGCCAATCTCGCCGGGAAGCTCGCTCCTGGCGGTGGCATGAACGCCGGCGCTATGCCAGGAGGCGGCGTTGGCGTCGGGCTAGGCGGTGGTGTTGGCGTGGGCGTTGGTGCGTATGGAGGGAGTGTGGGGATGTAATACGCATTACATCTCGCAACTCTCGTTCTCCATACCCACTTTCCCATCATCGAAGGCCTCACATCAAAGGAGGAGGAAACACTTGCATATGTCAGCCCACTGTTTTGCTAACAAAGATCTGTTTTATCTGGGTGTAGCGACTACAAGCGACCTTTCGATATCGAATCTTCCTTCTTCATCCACATCTACTACCATAAATTCGGCTTCCAGGCATAGTAATATTACCCTCGACTCTCCTACCACGGAAACCACCCCAAGATCACACCAGACACTTTCACCACCTGTTTCACGCCCTCTACCTTCTCAATCTGTATCATCTGGATCCGTACCGTCTAAAATAGGCCTTTCCATACCGGAACTTCTCTCCTCACACCCAGCACCTATGATCTCTTCGACTCGCCTTCACGATGAGGTTCCCGTGGTGGAAGTGTTATCTCGACCGTATCAGCAACCCCCATATATACTCGTTCCACATCCATTCCCCTCTCAACCTCTTAATGTTAGATCCGAAATGCCTTCACAACCCCTCTTTACCATTGCACGAGACTGTCGCACCATGACTTCACGGAGGGTACTTGCACGGGCTTTGTCGCCCGACCATCCAACACCGGAATTTCAAGAGCGAGGGGCGCGGGCCCGACTACTTCCGAGGGGGTTGCAAGGGCGCTGGTCTGAAAAATGGAACGTTGCGAGCCGTCAGCATGGGGCCAATAGCCGAGAGGCACAGGCGTTATGGATTAAGGTTGAGTGGTTAAGTCGGTGGACAAAGTTTGCGGTTTTGCCCCTGGTGGAAAGGTTGCCTTGGAGGACCCCGAATACCAGTCACCATAATTTCGCTTTCGTTTGGAGCACGGGTATGGTGGTCTAGCGGGCGTTTGTACCATTACATCTGTTTTTCTTTCTGTCAGGGGTTTGGGATCGGTTGTGCTTTTCTTCTGTTCTTCTTTACTTGCATGCATGGGTTGCCGGGCGGACTACTTCGAGCTCTTCGAATGGGTGACGGCGTTTAGAGTATACCAGTTCCAGCCAGTATCGGGACTTTCTTTAAGCGTGTCGCATGGGCTGGAATCACTGTACTATGTACTATGGTGTTTGAAAAGGAATGCATGGCTTCGACTTAAGGTCCTTCGGGGTGCCTAATTGTGAGTTGAGCGACTGCTGGCGGGGTGTTGTTTTCTGGCTGTGTAGTTGAGTATCCGTAGGTCATATTTCCGTGACTTAGGTTTTCAATGTCTCTTCATGATTCTGTGTGCACCTTTCTACTGCTGTCATGGGTGCTTCAATACATCTTCAGGGATCAGAAATCCACTGTTTTGAATAGCTAGTAACCTTGCTCTGCCACCTCAGACGGCGGCGTCTTGTGTTGGTAAACGGGTACGGGCATGATAGAACGAGGGGACTCCACCGCTTCTTCGCCATCCGAAAGTCTACGTTACAAACCTCAAACCTATTATCTTCATTCACTAGCTCATTTCATTCTCTATCTCTACAGTGCCGAGCATGTGAGGCGAGAAGCTACCGTGGAGTTCCCATTAAACCGCAGGAACACAGGTCTTTGTACACTGCTCTGCCACTGCATGAGGGTCTCGACTTATTCTAAAACATCATAATCCGACGCGTTTATTCTTCCAGCTACCCCTGTAGGCCACGTCGGACGTTGGTGCGTCATCACAGGTCTGCAGGTGTGTATAGTTGCCTAGTAATGTTTGAAGGGCTTCGACGTATTTTCGGAAATCGTCTTCGAACCGTTCGACACGCATATTACCTCGCTAGACTAGCTGGAGGTGCTTTATCACGGGTTTGCGTACACCGGTCTGCAGCCGTATGAGGGTCTTCGAGGTATTTTCAGAAGCCAGCATTGCATCGTCTTGGCTAGGCTCTCACCTCTCCAGACGCCGTCAGGCGCTGGGTAAGGTCGCAACTTCGTCGTCGTCCGAAAGCGGTTAGCGCACTCACCTCAAAATCGACTTCCTTCCTCAACTCCACACTCCGACCTTTCTACACTTTACACCCTTCACTCTTGCCTCGCCCGGGAGGTCCACCCTGCCGCATACATGAGTGCGGCCAGGCCCAAACAAGACCTCCAGACTCCATCTCGCTCATCGTCACGCTAAACCGAGTCTTGTTCATCTCACTTCTGCACAACCTCATCACCACTTGAGACTCCCCAGGGCGGTCCTTCACTTTCACCTCCCACCAGGTCTCTCTCTCTCTCTCCACTCTAAGCACACACCTACCATGTCGTCCTCTACACAGCAGCCGAACGGCCTATCTGTTTACGAGCGGCTGAAGCAGAAAGGGTGCACATCTGAGGGCGGAAGTGGTAGAAGCTGGGCCGACAGGTTCCACTACGGGGAGATACCGTGGAACAATGAGGGTTTCTTTAACCCTGACACCCAGAGTACGCTTCAGGGCTTCGTTCATTACTTCTCACCTAGGCGGGTGTTTATGGCTAACGCGTCCAGCTTATGTCCCCTTCGAAGGAAATCCCCACCTCGTTCCTACGCCGCCGATACTCCCCTTGCCGAGTCCGGGCTCTTCGCCGTCAAATTCGCTATATCTTCCGCCTCCACGTGTCCCCATTCCGGCACATATCCAGCATACGTATGGCCCGTTCCGGCAGACCGACATCACAGCTCCCTCGCAGCGCATCACGCATGACAATGTTGCGGTTGAATATGCCACCCTCTACGCCCCCACCAAATCTCCCACCCCTGAAAGAGCAGAAAAACCGAAAGAGCCCGAACATACGCCCATGGAGGGACTCGATGATCTGGATCTTGGGGCCGAGTCGTCGCTCTCCGAGTACGACACCGACGCCGGCGAGGAGTACATCCCATTCGACAAAGAAGCGCAAAATGCAGCAGAAGCGCGCAATGTGCCACGTCGCGCACGCTATGCGGCCAAGAAACGTGCACAGCAAAGCGGTACATCAGGCGCAGGTAAGATTAGAAACCTAAACAGTCCCTCTTGTGTGGTCTGGCTTGGCGCCGTCTGAGGTGCCCCGGGTTGGGTATCAGGTTGCGCAAAGCAGATGTGTTTAGCCCCTGGTATAAAATGCGTCTCATTGCGGACGACGGCTGACTCTGATTTAGACTCTAAGAAGAACGACATTGCTGGCCCTAGTCAGCCTGCTGGGGGACTCCAGGCGGCGGCAGCCAGCGGCTCTCAGGACACTCTCACCGCATCGGAAGGTAACGATGACGACGGAGAGGCGGCGGGCGTCGACGACGAGCCGGCCACGCCCATAGTGAGAGGTAGGGGTAAGGCTAGAGGCGGGAGGGGTGCTAGGGCTGGAAGAGGACGCGGTGGCAGGGCGAGGGGTCGCGGTCGTAGGGGAGCTTAGGGGCATCCATAGCGGTTTTCAGGGTTAAGAATCTTTTATGGGGAGGGAGGCTGAGAAGCCACTAGCTAGCAATACAATACATTGCCTGCTATGTTTTCCCTCGTGTGCACCGCTCTGGCATCGTCTGAGATCCTTCAACAGCGTTCCGTAAATCGGAATGAGATCGGTTTGAATCATCAGTAAATGTGCTGAAGCATCTCATGCAGTGTTGAGCTAGATTATGCACTTCTAGTCCTTCTACGTAGCAATTCGGGATATCTTACTATCCTGATTAAGGTGATATGTGTATGCCACTTTGCCACTGCATGAGGTCCTCCTGCCTAGTTTTAGGAATCTGAATAGGATGTAAAGTCCAGGACGGCGCGATTTAGGCGGGGTATTATAATCCTATGTGTACACAGTTTCGCCACTGCCTGAGGTCCTCTAGCAGCCTTTTACGTTTCGAAAGGAAGATGTTTTGAACAACCAGGAAACGAGCTAGATTGCCTCAGGCGGCGTCAACCCAGAGCACACCTCTCCAACGCCAACGTCTCATGGATGGTCCAAGCTTGCCTCGATGGCGGATGGTCGCAGAATCTTGCCAGTTGTATCAGGGTACTCAGGTCCATGTAGTTCATAGCGATTCAGGCAGTGTAAAATAGTGTAGTTGTAATCATAGGGGTATATGTAAGAAACCGGTCTCCTAACACCTCAACCCCATCCTCCCCATCAAACACAATCCTCCTCCCCAACGTCCTCCCACGACGACGCCTCCGAGACGCAAGATACAACGTCCCACTCCTCATCCTCAAGCACATCACCCCCCTCAACCGCCGCCCCAGCCTCTCCCTCCCCCTCCCCCTCCTCCTCCCCCTCCTGACCCCCCTCATCCTCATCCGCCCACGGCGCGTGCACAACCAAATCCTCAGTCGCCCACTCATACCGCTCCCCATCCCACCACCCCGGATCCGTCATCCCCCCACAATACCCACAACTAATCGCATGCTCCACCTCCGCCTCCAGCATCATCTCGTCCTCATGAAACTCATCCATATGCCTCAACTCCCTTCCCACCGCCCGCCCCCGCTCGCTCCTGCGCGCCCACCGGGTCGAGCGACACCCATACTCGCTCTCGCGCTTCGGGAACGCGTGGTGGCGCCGCGGCGGGCGCGGCCAGGCCTGCGCCTCGTCGTAGAACTCGCGCTTCGTGAGCGGGCGCGCGGGGAGCGCGGCGCGAGCCGCGGGGTCCGCGGGAAGCGTGCCCCAGCCGCAGATCCGGCAGGAGACGGAGGAGTGGAGGTAGCAGGGGATGAGGAGGTGGGGCTGGGCGCGCTGGTTACGGTGGAGGGCTTTGTAGGAGAAGTATTTCTTGAGGGCGGTGGTGGTGCGGTTGCGGGCGCGGGCGGCGGAGCGGAGATCGGCGTAGGGGGCGTAGTCGTTCATGGTTGGTGGTTGTAGGGGGTGTGGAGGGGAGTGTATAGCGCTGCTGTGGATAGGGTGTGTGAAGGTTGTTGCTGTACTTCCCGCGTGGAAGGTGGAAGTGTATGATTGTGATCTCTGTTGGTTGGGGTTTCTTTTATGGTGTACTGTGGTGTTTGGTTTGTTGTTTGCCAGCGGAGTGTGACGTTTGGTTTGCTGGACAGTATGGCTTATAAGTAAGCGGGCTCAGTGCACTCAGCGAAGAGGACTGAGGAGGATGGCCGAGTTGTGACGTGTCGACGTATTGTGAAGGAACGGCAATATATAGAGGACATTGCGGAGCTCTGGCCATGACGCGGTCATGGTTCGAGTCATCATCGAGCTCCGCCACAAGCCGTAAGGGGCCCTCAGGGCGAGATGAAGTTCGAAAGAAGGGCGCAAGGGCGGTTGTGGAGGTGGCTGTGCAAAAGTGTGGCTGTGGTTTTTTGGCTGGACCACCTGACATCTGCGGGCGCTCATTTGCTAAACTGCACTGCCAGCACCCAGGTATTGCATTATCGTTCGAATATTGAGGATCGTATTCGGGAGGAGCCTGCCTAAGAATACAAAACACAGAGTAGGTTTAGAAGTTGCAGGAGGAAGCAGATGCAATTAGGTCATGAGACGCCCCTGTTTGAAAAAAGGCGACCTACATAGGTCATGTGATATTACAAGAGGTAAAGAGATCCGAACTCATTAGGGAATAGGAAGAAATCACCATACAGTACCACTACTGCGGTTGGAATGGTGGCGCAGAATCTTTCGCCTTCTCCTGGTCAAACAACCATACGCCATCAGTCAGATTGGAATTGATGGCCTCGCCGATACTGTTAGCCAAAGCGTCGAAGAGAGCTGATTTTGGCGCACGGGTGAAGAAGCGGCGTGACCATTCCCGGCCCTCTGCCTTCTCTTGCTTCCGCATCTCGCGCTGTTGGTTCTCTATAACCGACTTTTCTGCGGACGTAGTGTTCATATCGCCCTTGGAAATGGCCTGAGCCACCTTCTGCCACGCGCGTCGCGACTCCATTTCGTCCTGCTGGTCTATCTCGGCGACGGTGAGAGGGGTTGTGTTGGTCACTGTGGGGTCGAACGTTTCGACAACATCCTTGGTCTTGGCGTCGCGAATTGTGAAACAATCGGTCCATTGCCCATCGGCGGTGTATAGCGGCTGCTTCTCTTTGCCGTCTTGATAAAGCGACGCCGTGAAGGTGTTCTTCTTGCCTGATAGCCATCCCTTGCCGCTATAGTCGATCTTCGCGGTGTAGCCAGATGAAGACTTGATGTAGCTGGAGCTGTCCAACTCCACATATGGCGCCCCAGTAATGAGGCCTTCGATGTGGAGTGAGGGAAGGGTGATCAGATAGTCTTCGTCGAATGCATCAATGTGGAGAATGGCGTGGCCAATTTGCTGCGCAAACATCAGCAACCCATCGTTCTGGTTAACTTGCACACTTACCTTGACATTGATTGTCCGCGAGAAAGAAGCCTTCTGGGCGTTGTAGCCTTGTAGCCTGACTCCCGCCTTCGAGTTCCAGATGCTGTACGCCGTGACTGGCGGGTGATGGCTGTACATCAATGAGCGGGGTCAGACTTTGGTGTCTCCATTGTGACCCACCTGACCTGCTCGCTGACCAACTGTGTGGTGCCAGCATCATCCTCCCACTTGCCAAGGAAGAGCTCGCCCAGGAAGGGGTTCAGCGGCTTCTTCTCGCTGCCAAGCTTCTCGTTGCGACTGCTGTACTGCTGCTTCAGTGTGCTCAGGAACCACTTGAGGACGAGGACCGCGCGCTTCTCCGGGTTGTTCTCGTTGGCAGGCGCGACGAAAGTGGAGGGGTGTTCGGCCCAGTACGACGAGTACTCCACGAGGGATGTGGTCGAGAGGATGAAGGGCGGGGCGGTCATGGAGGAGAGGTCGCCATTGAAGGAAGCAATGGACTGGGGAGACGCGATTAGCAAGCGTTCTAGCATGCGCGGGCTCATCATAGTGCAAACCTTCAAGAACGAAGTCCAGGAGCCCTTGGATTGAGCGGGAACAGCTGAATCCTCGGAATCCTTTGGAGTTGACGTGCCTGAGGCGTGTTTTTGGCCGTTGCCGTTCATTATGAAAATGCTAGACGTGTGATTGGTGAAAGGCTGAAGGAATTATGGGGATTTTAGGCGTGCGTGGGCTGGTGCTGGGTAGATATGTTGTATGTAGGTTGTATGTTTGGGGAGCTGTCGCAACTTGAATGTGGCTGAGTTTAGTTATTACATCATTCCCTAAAAAGCAACTCCGTCCCCAACGCGTCAGGGCGTCAGGGCGTCAGATACGCCCCATCCTTGCACAACACCATCGTTTCCATCTCACCCACCTGCAAAGTCCGCATCACCACACCCAAGATGAAATGTCTGCTGCGCGTTTCATCTCCATGACGGAGGCCGGTAACATGACCGCACGGTGTACTATAGATTGCGTAATACCAAGGCCTGTCAGTTTACAGACCTTCGAGTACTTCAGGTAGGCTGATACTCTGGTTCAGCTATAGCAACATTGTGAGATTAGTGACGCTATTTTACAGAGCTTGGGGAACGCTATTGTATTCATACGGATGGCCTTCAGCCTTAAAGCAAGAAAAGGTTACGTCAGGTGTCTTCATTTTTCGTCTGAGAGGATATCATACTGTGCTACTTCCTCATTTCATGTCATCAACGTTCTCAATATGAGGCTATCTTCATTCTGCTACCCTGTCTGAATGCTAAGACTAATCGGCATCCCCAATCCACGCATCGACAACGGATATCAACACCATCAGACCGCCCTTACGGGGCTAAGCGTGCACATAAGTGGCGGCTTATCCCATAGCGTATAGACCTTCTGGTCTGCCCAATCCGCGCTTTCCGGGCAGAGTTTGAGATCGAAATGCCAAAGCACTGTGGCCAATATAAGTCGCATCTCATGATACGCCAGACTAGTCGCCTTTGATCAGCAAACAAAGACGCAAACAATCTCAGGATCGACAACGGTAACTTACTTCTTGCCTAGACAATTTCTTGGTCCATATGAGAAGGGCTGTAGCACGAATTTCTCGTCTCCTGCGAAGCGTTCATCGTCTAACCATCGCTCGGGGATGAATGCTTTCGGTGCGGCGAAGTTGAGCTCCGATTCGTACGCTGCCCACTGACTCATGCATATCGATGTCTGTAGATTTATTAGAGATACTATCACAGTTGGACGACAGCACTTACTCCGCCCGGAATGAAGTCTCCGCAAACTGTAGCGCCCTCAGCTGGAACCTTTCGTGGAAACCCAACTGGGACGGGTGGATACATTCTAAGACCTTCTTCGAGGCAGCCATGGAGGTACTTCAGCCGAGCAAGAGTCTCAATGGTGATGTCCTCTTCAGTGGCAAACGTAGTTCTAATCTCTGTGGTAAGCTTTGCCAGCTTGTCTGGATTTTTCAAGAGATGGAAAGTGAGTCCGCTCAACAGCGTTGCTGTCGTTTCGGTGCCGGCAAGCATGAACAATGATGCATTCGCGTGCATTTCTTCGAGGCTCAGGCCATGTCTCTCTTTTTGCCGCATGACTAGGTTCCAAATATCGGGTTGATCGGTCTCGACAGCCAGTCGACGATCCACGCGATCGGACGAATAGTTGAAATGAGCAAGGCGTTTCTTATTTATCGCTTTGTCGGAGAGGTAAGGTTCCAAAGCGACGAAGAAGGGGAAATTTCGCATCGCTCTTTGCCGGGAATTTTCCTTGACACTTTGGAAAATGACGGCCACCCAGGGATTATACTCGTTCTTTTCGAGGAGCTGCAGAGCCTCACCGAATGTAAGTTTGCCCATGATATCAAATGTTGTGAAGTTGTATAGGTTCACCATGTTGAAAGCCGTACTCGGATCTTTCTTGGTGCCCTGCCTCAGTATGCCGATCAGCATGTCGACATATGTTTTGAAAAGTTTTTCTTGTTCCTTGAGCGCCTTGTCGGAGAATGCGTTCGCAAAGACTTTACGAATACGGGAATGGGCTGGATCATCTATTCCATTGACCATTGAGGGTGTTCCGTTCGGGGCAGTGCCGTAGAATTTGGGGTTTTTTGGTATGTTCCCTGCCGTACCTATCCGATGGCCGTATATGTCTTTCCAAGCCTGACCATCGATATAGCTTAGGTCTGTTGGAGTGATTCGGACGACTTTGCCGTATTTCGCGTGTTGAGCTGATACCCAGGTATGGATTTCTCCATTATACGACGCTAGGAAGAAAGGCAATCGGCTGATAGCCGCTAGCTTGGGGCCTGGAAATCTACTCAGCGGTGCGTAGTATAGGTCGTAAATGGCGTGTCCGACGATGTAAACAGCGAACTTCAGCATAACTTGACTTTAGCGGTTGGTCAAGCGTCACTCGCCTCTCTTCGTTGAGTTCAGACTCACCACAACGAGTGCACTGCTAATGGCAGTAACGACATCGAACTTGTCCAACAGGATTGCCACCAAACCGCTTCCTGATGTTCTCTCGTCAGCCATAGCGCTTCGAAAATTTCGTGATGATGGCGTAGAAATAGTGCACTAATCACACCTAAACTCTTACTCACTTGAACGAAAATGGCTCTTATATACCTGACGGCCTTATTCCCGGTGTCATCGAGCTTCCGAAAACCGAATCAACAATCCAGGTAGCCAAGTCCGAAACCTAGGGAGGTGAGGCTTCTCGGCCCTTTCCTTGGTTCCCCGCAATTGATGGAGGTGTAAAAGTGGAACCTTCTGACGATTTTTCCTTCAAGTAATCTAGTGTGCAATATATTGTCACCGTGCAGGGACGTCAGTGAGGGATCTCCACCGCGCCGACTGCCGAGTCAGGTTCCACGACACCATGCGTGTAAGTAGCTTCGTACGAGGTCGAGATGAAGGGGAAGCTCATTCGTGGGTAGTTGAGAACAAGTGCCTCAAAACAAGTACCAGGGACGGGGAAGTAGCCGAAGGGCATGGGTATAGCACGCGAATCTATCGATGCTCGAGGTAGCGGGGTATCTTGAAGCGAGGTAGATATTTACACTTTGTGAAGAAGTTGACGCGGAAGGGAGTGAAGAGACTCTTGGAATCGGAGAAATCAAACCCTTCCGAAGGCGCTCCGGCGTATGAATGGACCTAGACACGGCTGAGGCAACTGCTTGATCATAACGTTTTACAGCTGGATCCGGGTTTAAATGGCAGCTAACAGATTCACCGGCCCGTCCCAGAAGAGGGTTTACGATGCAGGCCGTTGAAGCGAGGCACCTCGGCCGAGGGTTAGTAAAACTGACTCCATCACTCGCTTCCCTGAGGTTCAGATCCCTGCCATCAAGTTTCTGGTCCTCATCCAACTCCCCTCTTTTTTGGATAGATTCCGAACTTTCGCAGTTCGGAATTCGGACCCAGCGCCAGTGAATGTATCAATTCTCAGACGCCCAACTCCAATCGCTATATCCAAACCCAAAACATGGAGCACAGCCCTATCCTCAAACAACCACAAAAGGCTTCTCATGACCCCGATCACCCAGTCCCCTCGCAAGACCATCCTTCACGACATCCCAAGTGACTCCATCATATCTTCTCCCCTTGACCCCGCCGTCATGCAACGCCTCCCTATACCTCCCCGTAGCAATGCGCCTCGCCATAACCGTATCTCTCGCCCCATGTAGATTCCTCCCCTTCCCCTCCACCAAGTACTCCTCAACCCACCCCTCCTCTTCCTCCTCCAGCGGCAAATCCACAATCTCTGCACCCCTCGCCGCCTTCCGCGCCCCAGCAAACGCACCCAGCGCGCTCGCCACCACAATCTCCAGCAAGCCCCTCCGCTCATCCTCTGGCCGGCCCCGCACGAAGTAAAATGCCTCCACCACGCTCCGCTCAGCGAGGTAGTCCACGAATGTGTCGCGCACCTCCTTGCGCTCGAGCGGCGGCCGCACGGCGTGGAAGTAGGCGAGCGCGAGCTTCTCGTCCTCGCCGCCGCGCGCGTGCTTCAGCAGGCACTCGAGCACCTCCTCGGTGAAGGTGGGCAGCAGGCTCGGGTGCGAGAGGAACTCGACCGCCGTCATGAACTGCTGGCGGTCCAGCGCGTGCAGGCCTTCCATGAAGGTCCACAGCTTCTGCGGCATGAGGGTCTTGGTCGCGAATGCGGCGGCGAGCTCGTGCTCGGTGTGGGTGGAGGGGGAGAGGTCTTTGAGCAGGTAGAAGAGGAGGCATTGTTTTTGCGGGTCGGGGATTGGGGCGTGCGTGATGGTTTTGTGGAGGCTGGTCAGGTCGGATGGCGTGCGGGGGGGATAGTGGTGGCCGACTGCAGTAGAGCATGTTAGTTAGATTAGGGTGAATGGAAGGGATAGGGTGAATGGAGGTGTAGGCGGCATACCTTTTACGCCCAAGGTGTCTACCAGCCGGTCGAAGAAGAGCTTGTTGTCGAGCTTGCGCCGGTTGGCGATAATATCGTTGTAAAGGTTTTCAGGGTAGCCATGTGCGACGGCGGGAGGGAACACCTCCTTGTATTTAGATATATCCAGCATAATTAGTATTGGTTTCTTTCGAAGTGAAGTGCGTTGACTAGGGCGAGGTTTGGTGTTGATGTTTTGATGAGCGATGAGGTCGGAGTGCGGGACGTCTTCCGCGTCTAGTGGTACATGCGACAACACCCCACACCGCCACTATCTCGTCAGTCTTGAGGATACTTTGAATATCTTAGAATGGTATACAGAGGTGTAAGATGGTTGTTCTTGATCGATGCAGACCTATTGGGCCACTGCGGACAACGTTATCAAAGTCTCCAGCGTGATATCCTTTCAAAGTGAACATTTCCAATCCCATAGCTCTTTCCGCACCTCTACTGCACCGAACTATACTTGGAGTTAAGGTACCTAGTCTCTGAACAGATTTGAACCGTTTCCAGTCCCAAGGTCTTTCGTCTGTCGACATGTTCTTCAAAGTCTTCGTTGTTACATTCAGTATTTCCTTCTTACTCTAGACCCTTTCAATTTCTATACTTCACTCAACTCTCTTCAGAGCTCTTATATAAGGACTTATCAGCCATAGGCGGACTCCGTACTTGTGAAATAACCTCGCCGCGAAACTCCAAGAGGTAGTCCATCACGTCCCGGACTCTTCCCTACAATCGGGACTCCAATGGGTTGCTATGGATGCAATCTGGTCGTCAAAGTGGTCTCAATGGCACAATGCTCCAGCCTTTCTATCTTTAATGAAGCGTTTCCAAAATTCTACAGAAAACACGGCTATTCGCCTATACAGGAGCTCCACCGGGAACAACTAAAAACCAAGAGTCTCGTAACTCAATCGTGGGTCGGGATGCGCTGAATTGGCTTTTAAACGAGCTTTACCTCGAAGCATTGTCCCTTCGGGCTTCATGGCCTTCACTATGGGTAATTACGCGTTCCGTTGTCCGATTATGCGGGATATAGTCTCCATATCAACGGAGGCATGCACTTCTAGTGGATTTCGAAATTCAGTGGCCACATAGTTCCTATTGCTCTGCAGATCAGAAAGAAATTAGGCGACAGGACTAAGTATGCTCCAAAGGTATATACAAAACATGCTCAATGCTCTTTAATTTTCGAAGAAAACTCTATGCTCCACTCCATACCTTGCCAGAGCGTCACCATCCGACATTCTTTTGGTCAAGTACTGTGCTATCAGAAACAGCAGCAGCCTCATTTCTCCGGCGTCTTCGGCGGCTGCGCTACCCATTAACCCACCGGCTATGCCTCGCATCTAGCTCCCCCACCCTTGTCGCATCCAACTCTGTCGGCGGCCTTATCGACTGAGGATGAGCATGATGCGGCGCATTATAGCTCTCCGGAGTCTCAGTTGTATACGCGTACTGATTCTGATCTTGCGTCCGCGTCTGCGTATACCCCTGCTGCTGCACCTGCGCGACCCAAGCCCGCTGATCCTCCTTCGAAGAGCTGATATACCCAACCGGGTATCTATTCGCCGTCTTCTGCTTCTCACGGTAGAGGAGGTACGATACGCCCAGCAAGGCGAGAGCGAGCGGGGCGCCGACGCCCGCGCCGACGGCGGCTAACTTGCTGGCATCATTTTGGGTGCTAGCGGTGCCGTTGCTGTTTCCAGATGCGGTGATTGTGACGGTCTGAGTGGTGGCTGACTTGGTTGAGTTGGCTGTCGTGGGGTCCTGCCTGTGTGTTGAATTGAAAATCTCGATGGAACCGGTGCTGCGATCCGTTATGACTTTGCCAAATGGGAGTCCAAAGGGCATGGTTGGTGTTCCGCCGTAGAGGCACGTGTCGTTCGCTGAGTTGTATGTGTCAATATCGCAACAGAAGGTACGGATACCTTGAGCGAGGTCGATGAAGAGGCCGGTGGGCATTATTGGAAGGCCTGAGCGTGCTTTACAAGGATGAGCGGTTGAAGGGGTGTATAGAGAGTACTAAAAATGGTGATTACGAACCTTCTTTGCATAGTTGGAAGCAGTCTGATGCGTCCCAATTTGGATCTGTGCAAGTCTGCTGCGAGATGGTTCCGGCGGTATCATAGCAGAGGCCGTTATCGAGACAGAAATCGTTGGGACCACAGCAATGGGATTGGTTTGCGGATTCGTTGCATGGTCGATGACCGGGAACGACGACTTTATTCGGGAAGTAGCATGTTTGTGAACCGGCACACACTAGATGTGATAGGAGTATTACAAAAAGCAAGGATATCAGATGCATATCGTTGACAAGATCCTTTTAGAACCTAGAGGAGAGAATAGAAGACGATATGAGACCAAAAAGATGAGACTGAAGCAACAGACGACGAAAAACAGCTGGGGCAAACGTAGTATTTCCATAATAGCAGTCTTCAAGTCGACCCCATCGTGCTAGCCCTAATGGAGTGCTGTTTGGGCCAATGAGCTGCATTGCTGTATTGCATAGCCGCTGCTGTGCCGCAACGACCAATCTGAACTCACAGCCCCCCAGCTTGAGCCAGGTCGATGAAACGCACATGGCACAGACACTTTTATAATGGAGCAAGTCGCAACACGTTCGGCTGCGTACGTTGTCAGTTCGTCTTCCCCAAAGAAAGCGGCGTCGGCAAATCACAAAGGCCGGGGTATTACTCGGCCTTGGTGTTGAAAACAAGGACTAGAAGACGGACAGCTACAGCCTTCGTTGCATATAGTATCGTCAGGTAAGACTGAGTTGTGATGAGATATTTGTATTGTTGAGTTTGGTTGATGTGAAGTTTTTGGGAACGTGGTGATGTTCCGGGATAGAATAGTATGGGCGAGGCTGACATGCAGGGTTGTCTGTGACTGGCAGGGCTGGTCAACGCCGTGCATATCAAACTGGCCTTCTCGAGTAAAGAGAGGTGTAGCCGCGTGGGTGGCCATGCGTCCTCGGTAGGTGAACATGTTTTCAAGCTTCTTGATCCTTAAGAAGGCTTGGAAGGTTCGCGGATTTCTAAAGGAGGCTCATAAACAATAGTTTTGACGAATGATTTATTTTGGGGGCCACTAACTACAGACACACCCCCTAATCACTCCACGCACACCCCGTCGCTTCACCACCTTCTAATTGGCTCGGAGCAGCGCGGACCTTCCTTCCTTACGTCTCTACACGTGAATGCTATACGCGAAGCTCGTACGTAAGGCTATATATAATGCGGCACAGCTATACAGCGTATTTTATACAATTTCTTTAGCCGTATATACAGCCGTATATAAGGTTATATATAAGGCCGCATAAAAGAGGCCGTATATAATGCTGTATATATAGCTATATACGCAGCCTCTCTGTTTAATTATGTTATTACCTGCTATGCCTACATGCCTAGGAGGATGCTAAAACCATTAAAACCTTACCTATTTAAGGCTCCTTTCCATCAAGCCTAGCCGGCCTGCATCGCCGCCTACGCTCGCTTTCCTATTCACTCAAGAGGAAGCTCCAAGGAGTCGGCCCGGCCACTCTGGCCAATTTAGAAGGTGGTGAAGCAACAGGAGGGGGAGGAGGTGTGCGTGGAGGAATTAGGGGGTGTGTAGTTAGTGGACCCCTTTATCTTTTCATTCGACTACGTTAATCATAATTGAGTATGTACTGCAATTTGTCGCTGAGACTCAGAAATGCCGCCCATTACCATGGAAAATGGATCCCACTCTAATCATTTACCACTGGGGTCATATGTTCGGTTCGTTAGTACATAACTTAGAGAGGTCTCGCCCTCGACCCTTTTCACTGCTTGATCGAGACTCCAATCGAGCTCAGATAAGCACACCGCCCCTTCTGGTTATCCGGCACAACCTCCATAGCCGTTTCTCCAGGCTTAAACTTCAGCCTCTGATACCCATCCAAGGTCCACTCTTCCCACTTAGGTGTTCCTGGAAGTCTGTATGTGTTCGGGTTGAAGCTACGCACGAAGCTTGTCCAATACGCCTGCACTACCGGAACAATCGGCGCATTCGTGGTACTGTAGCTTGGTGGTGCCCCGCCGTTCACATTCTCAGGCCCCCATATGGCGTTTACCTCAACGGTATGCTTCACACCATATCCGACAGCGTCGTCATCGGGGTCGTGTACGTCCCAGTGGTAGTTCCAGTTAGACTGCAGTCCCAGGCGGCTATAGGCATTGGAGATGTAGATTCCGGGACATATGTAACGAATCTCCCCGTACGCGTTGCTGACTTGTCGCCAGTAGCGACCTGAGTCCGGAAACTGCTCCGCTACGGGATATATGATGCTGATAGTGCGAAGTTGATCCAATGTCAATGCTGGAAACTGACTTTGGAGAAACGCTGACGAGTTTCCAATGCTGTTCGTCAGCTTCGGGATAAAAACGGTACCCTCATTAGTATCGTCCCCATATATTGCAGGCAAACGCAGGAAGTGTCCCTGCTCGTAGGCTCGATAGGTGTAGTCCTGAATGAGGTCGCCGTCGAGGGTAGGGCCGTACATGTATAGCGGAGCTTGCTGGGCTCCCGGAAATGGTGTATTGAAGTTGTTTTCCTGGAGGAATGTTGCATTCAAGCTTCGAAGACAAGACAGCGTGTCTATCTCCTCCAAACATCCCGTCCGGATGATAAGATTATCGTAGGCGAATTGGCTTTCGTCAGCTGTCATCAGGGCAGCAAAAGACTGAGACTCTGCTGCGGTAGCATGAAAGAGATGATCATCTCTGCCGCCGTACGCCGTCACGTGTAAGCTGATTGACGCTGCACCTGCGGAGTTGCCCCCTACGACCACGTGCTGAGGGTCACCTCCGAACTATAGAAGCTCATGGTTAGCTGGTCATGTCCTTGCGGTATTCCGTGCTTGCTGCTCATAAACCCGCAAGTGGTTTAGAGGTGAGCACTTACTTTGCAGATATACTTTTGGACCCACTCCATAGCTTTCCTCTGATCTTTCAGACCATTGTTCAGGCTACCTCCAACAACAACCTCTTTGCCGGCCAGAAAGCCATACGGACCAACTCTGTAGTTGAAAGTGACCACGACGATATTCATGCCGCTGACTTGGATTAGTCCAGTTCCATTGTAGTTGGCATTCGAGTTGGTATTAAAACCACCGCCCTGAATGAAAAAATAGACGGGTAGTTTTGAAGACTCTGTGGCATTCGTTGGAGCATAGACATCCAGGAAGAGGCAGTCTTCTGATGTCTCATCATCGTTCGGATCTTGAGCGGTACCAAGGCAGATCAAGCCATGCTATTGACGGTCAATTGAGATTTTGAAGGGAACGACTGATATGCGCCTTACCTGGTCCGCTATCTGAACAGACTGGTATGATGCTATAGGATCTTGAGGAGCCTGAAACCTTAGTTGACCGACTGGTGGTGCAGCGTATCGAATGCCTAACCACTGCGATATCCCATTGGCCAAAGGAGTTCCTTGATATGAGGTGGATGGAAGGCTAACAAGAGGGCTGACCGCACCCGCTTGTCGACCGAAGGTTAGCAAAGCCAAAACCACCACTCGTAACATTATGGACAACGTTGAGGAGGGCGTGAGGAGGCGACAGAGTTAGTGAAAAGCGAGGTCAGTAAGGTGTTTATATCCACCGACAAGTTCACTTCCTCGTGCGGTCCCTGGAATCCGCATGGTGAATAGTAAGCCCTCGTGGAATTTATATGCCGGATACAGTGCATGACGGCATGATACTACTTGGCCCTGGATTAGCAAGATGTAACGTAGAGGCTTCTCTATTGAATTTCGACCTAGAGCAGTTGCGATGCGGAGACAATCATGACTCGGTACGGATGAATTCCCCGCAGCAGCCTCGTGACATCGAACACTAGTACGGTCAACCATTCCGCGCTCCACATGGAGAAACCGAGCCGCTGTCGAAGAGCTGATGGGGATGGGGATGAAGCTGAAGTGGCATTGTGGCATGAGGAGCGGCATCAACTGAAGAGACTGGGAATTGAAACCTCCGGTGGCCCGAGCGTATATTGTCTCAGTTAGTTATAGGCTTAGCGCACAGTATCTCGACGTTTTTCGTGCCTGTCGTACTCTTCCTCTCACTCCTTGCACAACCCTCTCTCTTCTATCTTCGCCGAACGCGCATATTGGCGATTCCATTTGGGTAACCACCCTAGCAGCATCGAGTCTGGACCGCAGTGGTTCGACACTGACTAGCATATTCGACATCATAGATCCGTGAAGATCCGGGATGCTTGCACGATATGCACCAACGGGCTCTAGTAAGCGCAGGGACTTAAAATTCTCAAACTCACCCTTTAGATGGTGCGATGCATTCTTTTATTGAAAGATTTGTGACTGATGTCGTAGTGAGCATTCTAGTATATATGTATGTGCATTTCCTTCGTATAAACCTTCAGATATCATCCGCACATCTTCAATACTGTCTTCTGCTCTCTCGATAAAACACACGGTGTCCCCTCTAGATCACCCGACCTATGCGGGGGTAAGATGCACATGGGTTCTACCCTCCACGGCCACCTCGACACTACTTTCTCCCGCCGCATCCGCTTTTACGCTCTTCTCAGCGCCGTAGTTGTACGTCTGCCCAGGCACAAGCCTAGAGACCCCAAGCTTGAATATGCCGCTAGCCGCAGACGGATAAAGCACGAGTTCCAAGTCTTTGGAGTCGTGCGAGCGAGCTTTTGCAACTAGAACGCCGGGATAGGGGACCGAGTACAGGATAGGACCAGCGAGGGCCGTCTTAGATGGACCCTAGAACGAAAAGATGTCAGTATTGCAGTCTTGAAAATAAGGCGGTGCAACATACCTCTCCAATCAACTTCTTCCAGTCTTCTTTTCTCAACAAAGCCGCCCTGACCCGACTTGTCCTCATCGCAAGACTGGCATTCTCGGGATCCAACACCTTAGCTCCACTCTCCGTCGTCTTGACTCCGAACCCCTCATCCGACTTCTTGTTGGCCGCCTTTCGGACTTTCTCGTCGCCATACTCTCCCGCCACGTATGCCAAATGAGGGTAGATCGCAAAATCACTTGCGCGATAGTTGCCCGGATCCAACTTGTCAGCGCCCACCAAACCCGTAAGCTCTAGTTCGCCAGATGATGTGAAGTTGACACACTCGTGCCGGAAAATTGCCCACATACGTCTTGCAACATGGTCAAGGTACCCTCTACATAATACCGCGTTGACGAGATCGGTCAACGCGCCACAAAGCCCCGGAATAGTGAAACCCGTTAGCTCAGAGCGGATTGGGAGGATTGACCCATCCGGCTCGGTGAAGTTGGCATTCAGGGACTCCTCAAATGCAGGTAAGAGGCGCTCGCTATGCGTGGTGCCGAACACGCGATCATACACGACCTGCCCGGTAAATCCGTAGAAGTTGCAAGGCGTATATATCCAATTCGGCTCACAGGGGAAGAAGCAGTATGGGTTTGCTTCCCACTGCCGCACCAATGCCTTATCGATCGTGTGAATAGAGTGCGGGAACTCATCTCCTTTCTTGTCACTGAGGCGGAACTTGAGACTCCCGGGTTTCGTGTATCGATGGTCACCCGTAACGGACGTGTACAGCATCAAAGCCTGCAAGAAGAAACCCGTTACCATGATGTTGTCCTCGACGACCGGGTCGTAGTCGGTTTTGAACTTTCCCCATCGCGTTTCCCACTTCCAGAATCCCAAGACCTTGGGTGTCAGCGCCTTTTCAATGGTATTGAGGTAAGCGGACGCAGCGTAGCCGTGGAAATTAGGTGTGTAGATGCCAATGTACATGCCAAGGCAATACATCATCTCGTAAAGCTGGTACCGTACGGCAGAGGTTTGGAACTGGTCGATAACGTTGAACTCACTCCAGTCATCGTGTGCTTTGCTCGCTTGGTCAAAGACATACTGGATGACCCGGAGATCTTCAAGACTCAGTTCTCGGTCGGCATCTGGAGGCGCGGGCGTCGAAAGTGTGTCAATGGAGGTAAGCTCGTTGGTGATGAAGGTATTTCGGGTGTTCCGCTTTTCGGTGGCCTTGGTGCGAGCAGTGGCTGAAAGTCGGTTGAAGTATGTGATGAAAGAAACGAGTAGGCCGAGGGAGATGATGCCACCGTAGGAAAACACTGTCTTTCCGGTCGCATAATATGCTCCTGGAATGGAGAGCGCCCAGATGAGGATTGGAAAAAAGATCCCGCCAGCTCCGAACCACTGAGTGCGCCTTAGTAAGTAGGGAGATGGGCTCTGACTTGGGAAATTACTTACTGCGAATAAAGCTGGAGGAAGAGAGATAAATGTAAGAAGAAAGAATACGCCTCCGAGAATGTTTGCACTGGCAATATACCCAGCCCCGGGAAATACCAGACTAAGGGCTGCAGCTCGGACTTTTGGTGAGAGGACGTATTGCTTCTGGTAGAAGACACTCAACCCCAAAATTGCCTGAGTCGTCCATAGGAGAAGAGTCTTGTTTTGGACATTCTTTCGGTGGGTACCAGATCCCACACTCACGGGAATCAGTTCGCTTTTGCCATCTAGAACACTAAATTAGTGATACTTGAATCTTAAATCCAGAAGGTACTCACCAGAATACTTTTTGCGAGCGCTTTTTGGCTTTCCGTTGGATTGACCATTAGTATGGCCATTCAATTGAACGGAAATGCTTTCTTTGAGGTGCAACATCATAGAAATTGCTTTGCCGCACATGAAAAGAGAAGCACCAAAGTTTTCCAGAGGAGATGAATAGCAATTGTGAATATATGGACTACTAGATCACCATTTCTCATATTAGGCCCAGGCCGGATACCCCGCCACCATACTCAGTCTCCCATTCGTCTTGGTGCCCCAAAGTTGCACACAAAACCTGCATAGTCGCTGATGGAAATGGAACCGTGTCAGTTGGCTTTTTTGTGAATGCTGAGTGTCCAGCCCTAAATGCGGGGTGGGTGATCTTGTTGAGTAAGAAATTGCTGACAGGACAGTTTTGGGTCTGAGGAGCCAGTTAAATGTAAGACACTACGTATAGTTGTATGGACTTGTGAATGTTCAGATCTGAGACGAAACCTCCCAAAAATCCTTTATGTTGTCACGACTTCTTTTTTACGGTAGGATCGGTCCAGTATTTGCTTGCTTGTGAAAATAAGCATCGCTAATGTTAAATGCGACTACACTTTCTTAACGACGTGGAACCGCTTCGGGGGACTAAAAATGGCGTAAATAACCACAGCACACTCCATCAAGCCAAAGACGGGGCTCAAGATGAAAGTCAAGATGACGTGCCACACCATCTTCATTACCGGAATGTTGCCTGCGTCGTAGTCTTGAGCGATGGTCGAAGTAATGGCGGACCAGAGACTTTCGGAGCAATGCAAAATGCCCCAGACAAACAACCATCGAGGAATGAGGATTGGAGTCTCTTTGAAAAAGACAACCCAGATCACGCTTCGGTTTCGCATCAGCAAATGCTAGCTCGATAACATGGGAAAGAATTTTGGTTTTGGTTAACTTACTGCCCAATGCCTGCGAAATACACGAAGCAGGCAGCGTATGAGAGGCGAGCCAGTGGCTCCCCGGTGGACCAGATACCAGCACACCATCGCCTCCGCTGAGCACAAACATCTCGAACTGAGCGCGGAGGCTGCTCACGTGCAATGGCCTCAAGCCAGCCGAACTTGTAGCCCTTGTTAGCAGCCTAGTGAGAGGGTTAGTAAGTGAGTGAAGGGGTATGTCAATACGAAATGCTATTACTTGCCCGAAGTCCGAACCAAAAGTCTTCCGCTAGGCAATCGGTATCCCATCCCACGGTGTTTTCGATTTCTCCCTTTACAAGAATGAAAGAGCCATGCACCCAGCCGAGGGTAGGGCGAGCATGGAGCTTGAATGGCAGCCGAAAGCGACCGAAATCTTCTGTGATCCTACTCAGTTCACCCACGGTAAGAAATGGATTTTCCCAATGGCCCTCGCTATTGTAGAAAATGGTGCCCTTCATTGAATCAGCTGAGTCATACTACATATCACGGCGACGAGTGACGTCTCACCATTCCGAAATGTCGGTCTCCACGCTCGATGAAGTCAAGGCAGGTTTGTGTGGCGTATGCATCTATTTGAGTCTCCTCGTCTAGATGGAGTACCCAATCGTCAGGTCCATAGCCGGCCGTAATGCGCGCGTATTCGAGAGCTCTAGCCTTATAGAGAGCGACTGGTGGCTTGAAACTGGAGGGTACAATCAACAGCTTGACAAAGTCTGGAATTTGGCCTAGTAAAGTTGCAGGTAGCCTGTTATCAAGGACAAGGTGGAAAGTGATTCGTGGGTCTATGAGGCGCAACTCCTGCCAATTCGATATCGTATGCAAGACCGTCTGTCCTTAGTTCGTTAGCAATGTGGATTCTCGGCCATTATCGCAAGAACAACAATGCGGTACGGTGTATCCCACCTCAAAGTTTTCGCCTCTCGTTACTAGGCAAAAGTTGAGTGACTTGAAGTCCCTCGTCTTTGGTTTCGTCTTGTATTCGAACGGGCTGATTGGCCAACATACTCCGAGAGAGTAACCAAAAGGGAATGGTTGAATCAAATGCGAAGCGACTCCCAGGACTACGCATATGAATGTGTCCGGAGTCCACCAGTTAGAATAGTCGATTATTGTTTGGATGAGGAGGTATCGAGATACAGCGTTGTAAGACACTGTGGCTCGTCAATTCCTTGTCCCTTTGAAAAGAGTGTGAGAAATCATCTCACCGAAGAAGCAGCAAATCAGTCCAATTGGACACATTATCCAGTTATATTGAAGCACGCGGTGTAGCTTCTCGGAGCGTTTGATCTCAAAGGTCTGTCGAGAGTTGGAAGCCTCCGTCGTAGATTCCACCGCTGTGTCCAGCAGTATACGGGCAAAGCCTTCATGCTTAATCCTATTTTTCACACCGAGATGTGTTCTCGTGGGTGTATTAGTCGCCATCGCGATGGAAATTTGATGGTTTGACTGGGAGAACGATACGGTGTGTTAGGATTTCTTGTTTCGGTCGGAGCACTCACTTGCCTTGATACGATGCTTTTGTTGCTCCACTGCAGTGCAAGCCGCATATGGCTTGCAGATGATACAACATCAACCCGACGCGAGATTTGACCCACCAATCATGGAGCTCCTCTCGTCCCCTCGTTCCGAAGGCTCTCCGCGGACCGGGTGACCTGCAGAGAGCTGGCCTGGTAAATTCATATTTCGGATGATGCCTACTACCGATATCTGGGAATCTCATTCTTGCTGAAAAAACTTCGAACATGCTTCAGGAAGTTGCTCTCTCTCCACTCGACCAGTTTGCATCTCGTGGATATATCAGTCTTCTCTTTTGCTTTCCATCTTTGGACCACACCCATGAGAATCTAGTGACACAATTACAGCACGGGCTCTCCTGCTTCGCATCGCTGTTCCCGGTCGTCAAAGGCCACGTTCAGCAGAAACTAGAGAGAGGCCACGTCAAAGTAGTTTACAGCGTCGACGCTGCCGATCCGCCATTTGCTGTGCGAGATACCTCTCTGAAATATGAGGAGTTGCGTCAAAAGGGCTTCCCCATACAAGGGCCTAGACACGGCTCTGTTTCTCATGAAGCTGCGGGCTGGGATGGCACCGTTGTAGCTGTGAAGGTCAGCAAGCTCCGAGGTGGATTGATACTTTGCTTCTCTGCCCACCACTCGTTTGTGAACGCTGCGGGTCTTGGGGTCCTGACGAAATTGTATGCGGAATGTTGCAGTGGCAAGATTAGACACGACTACGCACGAGTCATGAAGCAAGACCGCGTTCGCTCTCTCCAGGGAACCGATTTGGAAGACGCATTGATACATCATGGGAGACTCTGGATGCCCCCAGAGCCTAATCACTCGAGAATACCGACTCCTGAACCCATCTCGCCTAAATTTGCGAAGATATCGATCGCGATGACGATATCAGAGGTCGCGCTTCAGCAGCTGAAGCATAGTTGTGCCGAAAATGCGACAGACAAGCACTCGACTTCATTTATCTCAGCTTTGGATGCCGCCACGAGTTTGCTGTTCGTTGGTATCATGCGTGCTAGGAGCCCGTACCTGCCACCAGGAAGTATCTGCTCTCTCAACATCGCCGTGGATGGACGATCAAAGCTGGTTCCGCCGCTACCAGACGACTTTCTTGGGAATTCCCACGCAGGAGCTATTGTGTCAATTCCAGTTTCTGACCTCAACTCTCAGGATGTAGGCGTTACCATCGGAAACGTCGCATTCCAAATTCGAACTGCGATAACTGCAGTAGATAATCAGCTGATACGGAGGTATATCACAATGATTGATGCGGAACCAGATCTTACACGTGCATTCGCAGCTCAACCAGCGAATGTTACTCCGTCCTCCCACCTCATGGTGTCTAGCTGGGCTAAAATCCCAGTGGAAAAGATGAATTTCGGGAATCTGGCGGGGAAGCCGGAAGCTGTACGAGTACACACAGGCTATTCAGACCAGCTGTGCATTCACCCTGAAATAGAATTTCCAGAACGTGCTGACGGATTAAACGTCGGGAGGAAAGGTCTGTTGTTCAGCACTTTGATTGAGCAAGTGTGTCTGGAGATGCTGAGGAAAGATGAGATGTTTACACGAAGCGTAAGAATCATAGATGAGTATCTGAATTGAAATTGAAATGTGTCCAGGTACTTAAGAGAGGTTTTTAGAGCGCCTATATGCATACGGTGATGGCTAACCATGGGCGTCTTTGACCGACAATTACTCTCATCATGCTTTCCTCGGAGAATTGGTTGGGCCTTCGTGGTGTTCTCGATATATAAGCTGGATAACTTTCTTTCTCTATTAGTTGCACCCCACCTGGACACATCAAGGGAGGTCTTCTCCAACTGCTCGCAGGGAAGGTTTCCTGAATGAACGCGACTTCTATCGATATGATTTCGCCATTCCGGGTCGAATCGAGATGGAACTTGATGACGGCGAAGTATGATGACAGAGCTAGGGACCGTGTCAGAGACGCGTTGAAGGGGGAAGAAAGGGCTTGGCACCACCTTCGGTCCATGGGTCATGCTACTACAGTCAGACTTCTCCCACCAATCCAGTCAAAATGGACGACTCGGCATTTGCAGACGCGACAAAGGCATTCCGAGCGGCCCTATGTCCATCTTCCAAATATGGACACTTCCCTACTTATACGTCGGATTGGCTTCCGGGCAGCTTTTGTGGACTCTCCAAGCTCCAATGTTCATCTCGCACACTTCTTTTCACGTCATATATCTTGCTCTAGACATAAACCATGATTGCTTCGGATTACACCATACAGAAAGAGGCGGAACGTATATTCCGAGAGGTGCTCATTGACGGGGACAGACTTGGACTTCCAGACTCCGTCAAAGAACTCGCTTCGAAAACGACTTTCGATGCGACAGCTATCTCAGAACCATATATTCCATGTCCTCTCAAATTCACCGAGTCCAGCGCATCACTATGGGCACTTGCAGCTACATACGGGAATGCTATCGCCAAAGATCGCTTCGGAGTGGACCAATCCGTCGTCGTGAACACCGACATTGCATCTCTGTTCCTCACGTCTAGTGCTCTGGCGAGAGTAGACGGCAAGAACCTTAGCGACCCCTCAATTGCCGCAAGATACATCAAGTATGATCTGGGAAAGATGTTTATCGAGCCATCGCGGCGTCTTAGCACGAACATCTATCCAACCAAGGACGGCCGCTGGTACCATACTCACGGAAGTATGAATGCGGACAAGGTTCTCACCATGCTTGGGCTTCCGCTGCACGACGGGGAAAAAGATGAGAAGAAGGTTATCGATCGGTTTTGCGCCAAAGTCAAGGAATTCGATAGCGAATACCTCGATGTCTTAGAAAACGACCACTTCCGCCAGGCCGGGACCATCTGTCTCACTCCGGAGGAATACAAGAAATCACCCCAGGGCAAAGCGGTGGGAGATGACCCGCTATTTCTACTCGAACAGTCTTCTCAAGACACTTTACCTCCGGTTCCTTGGCCCAAGAATGCTTCAAACACGTTCAGGCCACTGGAAGGCATTAAGATCATAGATATTTCCCGGGTCATCGCCGCACCTACAGTCACGAAGCTAGCAGCGTTATTTGGGGCTACCGTTGTTCGCGTATCGTGTGACTTTCAGCCGGATATGGGCCCTTTACTTGTGGATGGCAACCTCGGGAAGCGAGACGTTTCTCTGAATCTGAAAAGCAACGAAGGCCGTCAAGCTCTCGAAAAGCTTCTGGAGGAGGCCGATGTCATTCTCGACGGCTACCGACCCGGCGCTTTGGAGAAACTCGGGTTCGGACCAACCTACGTACATGAGCTGGCAAAACAACGGGGCAAAGGCATCGTATACGTTCGCGAGAACTGCTACGGATGGAAGGGGCCATTCGCGAATCGAAGCGGTTGGCAACAAATAAGTGATTGTGTAAGTTTCACAACTCTGAATCTGCCAACGAGCTGCACTAACCAAAACTTTAGGTCACTGGCGTGAGCTACCTCCAAGGCCAATTCCTCGGCCTCGATGAGCCTATCGTCCCTCTCCTCCCTAATTCCGACTACCAAACCGGCGTAACCGGCCTCATCGCCATCCTCCACGGTCTCAACGGCCGCGTTACTACCGGCGGCAACTTCCTAGCTTCCATCTCCCTCAACCAGTTCAACTCGCATCTCCTATCTCTCGGGACGTACTCGTCATCAATCCAGTCCGCGCTCCGCGCTCAACACGCTGACCTGCACCTCCGCCACTACGACGACATGATCAACCTCGTTTCCAAGACGCTGAAGTCCCTCTTTGGGGCCGTACCTCACTTGCTCAAGCCGACTTACTTCGACAGCATCAAGAGTAATCTCGGAGGAGAGAAGGAGGAGGACTTGACGCATGTGAAGAGCGTAGCGACGTTTAGTGAGACTAAGCTGGGGTATGATGTTGGGAGCTGCTTTTTAGGGCAGTATGAGGCAGTGTGGCCATGAGCGACGCGTTCTAGGTGGAAGTAGAGAAGCTTTGAGACAAGGAACTCTACATGTCTATATATATGAGATATGGATTGTAGACAAGAAGATATTCTTCATGCTCCCTTTACATCGAAATTCCACCCTGTTGACAGCACGCCATTCTTTTCGTCAATAGCAGCTTCGCCGTCTTTCGGAACCCATCGCTCTAGCCGCATACTGTTCATCAGCACGAACATGCTGCTAAGCCCCATGCCTAGGCTTGCCATTGCCCTGTCAAATCATAAATCAGCACACGTCAAACTTCAACGTGGGTAATGAAAGACAAAACTTACGGCGTAAGAACCAACCCCTTATGCACCACTTCCAATAGCCCCGAACCCCACAGCAACGCAACAATATTATACCCAACCGCCCACGCCAAATTCTGCCGTACAGTCTTGAACGTCTCCTTCGCCAGCCCGAGCAAGAACGGGATCCGTGTCAGATCTCCGCTCCCGCCTCCGCTGCCCATCTCGTCCGAAGTCGGGAGCAGTTGCGCGTCTCCACGAACAGTAGTCGATACCTCTGAATCTCGCGAGACGCAGATGCTGAAGGCGGCGGAGGAGAGCGCCGGGATGTCGTTCAAGTTGTCTCCAACCATGGCGATGGGCCCGTAGTCAAGAGCGAGGGAGTCCAGCACCTGCGCTTTTTCGATGGGTTTCTGCGCAGACCAGACCCATGTGTCTGGAATACCGACTGCGCGGGCGAGGGCGGAGGCGGAGGCGTGGGTGTCGCCAGTCATAAGGCCAATGTTGATGCCTTGGAATCTGAGGAGGGAGATGGTCTTGCGAGCGTCTGACTTGGTGGTGTCGGAGTACGTGACGAGGCCACAGAGATTGCTGTCGATGGAGATGAACACTGTGTGCAGGGAGCTTTTTGAAGCTTTTGATATTAGCGCGGAAGAAGAGAGAGAGACACCCATTGATTCCAGGAAGTGTGCGCTCCCGATCGCCATATGGAAGTCGTCTTCTCCACCATTTCCGATTGTTCCATAAACTCCAAGACCTGGGACATAGTTCAGGTGAAGGGCCTGCAAGTCGAGGTCCGCATGAAGTTTTAGGTCTGCCGATGAAAGTTGCTGCTCGCACTCGGAAAGTAAAGCTTGAGCAACTGGGTGTTTTGATTGTGTCTCTTCTAAAGCTTGCACGGCGCGCCACCATATGGCACGCTGGCGCTCGGAATCATTCCATTCAGGAGATATCTCAACACTCTCAAGGGTAAGGTGCCCTTGCGTCAATGTGCCCGTTTTGTCGAAGATTACAGTCCGGACCTTCGACGCGATCTCGAGCTGAGATGTCCCTCCCGCAAGAAGGATATTGAAGCGGGACGCAGAAGCTGCATTACAGATTAGCTATCATCGCCGTTGAAAAAGAGAGCGCATTACCTGTGCTTAGCATTATGCAAGCTGGAATGCTCAATCCTAGTGCGCAAGGGCAGGCAGCAAGCAACATGGCCGTAGCCCGATCGAAGCAGTCACTCCACGTCGCATCCGTGAAGACCTTCCAGATTATGACGGTAGCGAGTGCTAATATCATGACTCCACTTACGAAATACTGGATGATAGCCTCGATAGGTCTGTCAAACGTATCCTTGCGGCTGTCGGCTTTTGCGACGAACTCAAGAGTCTTCTCCAGCCAGGTGTTCGTGCCGGCCCGAGTGATTCGAATGATGAGGCCGCTGTCCAGACACTTTGAACCTGCCAACACCTCATCTCCGTCTTTCTTAAACCTTGGGACTACCTCTCCGGTGATGCATGTCTCGCTGATGTTGCTGGAACCTTTAACAATGATTCCGTCGCCTGGTATGGTACGTCCGGGAGAGACGATGACCCAATCTCCTGAGCCCAAGAAATCAATTGGGAATTCCTCCGCGCTCTCTCGAAAGTCGCCGTCAAGGTCGCGTTGCGAGGTCACGGTTGCTGATAAAGGCATAGCTGAAGACAGTTGAGCTGTGAAACCCAGTGCGCGTCTCGAAACCAGAGCTTTGAGATACCGACCTCCGAGAACCACGGTGATGAGTACAGAGATCGCATCGAAGGAGATCTGGCCATGATTCGAGCTCTGGCCGAAGAGTTGAGACATCAGAACGTGTAAAGATTGGATGAAGCCGAGCGTAATCCCTGATGATGACAAGACCGACATATCACCTCGTCTGGCCCGCAACGCAGACAGTGCTTCGAGGTTTATGTGTCTTGCACAATAGAAAGTGCTAATGGTAGCCAAAACCGCTTCTACACTTCCAATTGCAACCGACATCCAAAAGGACGAAATGGATGTTCTTGAGTACGGAAGTAGCACCGAAGGGATGGTGAACAGGATCGACGCAAAGAATGAATTCCTCCAGGACCTGATCTCTTTCAGCCTAGCAACATCCGCTCTCTCGAAGTCCTCTCGCCAACTCCTCGCTGCGGGCATTACTTCTGCTCCATACCCATTCTCTTCAACGACGAGTGCTAGCGCTTCTGGGTTCGTCATTCCACTGTCATATGATATATGAGCCTGAAATAGTGCCAGTGAAACGCTAGCACTGGTGACACCAGGAGTACTGGAAAGTGCATTTTGGATGCTGCTGGTGCACGCAGCGCAAATTATGCCGGTCAGAGACAGTCTGCACGAGGACGTGCTGCCTTGGAGCTTCAAATCCTTCTCTTGAACTGTGGGAGTGCTGAAGGCCAACTTGCACTGCAGGTCCCGATGTATGTTCAATAACCTCATGATTACGAAAGCGGCGACGGCACAGCAAGCCATGGTTGCTCTGTTGTGCGAAGTGTTCCACTCATCCAGGGGCCTTCTCAGCGAAAGATAGGAAGTAGGTAGTTAGATGCAAGTGGATACGGCCAAGTCGGACGATTCACGGCAGTGGATCAGAGGAGCCGGAGTTATCGCAATACGGTAAGTACGCGAGTCTGGTTGTCGGCAGTGGTGGAGTAGACTGCGGCATCACGAAAAGCGTTGTCAGATTTTTCTGACATCGGAGGGAGGGATGGAGAGTGTGGAGAACCCTTGGAGGCGTCGTATTGTGGGGGTGGGGGGATTGGCCCGCTTTTCGGTACGCCTCGTGGTTTAGATTTTAGAACTAATTTTAGGTGGCTCCTAATCCTCGCTATTCGGTCTCTGTTTCTCCGTGAAGTTATTTCTGAGGTTGAGAAGGTTCGAATGGAGTCCTAGTGAAAGTAGCCTCCAATATACACCTCGGATAATGTGTAGAAAACCAAAAAAGTATCTGGATATACAAACGCCAAGAAGCACGAGGAGGTTAAGACAGAATCAGTCTCCCATGACTCAGTTCCAGGGATACACAGACCTCTGGCTATTCTCTGGCCATCCCGAAATGTCTCATAGTCGAGGACTTGAGCTCTTTTGTTTCTTCACAGCATCGACAATCGCCAAAGCCAGCACCTTGGCTCCCGGAGCGAAATCTTCCCCCAAGTCCCCAGTAGTCTTCAAGAAATCCGCTTCTTTGGCAACCACGTCCCCAAACTCCCAATCATGTGCCTTGCCCTCGGCTACCTTGAGTGTCACATCCGCACCGGCTTCAGTAGCTAGCTTTGCGAAAGCCTCTATGTCCGCTCTGAAGACCTCATCGGCGCCTGCTGAGGCCCAGACCGTGCGTGGTAGAATCTTCGACAGGGGGAGTCTACTAGGTACTGGATGGACGAATTCTGTGTAAGTTTCTATCGTTTTGTGTGAGTGCGATGAAGCTGCCCGAAGATCATTGGCGCAATTGTTCAGGAATCTTTTGTCGAGGACATCGATACTAGCGTTTGTTGAGAAGGTTGGGCTAGTGTGCTTGAACGAAAGCCAGGCGCTAAGAAGATAGACTCCTAGCGGCTTCGGTAAGGTGGTCGTAGAAGGAGAAAGCGGGATAGCTAGGCTTGCGAGGAGCGACATCATAAGGCTACCACCTGCAGAGTCCCCGATCAAGGCGATCTTGTCCGCTGGAGTTCCAAGGTCGAGTAGAAATGAGTAGGCTGCATGAGCCTGGTTCATTTGAGTCGGGAATGGTGCCTCCGGAGCTAGAGAGTAATCAAGCGCAAGTATGCTCACGCTGAGCCCTTCGGTTTCGATTATTTCGGCAATGTAGACCAGGAAACAACACCATTGCGCTATGTGTCCCAGTACATAACCTCCCCCGTGGCCAAAGAGAAGGGTGACATCGGCGCGTTGGGGTTCCTTTTTGGCTGAGATTGAGCCCTGGCATATCCAGTAGCCAGAGAATGCGCTCGTTTTCACGGGTTCGACAAGGTTCTTCCGTACAGCAGAGAATCTGGGAGATGCCAGGACCTTCTCAACTTGTGCCTCACCTGGAGCTCGAAGGATAGCTCGTGGGAAGCTGAACAACACCCTGGTAGATAGTTAGCATGAGCTGTATGTATGGGTGCTCATGCGGCGTAGCCAGACCCTCGTATGATAGACCTCAAAACATGGTCCTTGAACGACACTCCATAAGACTTTAATGTGCGGGCTAAGACGACCGATATAATGGTTTTCGGAAGGATGTAGAGCATAACGCCAGCGGCGTATACTTTCTGGGCGAGTGTGCTCTTTCCGAAGCCCGGATTCGGATCCAGTGTGGAGCTCATCGCGTTACCGTGGCGTGATGGCGTGGACGCGCAGTCAGAATTTGAGCTGAGTTTCTCGGGGCGTTGGCTTGTTGATATTTTTTTTTGGAGAATGGAATGTGAGGTATCAGTCGTCATGGAACAACCGAACTCATGCGGGGACTTCTCTCCTTCGAGACGCCCTTCAGCCGATCACGTTATGCCCACCCAGTCAGCTCGGTCTGACATCTGTGAATACTCACCACTCCCGAATTCCGTACCCCATTGAGTACAGTAAAGAGAAGATAGCCTACATTTATTGAAGATGCACCACAAAATAAACTCAGACAGTCAAGCTAATTGTCAAACTTTCCCAAAGACTCTAGATCTAAAGCCGCCGTAATGTCGTTCCTTCTCCAAACCAAGCCAATTTTCGAACCAAAACGAACTTTGAAAGTTATCGTAATTGGAGCAGGTGCATCGGGTCTATTGACCGCATACAAGATCCAACGGCACTTTGATAACTTTGAGCTTACTGTGTACGAGAAAAACCCTGAAGCATCAGGCACATGGTTCGAGAACCGATATCCAGGGTAAGTCTGAGCACCCTTGACGCAAACTTCGTCTAATTAGGTCTGGTGCAGATGCGCTTGTGATGTTCCTTCTCACTGCTACACGTGGTCTTTCGAGCCGAAGACGGATTGGTCCGCAACCTATGCGTCCTCCGCCGAGATCCATCAATACTTCAACGATTTCATGCACAAGTATGGCCTTCAGAAGTACGTGAAGCTCCAGCACGCCGTATCCAATGCCGTTTGGAACGAGAAGACAGCACAGTGGGACGTTACCGTCGATGACCTGGCGACCGGAAAGCAAATTCACAACTCCGCCCATGTCGTTATCAACGCCGCGGGAATTTTGAACGCATGGAGGTACCCTCCGATACCTGGAATTAAAGACTACAAGGGTGCCCTGGTCCACAGCGCAGCATGGGATCCCACTATTGAGCTGAAGGGGAAGACGGTTGGCTTGATCGGCAATGGGTAAGCAAACCCTGCTTTGGCGATAGCCCGCTGTCGGTAACACGAAATATAGATCCTCTGGTATTCAGATCCTACCAGCTATCAAAGATGAAGTCAAAGAGCTGATAACCTTCATCCGTGAACCGACTTGGGTGGCACCCCCAATAGGCCAAGGGTACAAAGTCTACTCGGCAGAGGAACAAGCGAAGTTTGCGACAGATCCGGACTTCCATCTGCAGACGCGTAAAGAGATCGAGCAAGGCATGAACAGCAGTTTTGCCTTATTCCACAGCGGTTCGGAGTTGCAAAAGATGACACGGCAGCATATGCTAGACCAAATGCAGACAAAGCTCAACAATGCGAAACTTGAGAAGCTTTTAATTCCGGAGTGGAGCGTTGGCTGCAGAAGAATCACCCCTGGCACAAATTACCTAGAGAGTCTTTCTGCCCCCAACGTGAAGGTAGTATACGGCGAGATTGAGAAGATTACCGAAAAGGGTCCAATTGTTGACGACGGGAACGAGTATCCAGTCGATGTGCTTATTTGCGCGACTGGATTCGACACCACGTTCAAGCCTAGGTTTCCGCTCATTGGTCCCACAGGGCAAGCGCTGGCAGAAGTCTGGAAAGGTATGAAGAGCCGAATTGGACTTTAGGAGGGGTAAGCTTACTCATGCGTCATCTAGATGAACCAAAGGGGTATCTTGGTATTGCTGTCAACAACTATCCCAATTACTTCATGACCCTTGGACCAAATTGCCCAATTGGAAATGGCCCAGTCTTGATTTCCATCGAAGCGGAGGTTGATTATATCGTTAAGATGCTTTCGAAATTCCAGAAAGAGAACATCCGGTTCGTTTACATGTTTCACCTTACACTGAAGATCGCAAGGCTAACGAGAATAGGTCCTTCGATGTCAAGCCAGAACCGGTTCAAGAGTTCAACGACTGGAAAGAACATTTCATGTCAGGAACTAGTATGTGCAATTCAGATTCACCCCACTGGCAGATATCGAGTGCACTCATAATTTGGCGTACAAATTGCAAAATAGTGACCGCCCTTTTCAAGAAGAAACTTGCTGACTTCTTGAAGTTTGGACAGAAGAATGCCGATCTTGGTACAAGTCCGGCAGCATCCATGGAAAAATCGCAGCATTGTGGCCTGGTTCCACACTCCATTACCTTGAAGCGCTGAAAGAGCCTCGCTGGGAAGACTGGAATCTCCAATACGAATCTAAGAATCGATTCGAGTACTTGGGCAACGGCCACAGCTCTGCTGAGGTGCGCGAGGGCGGTGATTTGAGCTACTATATCCGAAACCACGATGATGATGAGATCGACATTGTCCTAAAGAAACCAGGTAATGCTCATCCGGATTTGGAGGGGATCGTGCCTTCCCAAGGCGCCGTGAAGGCGAAGCTGTGAGTGTTGTGAGTGCTAAGAAATGGCGAGAAGTGTGCGGGCTGAACAAGACACAGTTCCACATTCGACACGAATGGCACCCATTGAAGGTTTCAGCATTCAGATTTGATTTGGGTGCGGCGGGATTTCCTTAATATCCGGTCTTACCTTTGTAGTTTTCGCGTGCGGAATGTTCCTTGCACAAGCTGTAGATCTGTAAAATACTCATCAGTCAATCTTGGCGTCCCGATTAGATGGATTTATGTATGTTGCACGTTGATTGCCCCAGGGTTTGCCCAGGCCTTCTTGATGAGATCGAGCATGGGTCGCGGGAGAATTCTTGCGCTCAAAACCCCACACGGAATTTGCGGAGAAACGTCGGAAAGCTGTGGAAGAAGATGCGGCCCTGCGTTCGAGAAGCAGATCTTCATTTGATCTCAGGATGGTGTAGCCTAGTAGAGCCGATTGCGTAAATCGTGAATGGACACCGGGTACCCTTCGAGGACTAGAGCATGGACCGCAAGAGAATATCGGCGATGTGGAAGCGTTCGACGCCTGACAGTGATGTTCGTGACGCGGATTATCGTGCGACGTAGTTACAAGCACATGACAGATGAATGGATGAGAGTTTGATGACTCTACTACTATCACACTCTGTAGTGATGAAGGAGGTGAGGTGGCAGAGACTTATAGAAGCTTTGAGGTGGAAGAAAGGCACGTTACTAAGCGGTCTAATCTGTAACGTAATCCACAAGTTAGTGGCCCGCACAAGCTAGTGGCCCACCCAACTCAACACGCGACGCGTCGTCCAACAACCACCCCAATGGCAGCACCACAACAACAAGAAGCCATCTTTCAAGAAGGCAGAGTTATTCTAGGCGTTCAAGCCTACAAGACCGGCCAAATTACATCCTTCCGAGGCGTTGAGAAACTATACGATGTGCCCAGAAAGACGGTTACGCGTCGCGCCCGTGGTATTCCTCCACAACGCGGTGCTATCTCCAAAAATCGCCGTCTTACACCTGTACAAGAAGAGGTTCTTGTACAGAGGATTCT